CCCCAAACCTAGGTGTCGTGAAGCTGCAACTTCACCTTGAGACCGTTGCTCTTATTGGGAATGTTTATTTCTTTCCTTTAATTCTCTTTCTCAATCAACATTCGATTTCAAAACACATGGAAACAAACGTCAAGCCTTTGCTTTCTCGCTTCTTCCGTTCCCATTCTGAAATTGGGCCAAATTGTAAATTTCCATTCAGAGTGACTGCCATTTGCAGATTACCTTTATAACTAACAGACACGTGCACACATCCTAAATTAGTGGAAGTCTTGTAGTTCTTTGTATGGCGTTTTGAGACCAGCTGCCTTTGTAGACCTCCCTAATCTATAAAATAAAAACTCAGTCAATTGCCAGTAGCTTGACCACAGTCATTCAGCACTACTGACCTCCCAGATGGATTACTTTAATTTGCTCTTTGTGGGGCGGCCCTTGAGGTCTGGCCAGAAACTGCAGAAACGAGGAGAGGTAGAATATAATTTCTATAAATAAATAGGGGGGGGGGGGCAAAACACCAGCCAATTAGTACCAACCCTTAAAACAGATAGCAAAACCTACTATCAACAGTAGGGGCTTTACGTTAATATATTTCCCCTTTGACTCATTTATTTAAAAAAGCGTTTATTGGGCACAGCCTAACCAAGGCAACTCACAATATCATAACCAATAACAGTAACAACAGCAGTGCAGCGACAAAACTATGGCAGCAATATGGCCAATTATTTAGAACTTTCGTTTGAAGTCTTTCACAAACGATATATTTTATATGTATGTAGAATGTAGAAGGAGGAGGGGGGATTGCATTAACCTGAACACAAACTCCCAGTGGGAATCAGCTGCGACCCGGGTGCCAGGATGAAGTGCCTTCACAGAAATGAGCACGGACTGGATTTGCAAGCGTTTTGACTGCACCTGTCAGTGCTTCTGACCATCTTGATAGCTGCTGGCAGGAGCATGCTCAGAGAAGAGCTGCGGTGTGCCTGCTGCCCAGCTAGGTCCCACCCTTATGCCCTTGAAAGTGGGAGGAGGAACCCAGCAACTAGTGCTACTGGTGAAACGTTTCCCCTTCTTTTCTGCAAATGCAAAGCAGCAGGTGAGCAAGCAGCAGAACCAGGCAGTGACTGCAGGCCAGAACCATAGCTACAGGGGGGCTAGCCAGTTTGTTTGTTTTTTGGCCCGGGGCTCCACTGAGGCTCCCAGCCTCTCTGTGTGTGCACAAATGCACGTGTGTATGTGTGTGTGTGTGTGTGTGCGTGCGCCAAGCTGGGTCTTTGACCCGGGTGAAATAAAGCCTAGCTTCACGCCTGCTGCAGGCAGATGACTATCAACCTGCTCACTGGGAAGAGCTACCAGAGGCAGTTCCATGGGGGGGGGGGGGGCTCAAACAATAGACTAGATCCATGGTGGGCCGTGTGTGTGTGTGTGTACGTACAGTGGTACCTCTGGTTACGAACTTAATTCATTCCGGAGGTCCATTCTTAACCTGAAATCTGAGGTACCTAATGGGGCCTCCCGCTGCCATGCGATTTCTGTTCTCATCCTGAGGTAAAGTTCTTAACCCGAGGTACTACTTCCGGGTTAGCGAGTCTGCAACCCGAAGTGCTTGTAACTCGAGGTGTTTGTAACCTGATGTACCACTGTTTATATATATATATTATAAAATTTGATGTCATTGTCAAAGTTTATTTGTTGTTGCAACTTTCCTGGTCATTTCAACCAAAAAGGAAATAAGAGTATTCTATGCATACTGTGCAGAATTGCATAGATACATTGTTAAAATACAGAACATTATATAAAATACAGTATACTATATAATTTGATATAAGTAACTGTAATTTAAATGGAAATACAGGTGACCTCTCCATAGTGGAGAAATCTGTGACCAAGTGACCTGTGTACCTGCAAATTCTGCTCCAAGCCCCTTCCTGCTCTCCCTTCTTATGACTTTAAGCAGGACTTAAATCCGGCCTCCCTTCAAGCAGAGGACTGTAAAGTAGGAAGATAAGGCCACCACAGTTCAACTCATGAAGGACCAGCAGGGGAAGCCGACCTGAATATACACTCAGTGGGGGAGGGGATGCACCCTAGGATGTGGGGGGTTTTGCGGGGAGGGGAGGAGGGGAATGCGAATTTGAAAAAAATAAATCCAGAAAATTTCCCTTTATGCAAATTAAGCTGATTTCCTTAGGGCACTTTGCATCGGGAAATTTCCCGATGCCCTAGAGGGTGATCTAATTTAGCATGTTTGCCTTACTTGTATTCAGCCAACAAAACAAAGCAAAAGTCAAAACTGTCAAGCTTGCCTAATGCTATATTTGCAGAGTTGACATCCCTTCGTTGTTACTAATGAACTTACGAAACATTGAGTTTCCCGTGGGAAAAATATAAAACACTGGAAAACTTTCCACCTTGCTTCACTGGGTGCACCCAGCGCTTGGGCTGGTGGAGAAGGGAGATGTGAAACACACCATGCTGTTTCCACCTTAACATCCCTTTTGTTTCTGTGTCCTAGTGGACCCCTGGCATACTATTGTCACCATGCAAATCCTTTCTCACAGGCTGGAATCTGTTCTCTCAATGCAGAAGTGTGCAGATTTCAGGCATTTGGGATCTACTTGGTCCCCTCCCCAACCCCCAAGATTAATCAATCTTAGCCAACCCACAAAACAGTGGCTTTAACTGGTGGAATTACATTAAGGTACACATGCTCAAGCCTAGGGATTTTCAATCAGTACCAAAAACAAGCCTTTCACATAAAAAAGTACTCCTTGTTTCTCCCAAAGCAGTCATTTTTCAGCAGTATAATTTGTAGGGAGAACACTCTTTTTAGTTGCTGCTATTGTGAAACAACTAAGTCAGAAACGTTTGCTGATCTTCTCCAAATCACCCAGAGTAGCCCCCTTTTAAAGACACACACGGGGCCAGGGGCCAGAACGTTCTTTTGAGCATTCCAGTTCTCTTTTGTATTTCATTCATTTTTACGAATTGGTTCCTGCGAAACGTCTCAAAGTATTGTAGCAATATGTACTAATTGCACTGCATGTCAATGTCATTTTTCTCTTACCTGGAAGCCCCCCCCCCCCCGATAAATTCATATAATCATTTATTTTAAGATCTATATTTGATATAAGAAGCAGTACGTTAGGATTCCTGATCTCGAAAACGCAAAGGCAAAAATTACAAGGGTTTCACTTGTGCTGTATTCAGGGGTGTATCCAGAAAATTTCGCTTTGCAATTATGCATACATAATTTGTGTGCATATTGCTATAATACACCTGGGCATTTTCTCTCTCTCTGTGTGTGTGCATGTATGCTTTGTTGCTTGGAGTAACACTCCATGACATTCAGAAGCCTACAATGAGTTGCAGAAAAGCGCTAATGCCGAAAACATGGACACACACAAACAAAAGGCGGGACTAAAATAAAATGGGGAAAGAAGCTGTGGACAGAAAGAAAGATGGTTCACTCACTTGCATGCATACCCACCAGTCAGTAATCTTTCTCCTTTATATCTTCGGGGCAACTGAGTGTGTGCCCCACAGCACAGCTGCCTCTTTTGCTGCCCAGCTGCTGACAGTAAGCATCGCCCCGCCTCTTCCTCTCCAGCTGGACCAATCAAAAGGAGAGGGCAGGGACTAAGCAGCAGGGCAGCCTCTAGAATCAAAAGGCGGGAAAAGGAAGGCCCTGCCACATTCCTTTCCAAGTGTGCAGGAAAGCAGATGGAATCTTCTGCAGCCAGTCAGCTGCTTTCTTCTTGCAAAGCAGATCACACCCTTAGATGGTAGAGCATGAGACGCTTAATCTCAGGGTTGTGGGTTCGGGACCCATGTTGTGCGAAAGATTCCTGCATTTCAGGGGGTTGGACTAGATGACCCTCATGATCCCTTCCAACTTTGCAGTTCTGTGATTCTGGTGTGGCCAGCAGCTGAGGCCAAGAGGCTTTCTCTCTCTGTGGCCAGTGCTCCCCATTGCCATTAAAAAGGGCCTGTCCCAAAGATCTACCGATACACATTTTGACGTCACCAAAAACGTTTACACGTGGTGGTGAAAAAATTGCATAAAAGTTATCGGTGATGTTTTTTAAAAAATGAAATGGATACATTTCTTGATCAACAAAAAACCTCTTAGCAGTTTGCATAAGAAGAACGTAAAATACTGGTGAAAAATAACAAATGAAAGCAAACTTTGGAAACAAGTAGGTGTAATAGGTATCAGAATAGAGATAAGATGAGTAAATTGAAGAACAAATATAATAGAATTACATGTTTGGGTAGGCTTGCCTCAACAACAATGTATTTTTTTTAAGCAAACGTTGAAAACAATGCAACAAAGTTGCCTGCCTATTATTGATAGTTCCAGAAAGTAGACGGGGAAGCATCATGCAGAAGGGCCCCAGTCCAAAACCTTGCAACACCAAAGAGGGCTGGGAATGTCCCCTGCCAGAGAGCTGTTGCCAGTCAGTGTTGGTAATACTAAGCTAGATGGGCCAGTCTTGGAATATGAGGCAGCTTCCTATGTTCCTACGACACGCTGGTGAAACAGTCCTAAACCCAACTACAATGTTAATTTCACATTGCTTGTGTGCAACGGCCTTTGCAGTCTGCTCTAAAGTAGGAAATCAGCTGGCATTCGACTTGTCTCCCCCACAAGCAAGTTCTTCATATTAGGCTGCGGACCTGGTGGAGAGCTTTGGGCCAGAATCCGGCCACCGGCTGGGGTTGTATCTGGACACACAATTGATGATAAATACACAAAACAAATCGCACTTGTTACATTTAGTGCGTGCAATTGCTGGCACTGTGGGTTGGTGGGGGGGGGGGTCCCTCCAAGTTGCTTAACAGAATCATTTCGTGCTGGGGTCGGGGGCGCAAAATTACCGGATCGGGGCCCCCAGATCTGTCTAGAAGAGGTGCTGTGAATCCGAGAGTCGCACAGATCCTTTGCGTAAAGGAGAGTTTATTTTGGAGGACCTATCTTTTTATTTTTTTTAAATATATATACACACACGATCAAATGACGAAGTAAACGACCCGTCGAATCCCCTGCCGAAATCCGGGAGGATCCGTCTTTTCCCTTTTTCCCTGAGGGGGTGAGAGGCAGTCTGAGTGACAGGCAGAAATCTGATCCTGTGAAAGACGCGGAGAGCCAATGGGATGCGGAGATCCATCAGTTTGGATTGGAGGCCCCTGGAGGAGAAATAGAGGAAAAACCACCGAATAAGAAACCCTGTCAGTGGCGCTTTTCGCTTCCAAGGGGGAAGTGCTGGGAAATAATTAATGTTTTTTTTAATTAAATTTGGAGGGACTTCTTTGGGGGTGCGCGTGTGCGCGCAGCCGATCGTCCGGCGGTACCTTCAGGTGGGTCTTTGCAGCAACTTTGTTGTTCGTAGCTTCGGCTGATTACGTGGTTGTGGTTTGCAAAAAAAGAAAAAAAAAGAAAGGTAGCTCAGCCTTCTCTCTCTCTCTCTCTCTCTCTCTCTCTCTCTCTCTCTCTCCCGTTAGGTGCAACGCGAGTTTTGTCGTGCGCCATTGCTAGTTCTGCACACGTTTACGAATGAACGGGGCTAATTTTCCCCCCAGCGCGCTCCGAGTCCAAGGGACGAAACGGGCATGCCAATAAACAGCTTTCCTTCTCCATTTGATTTCTTGTACTGTATTAAAAAGTCCTTTCCTTCTTTCTGGCTGCCTTTTTCCGGCTCTTGCTTGTAACCCAGCAGAAGGCAGCGCAGAGAGCGAGAGAGGGAGGGAGGGAGGGATGTGTGTGTGTTTTTTATGAATGGGACCCTGGGAGGATCATTAGCTATGCAAATTCAAGCGGTTCATTCATGAGTGTGTGCGTGTGTTGTTTTTTTGAAAAAAATAAATCTAAAAGCCATTTTGTGTTCTTGTTTTTAGGCTGCTGGAAGACTACATCTGGAGAAAGCCTCTTTTAAGTCCAATGTCCAGAAAATAATCACAATAACAACAGCAACAAAAAATACTCGGCAAAAGTCTGCAGAATGGATGGATTTTATGACCAGCAAGTGCCTTACATGGTCACCAATGTGAGTGATCAGTTCCGAAGTTGTTTAAACTTGGATTTCTTGGGGGTCAGGGGGAAATAAAGGGGAGGGGGGAGGAAAAGCTTTTCAGAGGAAATATATATATATATTTGCAGTGAGAGGAGGATTCCTGTGCCGTTTCTGTGAGATAGACTTTTATTTCGATATATTCTGTTTTTTTTCTTCGAAAGACCACCTCAGACTGGATAAAAACAAAACCACCACCCCCGCCTGCCCCCCAGTATTAGTGGAAGAAGATAAAAGCAGCAAGGTCTGATCCTGCTTTCAAAGTTTCTGCCAGATGGAACAAACTTACATTTTTTTTAAAACCTGTCCATTTTTTTTTAAAAAGGGACTTTGATGACAAATAAGCCTTGAAAACAAAGCAGCCTCTTGTTATCAGCTCCCTCGTCTCCCAACTAGCTTTAGTGAATGGTTGACATTAAAAAAAAATACTTTTATGTAGGTGTTAGTGTTGTAAATTTCTAAAAATATGTCATATACTTAATGCAGTGTTTCTCTGTACAGATGTGTGTTTTGAGTAGGTAGGTTGAGACATAAAATATTCCCCTGAAGAAGAAGAAGAACGATGGTGATCCGATCACAAAATTCTAGTTTGCAATTTAGCTTTCGAGCCATTTTTAAACAGTTTTACCACCTATCTCTTTCAGCTCTTAATATTTTTTAAAATATACTGCCAGTGTGAGTTGTTGTGTTGCCTCTCCTTCTCTCCCCCCCCCTTTTCTTTTCTTTATTCTTTCAAAGTAACCAATCTTTTCTATTTGTAGAATCCCTGTGGGAGAAACTGTAATGAGCGACCAACAAATGTCAGGAAAAGAAAATTCATTAACAGAGATCTGGCTCATGACTCAGAAGGTGAGGATTTGTGCTGGGGGAGGGAGGGTGAATAAATTGTATTGGCTCCCCCCCCCCCCCGCCATGCCACTCTTGACGACATGTTGCCCTATGGTGTTTTTTCCTAAATATTTTGTTGTTTTTATTCTCCCCCACCTCCCCAAGCTGGGATTCTTGTCTACCTCTATTTATAGAAATGAGACAAGAAAACCACATTTAATGATGTGACACAAGATGACAAAAGCAATTCACCGCTAAGCTGCTGTATCTCTCCGTGAGTCACCCTTCTCTGTGTTAGGTATTGCTGCACAGAAGGGACATAAATAATGTCATGCACCTGAGGTGAGAATTAGGCGAGGAGTGACATGATGGACCCTAGAAGCGTGTGTGCGGCTCCTTTGCTTGGAGGCCTCGCTGGCTCCCCATCGCAAGAAAGTTTGACCCTATTGCTCTTCGGAGAGAGATCGAACTCATGACGTAGACCACCTGCCCAACCAGGGTGTTGTCCACATCGGTGATAGCAGGGCAAAAGGATCTGTGGCACTATTAAAATAATAAATAATAATAATACATTTTATTTATACCCCACCCTCCGTGGCATGAGCTACTCTTAGCATCCTGCTCTCTTAATTTGGCCAGGAGCATTGACAATACTATGAAACACAAAGAGGGAAATGGGTAGCTTATACCTTAACGTCAAAAAACAGCTCATACCAGCAAGTCCCCCAAAGCTAACTTCTTAGAAGTTCATAGCAGTGTCACTGCAATCCTATTTCAGGTTGTTTCGGCCAGGAAGGAGATTCCTGCGCATGCAGTGATCAGCTGTTCTGCAGTGGCATTTCTTGTACAGATTGTTCTGTGTGATGACAATCCCTTGGGCGAGGTGGGTATATGGAGACCCACACAACTTTTTCTCACACTGCAAGCGAGGCGCTGCAGCCTTTTGTGAAGTTGGGTGCCCTAAGAATTTCATTTAAAAACCTTCACAATGTCCACACCGTCTGGACACTTGCAACTTTCTCCCCCAAGCTTGGTTTTAGCCAACAAACTTCACAAGCATTCAACATCCACCTGCAAAGACTGATCTGTGGGAACTGGGCAGTGGTTAAGTATTTGCAAATATTCTGTTAAAACTCTCTCTCTCTCAAATAAGAACCTTTTGATCATTCTGAATCAGTTTTCCAAACTGAGGACTGCTGCAGTCCTGCAAGTAACTAAATGTAAACCAGAATGACTTGAGTCCGGAAAATGCAGATATTGGGTTCAAATTCTGCTCAGGTTTGGATTTGAGTGTGTAGTATAATAAGAAACCTGGAGCCCTTGCTTTACTCTGACATAAAAAAGGGGAAAAAATAGTGCTTCATATCCAACCTGGGTGCAAATCACTGCAGCTGTTCGTGCAAAGCTTTATGGAACAGGTCTTCAATTGTTTTAAGGAGAAACAAGAGTATTTTAAATGAAAACGAGGCTAGGATACTGTGCTTGGTTACCTAGGAGTAAGTCCCAGTGAAATCAGTGGGACTTACTTCTGTACAAACATGCAAACAGTCATGCTGGGCATTTGTCTTTTGAGTGACTAACAGTGCAATCCTATGTGCGTCTACTCAGAAATAAGCCCCACTGACTTCAGCCGGACTCACTCAGAAATAAGTGTGCCGGGGAAACAGACATGCTGTGCCATGTGTGCAAGTTAGCTGAAAAGGGTACTGATTATTATTGCCTGGGTTGATAGCGAAATAAAAGCGCTCGGTTACATATGTTTTTTGTCTAATTGAAATCATAATAATGCAGCACGATGGGGGTATTTCCAGTTTGAATCTAGCCAAAATGAGATAGAATAGAATTAACAAGTATTTGTCTTTAACAGGGGTTGGGGTTGGGGAGTGAAGTACATGCAAGCACTTTATGTATAAATTGAAAGGTCCTTTATCCATCTCTTCCTCTTTTCCTAGAACTGTTTCAAGATCTGAGCCAATTACAGGAGACATGGCTTGCAGAAGGTAAGGGGAGAAAGTCCTTTTGCAAAAAAATGAAAAAGGGAAAAAACAACTCTGGATGAAAAAAGGGGAGGGTGGGTTGGTGGAGCGGGAGGGGGGGAGGAAAAAGTCCTGAACTTGCTGTCTTAATGTTCAGCCCAATTAATTGAGCTCTAAAAAAGCCACCTCATGTGTCATGCATACATTAGAGCCTCTGATGAGTTTGTCTTTAGGGACTCTGGGGCTGCTCTACCCAATGTCATCACAAATTACCAGGAGAAATTGCTTCCAGCTCACAATCACATCTGCTTTTGGCAAGAACTAATGCTCCAAGACTTCAAGTTCCAAGCCTCTGTTCAGATTTTAATTGCAATTGATCAGGTTTATATTATTGTACCTCAAGAGACTGCATACAGCCAGATCTGGGCTTGCTCTTTCCTTTAGAGCAGTGCATAAAATTGTTTGGTCTTCTGGTGGAAGTACTTTTCTGATGGCAGAATATAGTTTCTCTGGGTTCATCAGGACGGGATGCTTCAAGATTTAGGTGCAAGTGTCTTCTTCCCACCTTGCTCACAACACAGAACATTAGGTGTGTATCGAAATGCTGAAGGGGCAATGCGGTTTATATGTTTTTTGTTATTTTGCAATCCTTTTTTTTTCTTTTAAAAAGAGAAACTGTCTTTCCTCCCCCCCTTGTTTCTTTTATTTGTGATCATTTGAAATCTGATGCCTTTGCTGCAGCACTGCTGACAGTTTTAAAGAAAATAAGTTGTAATACTGAAGTTGAATAGCTGTGAATTTTTGACTTGAACAGAATGAGATGTTAGAAGTTTTGCAAAGGCAAGGGAAGTTGTTTCTAGCTGAGTTATATTTTGATGCTGTTTTCTGTGACGCATTCGGCTATTTTAAATCCTGTTTATTTGCACCATGAAGATGACTCAATATAGATTATCTTGCATTCTTTTTAATATATATTACCTTTAACTAGAAACATCCCATCTCATTCGGATGTAACTAGTACTGTACATATATTCTGACTTGCTTGTACACATTGAGAATTCAGGGTTTTATTTTTATATTTTTTAAATCTCTTGCTGAATGTGCATTATTGTTTGTTTGAATGGACATTCTGTTTCTTTCGGAGGGGAGAACCAGAAGGGAGGGTTGAATGTGATTGCTTAACATAGAAAGGAGGAAATGCTGTAATGGTATATAGACTGACTAGCTTTTTGATATTTCTCCATATAGTTTTGCCAAGTTGTTAGCACATATATAGCGTAAGCTTTTCCGTCCTTTTTTCTAATCTTTTATTCTTAGTCATGCTTTTTATATCCAGCATTAGTTATGGAGAAACCAGGTGCCTTGTATACATAAGAGATGGTTAAACTTTAAATTGGAAGAGCACTTGAAATAGGACCTGCTCACTGAAATCCCCCTTAAAATGCAACAGTAACTCATTATATTAAGGTAACTTTACTAAACATCTCTGAACAACTTCTTACTCAGCTTAATAAACCAGAACATTATCAAAACTGCAAAAGCTGGAATGAGGCTCTTAATTCCCAACAGAGTGATGCAAGTTTTTTTTTTTTTAATTTTAATTACAGTTTGTTTGAATCTATGTTGGATTTGGGCTAAGTTGATAGTACCTAGGTATTGGCAGTCATGCGAGAAATTATTATTGGAGTCAGTATTCTTGCTGTTGAATCACTGTTTTTGAAAAGTGATCGAGTATTTTCATACCTTCCACAAGAAAGTTTCTGTTGCCTGTTATGTTCAGGAAGAAAGGATTTGAAACCAGTCATCAATTTGTATGTGTACACATCCATGCTGGTGAATTGAGAATTTAAACTGCAATCCTGTGCACTTGGATCCAGCCCAATGGAAGACAATGAGACTATCTTCTTGGTAGACATGTATCCCATATCCGCTTTCCTGGGAGTAAGCCAGGAAACTCGGTGACACTTATTTCTTGAGTAGACATGTGTAGGCTTGCACTTTTAGTGAAGCTAAGTAAAATAAGATAGTATTACTGAAATATGCTACTTGAAAAGAAGGACTGCACAGAAATATGTATATATTGTGAACTGATTCAACCACTAAATAAACTTTTAAAGGTGGCACTGATCTAGTTACTTCCACATTACTTAGAAATAACTGCAGTTTAAAGTTTGCGTGTTTGTGCGTTGGAAGAAGAGGACTTCCTTTTTTTAAAAAACCCCAAAACAAACAAACTACACCATCACAATTTCTTAAATTGCTTTTTGCATGTTGAAGGGGGTTTAAGGATGGGATGTGGTGCAAAGGTTCAATCCATCGGGTGCCAACTGCAATTTGACCAGCGATGACTCTTTAATCTCTAAACAGCTCTTTAAACTAATCTCTTTTTTACCTTTCCCTCGATTTTGTCAATTGATGTCCTCCTGGTTCTTTATAAAGTTGCAGCCCTGCCAAATTGGCCACCTTGCTACATGTTCACATAATTATTTTCATGAAGCTCTGTGGCCAGGAAAGTGACCGTGACATTTTGATTCTCTCTCTCTCTCCCCCCCCCCACTTTTTTTCTTTTAAAAAACTTGGAGCAATAGCAATTGACAAGATTCTCCTATGAGTTCGGAACTCCCACTGGGTAGTAACCAGGTCAGGGGGAAAAAACCCTCCTCTCTATTGCACTGCAACATACTTAACTCTGTGGATATGAAGGATTGAGGGGGTGGGGATGAGAAAGAATTGCCCTTAATAGTTGAGACGCTTCAGCTGCATATTTATCAGCATCCCTATTCTTCTGCAGAGAATGTTGCTTAAAATGAGTAATCATAAACAGTCTATTCTCTTTTCAGTGTAGGCACAAAAAAGTGCCATTGGTAACAATGGGATTTACATATGTATTGGAGGAAGAATATAATTCAAAGTGGTGAATGGAAGCAGGCCATCTTATTTTGTCGCTGTTGTGTGATGTGTACACTGTGCCAAACCCAGAATGTCACATTCAAAAATTTGTGGCATCCTGTAGTGCAAGGACGCTGCAGAGTGTTTGACAGAATTTGTTCCTGCTTCACATGGGAGGAACAGAATTAAATCACTGGCCCCCTCAGTGGGGGGGACGAAACAAAACTCCTGTTCCTTTTTTGTAGTGGTGCTGAGTCGTTGGAATAAGCAATCGATATCAGGGTACTAAGAAATAATAAGGAAAGCCTGTTAATAATTTCCTCGTTTAGTCAAACATTAATATCGTCTCCTCATAGTGAAATACTACTTGGGTTCTTTTTATGCACGCGTGTAAAAGTTCCCTTAAATCGGGGGAACTTGCTGTCAGGTGATAAAAGGATTTCAGTACCCCTGTGTGTGATTTCTTCCCCTACACTCTCCAAACCGTCGCTGCCCAGGGTGAAGTCATGGCGGCCCCATTCTTGACCCAGCATACTGTAGAAGCCCTGTACTGTATCAGTCGCTATTGCATAAGTTTGCCTTGACAAATCGAAGTTAGCTATTGACTTGAAATAATCAGCTCAAATATGAACGTAATGTATTTTTTTCATTATGGGAAGCTCCAGCTGTTTGTTCTGTAACAACAACAACAAAGAAGAAGAAAAAGAAAAAGAAAAAGAAAAAGGGGGGAAGTAACTGGTGCTGAAAGCCTGCTGTGTTATGTTGGAAACACTTTTGTGGTTGAAAGAAAAATGAGCTAAAAGGGAAGTATGCTTTTAAATCCTTCTTGAAAACATTAAAAAAAAAGATGAATGGAATAACCATAATGTAAATATTGTAGGAGGGACTATTAAGCTCCTCTTTCTGTTAACATTAGTATTGATTTGGCAAAGTGTCATCTGGAATTTTTATGTAGGCTAATCTGTTAATCAGAAGGGTAGGTGAAGGAATTGCTTCTCTCTGCAAGGTGGCGCCCAGCTAATAAGGTCTGATTTCTTTAAAATATATTGGTCCTACTGAATATTGGTCAGCTTTGGTGAGTAAACTTTTTAAGAAAGGCTATGCATCAGGTCACTTTCTACTGTCAACCCCTGTATATTATGAGCACCCTTGTCAGCTTTGACTCTTGCCTCTCTCTTTTTAAAATGAAACTAAAAGTTCCCAGTAGAAGTCGGTGCCCCCTCCCATAACACTCAAATTCTCATTTCAATAGCAATGCAAAATGTGCAACATCGTGTGTTTTTTCCAGGTGGTGTAAATCAGACCAACTTCCATCTTCACCCCGCCTGTCCCAGTCAAGAGAGTTGAAATAACTTTGTAACTGCAATTCTATACTTGTTTACTCAAAGGAGAGTCTCACTGACTTCAGTGGGACTTGCTCCATGTTAATTGGATATAGGATTGCAGCCTTAAGTCTAAGGATCTTGCTCTGCAGTTGTTGGTCCAGTGCTTAATAAAAAAATGTCTTCTCTTTCTTTTTAAGACCACATAATCCCATGAAGGAAATAATATCGAGAAATCAGTCAATGGGATTTTGGAACGAACCCAGTACAGTAAAAGTCTAGAAGTATTTGAAAAATGATATTGAAATCTAGCACACATGATTGTTTGGGGACAGAGGTGGACTTCGGAAACAGCAGCTTCCTGAAGTCGGGGGGGGGTAAGCTTTTAAGTGCCACAAATGATGTTCCAAATTGGCAATTCTGAGCTTTATGAGGATCAGTGAACTATTTTGTGCCATTGAGGATTTCTAGCTTGCAGTTCGCCAGCTTCACAACCTTCGGGGGCTGTTTTAAAAATGCTTATAACTTTGTGTTAAGTCTGAGCCGCACTTTTAAAATCGCCTCAAATTTTATACACTGTTTGTATTTCATGCAAAGGTGTGGGTTCTTAAAAGTTGTTTGCACAAAACCTTCAGCACTGTTCACAATTTTAGTACATCCAGAAGATGCAGAAATGTCCTGGCCTTTCTTCAGGTTGTCTCATACTCTCTTGTAGAGTTCATTTTTGAATATTCACTGGTCGCATAGAAGAGAGCAAGGTCCAACTGATTTGCTAAATTTTAGCCACTCAATAACTTGCTTCCAAAATAATCAAACTAATATTTTTTCCTGGTTTGTGTTCTATATCCTCTCCCAAGGTGTCTTTTCAGGGCGGGTGGGAGACTTCTTTAAGGAAATACCTAATCCCTTCATAACCCGAAATTACTGATATCATGAGAGGAAGTGCTACCATACTCTGAAGAAAGTTCTTTAGACAAGCAAGGGGATAGAAATAGGAGTCTCTCCTCTAATCCACCCCTCTAATCCACTTTATCTGCTCCTCTCTTTTCCAACCCCTCTCCTCCTATGCATGTCCTATAACCCTCTTCCTTCAGACAGCACCTTTTTCGTTTTTCCCTTGACTTCCCATTTATATTGAGTTTGCCTGTCCTTGTAGAGCCTGTGCCGTATGTGAGACGAAGCAGGGAAATGGATGTGTTTATGTAAAAAGTTCAAGTTTACTCTGTTTTCTCTCTCTCTTTTACTTCTTTTTTTTTCCCCCTACCGGGGTGTGACAAGAAAAGATTGTGGTTGAAGCCAGATGTTTCTTGCTGGATTCTGTTTTTTGTGAATGGAGGCAGCGCTCCAGTTTTGACTGCTTGTCTTGAAGAATTGCTTAGGAGATCAGCTGTCTCATTCACTGGCAGAAAGAATGACTCCTACGTCTTCTGCCTTGTTTGGCTCCAGGTCATTGTTACAGTGGGTAGAGCTGGTTTTAATTAAATAGCAGCTTCTTTTTTTTGTATGGGCTGGTGCCTAGTCTTCCATCCTTTTCTCCCCCTCCTTCCCTTCAGTGCTCTTACTTACTTTTTTTTCCCTGTATACTTTCCAAGAGAAGAAAGTAAAGTGATCCTCGGCTTTTGGCTTTTCTTTTCCAGCCTGCTTCTGGCTTGCTTCATGCGCTAAAATGCTGCTGTCTCTCCTCTCCTCACCCCGCTCCAGCTAACGATGTTCAGATTTCTTCTTCTCCTTATTAAAAAGGGGGTCTGAGGTTCATTTCAGTACTTGTAATAATAATAATAGCAACAACAATTTGTTATTTATATGTCGCCCATCTGAGTGGGTTGCTCCAGGCGCTCTGGGCAGCTTCCAACAAATCAAAACACAATAAGATGCCAAACACTAAAAACTTCCCTAAACAGGGCTGCCTTCAGATGTCTTCTAAAAGTCAGATAGTTGTTTATTTCCTTGACCTCTGATGGGAGGGTGTTCCACGGGTCGGGCGACAACTACTGGGCTTTAAAATGCCAAGAGATCAAGCTGCACGGTCCTGTGCACACCTGTGCCCGTCCCATTAAACTCAGGTCGGACTCATCATAATGCAAAACATCCTGTGTAGGACATTGGGCTGAAAGGAGCTCGTGATTTTTAACTAAGCAAGCGATTTCTAGGGAAGCTGGGGGGAGACCCCATCCAAACCAAGAAAGCTCCCCTGAAAGATCTTAATTAATGCGGTGTTGCCTTGGCTTCTACCTGTGGGAAACGGTGAGAATTTGTGTGGGGAGGAGAAGCATTTGGCAACGATCAGTCTTAACCAAAGAACAGATGTTGGTCTCTCAAGTCGCTGGCAACTTGTCGATTACCTTAATGCAGAACGAACCTGACAGAGCTGTTCCCAATATTGCCACATGTTTGAGCTTCTCAAAATGCTTCTGGTGTTTATTTTCTCCTCAGTCTTGCTTCATTAAATAGAGTGGGGAGATAGTCTCCATTGTGGTTTTTTTTGTTTTTTGTGGTGTTTTTTTAAAGGTGTAACCATTACATGCATCTAAACGTTTTTCTGTCTCCTTATCTGCGTTCGGCAAACACTTATGTTGACATGCCCTCTTCCTCCCCCCCTTCTGTAGCCGCCATCCCCCCCCCGCACACACTGTCACTGTATTCAAAACCACTGTAGCTTTTATGACAGCCTCACAGAATTGCAACGTCGGCATTGACAAGAAAAGAGGAAATGAATGATATATAAATGTGCCTGCAGTTACAGCACTCCAAAGTCATATTTTTCTTTTCAGGCATCCATGTTTTTAGCCCAAGTTAACCGTCTGCTTACTGGTCTGACTTGTAAGTCCTTCAAGGCTGAGGTGTGTGTGTGTATATATATATATATATATATATATATATATATATATATATATATATATTTGGGGGGGGGATATTGTGAAGGCATTTTTGACAAGTAAGGGCCTTAATACACACTTACCTGGGAGTGTCCCATTGAACCCAGTGGGTCTAACTTCTGAGGCAACATATGTAGGATTGTGCTGTAAATCACTAATGTACGTCACCAGCCCCCATTTTAAAGGGAGGTTTTGTGGTGTTGCGGGACATGAGCTTTTAGTACTCATTCTGATTCCTTCTCTGCATTTCATCGACATTTTCATTTCTGTTGTTAAGAAGAGGAGTGAATATTTGCTCGTATTCATCAATATGGGATTGAGAACATCTCCAAGGGGAAGCGTTTGCACCCAGGGAAGAGCAAAGAATGTCAGAGCAGGGGCTCAGTCACGATTTAATTTATTCCCCAAGAGAGGTAAAGCTGCTACATTTCAGACCTTTCCACAGAGTTTTGTAAATTGTTTTGTAAAGTTCTTTCTTAAAATAAAAATAGCTTCTTCTCCCCCCCCCCCCCGAGTCTTGTTGTGTGCTTGTTTCCCTCCCTCCCTCGTATATTTTCTGTGATAGGCAATTGTGGGTGCCCCTTTATTGTGAAGCTGACACATCAAAAGTCAGGGCAAATGTAAAGCCAGTGATAAAAATGAATGTTAATGGAGGATTTGTGCTGCAGATTTTCATTCCTTTGAAAGGGGAAGCTGAAGCTTGGTTCTGGTTTGTTTGTAACACTACGAAAACATACTCAACTGGTGTGTTGCAAAGTATAATTTCTATACAAATGGATGTAAAGACCACATTCTGCAGCTATCATATGTAGTTTTTGCTACATGTGTCTGGATTCTATAACAGAAGGGTGTGTGCTGATTTACATAGATTTTTTTTTTGGGGGGGGGTTGTTTTTAAAAGAACTGTTTGAAAACTAATGTTGGCCTTTTCATCCCTGGGCCTTAAATATATTTCCTACTTCCAGTACAGAGAGACTGAAGCTATAGGTTCTGTTTCGTTGTACCAGATTCTGAAATGCATGATGATGCTCAAAAAGTTTGTTTTATCCTTTTTATAAGCTTTTAAATAAATGATTTGATGTATTTTAATAGTTTTTAACCGGAAGGGTGTCAAGTTAGTTTGGGAACTTTCATTTATATGTCAGTTTCCCGTCCACAATATGCAATGCATATTCTATTGCTCTGAATAAAACAACTTGTGCTTTTTCTCTTGGCCTTGAGAACCAGCATAGTACAGTCGCTATGTGTTTAGCTTTGATGTGGGAAATCTGGCTTCAAATCTTTCCCAAATCAGCCAAAGCCTACCTCACAGGGTTGCTGTAACACTAAAATGCTTTCATTAAAAAAGAAAGAAAAGTAGGACACCTTCTGTTCTAAGCCATTGTGGTTTCTTTTGATGTGAAATGAAAAGGAAGGTTAAGTTGTCATATGGAATTCAAATTGTTTTTAAAATCCAGTCCTTGTGGCATCTTCATAGTAGCTGGTCTTATGTGGGGATGAGGGAGAGCAATGGAAAGGATTCCACACTGCAGTTTGTCAGCTGTTTTTTCTATGGTCTCATGGCTTCCTCAGAAGCATTTAAAAGTGTGGTGGTTATTCTGACACCTTTTCTCCGTAGCGTGTAAACAGGAGATGCTAACTTGGTTATATAAATTAAGTTGTATAGATAATGATGGCTTTGCCTCAGATATGCCTTGAGTCTAATGATGTCCGGTTAATAAAAAGATGATCAAGTGGTATTGGGACAGGTGTGATCTCGAAAACCAGGCCTAGATCGAAACAAAGGAAAAAAACTTAATTCCAAGAGCCAAAGGAATCCTTACACAAGGCTTGCTCTCAGAGAAGTCATTGTGCTGTTCGGCAATCTGTCACTGGAACCCCAGGGGCGATTCAAAAGGAGCTCATCTTAGGATGTGGGGCCCAGTTATTCAAAGAAAAACTGGGCTGGCGCAACCCACATGCTTGAGTCTAAGCAGCTATTTGGATCACAGCCTTAATAAACATTTTTTTATTGTTGCCTGTATGAACTCATCTTGTAGTGCTCTATTCATTCTTCTTCTTAACTCATCAACATGATTTCACGTTAACCTTAATAGGCGCGGTACAAATGCATCTCTCTTGTGTGTGCTAAGATAGGAAGCCTGTTTGAAAGTGCAAGTAACACTATCTTCATTTATTAGGGCTAGAAGGGTCCAGTAGTAAGTTTTTGTTCTGCTCACTCTTTTGCATAATGACATACTGCATATAAAATTTGTGTGTGTGTCATAGAAGGGTTGGAAGGGACCCCGAGGTTCATCTAGTCCAAACCCTGCCCTGCAGGAATAGGCAGCTGTCCCACAGTGGGACTGGACCTGAAACCTTGCTGGTGTTATTAGCACCACACTCTAACCAACTGAGCTATCCATGTGTATAGATATTGGAAAGTGCACAAGAGAGAAACAGTGTCAACTTCTGTTGCTTGATGTGAAAATGACAGTGTCTGGTAGTATCTTAAAAGCAAGCTCCCAACTAATCTTGATGTTAATATCAATAAGGGCACGACTTGTACTGCTCATTGCTGATTAATTTACCCATATGCATTTCATTAAGTGACCCCAACGATGGTTCTCATCACAAAGCAAACTACCCTGTATTGATCAGCATGAATTTCTGGTTGGGCAATAAGCCTCTTGGTGAAGATGGAAAATAAAAAAATACTTATTTCTGAATTAAGATTCATAGGATTAGGGGGGCAGAGCTGTAAATCTAATTTTGCTAGGAAGTAAGTTGGATTGAGCTCAATGGGCTTCATTTCTGAGTATCTATGCATAAAGAGAAGCCTTGAGTTATATATATATCACTTAGAATATGGAGACATGAAACTTTGCTTTATAATATACATTTATTTAGCACCATGTGTCCTTTAAGCACACAAGTAGATGCGTAGTGGATCCCTGCTAATCTTAGCATCTGATTTTAGGGTTCTTTGCAGAGATGCTCTTAATCTCTAATCTAAATTGTGAATGTGTAAAATATATTTCTGTCTTTAGAAGCATTGAGCCAAGTTCCCATTTGTGCTTGAATTTATTTGTGTGTGTGTGTGTGTGTGTGTGTGTGTGTGAATGATCAGTTTGGAGTTCTTGGTACAATTAACAATGTTTTAGATGGATCATAGAATTCACTAGGAAATGCATCTTTTTTCATCTCTTATTAGCAACTATTCTATTCCCGCTCCCACTGTAGCTTTTCTCTTTTCCATAAACTGCTACAGTTGTTCAAAGGCAACAGCCTAAAATGCTTCCATGGTCTTCTGCATATATTAGATTTGACCCCCCTTTGCTACTTTCTCTAGTGGTACCAGCTTGATTTATTACTACAGAGATGCAGTTCTACCTCCTCAGTGTTGGTCAGATGCAAGCATAAATCTAAGATGGGCAACTACTGCCTACCACTAGTTTTACTGTCGGGGAGTACTTGGCAACTAAAGCAGCGCCTGATTTACCGATGTACATACTGCCATTTTCTAAAATGGGTGTAAATGTTCAGCGGTAACAACAAATACAGAATTCTCACACTCGGAGTTCATTTTGGGTTGTTTCTCGTACCTACGTCGGCGTTGTGTTCATGCTAAATCATCTTCTCGATTTGGGCGCTGGCTAGTACTAAGAGTTAGGATCACTTCGATGTTTTGCTGGCTTGTGGATGTTAATTCCTTTCTTTCTGTTTCCCCCCCACCCTATCTTCAGCTCAGGTACCTGACAATGATGAGCAGTTTGTGCCAGACTACCAGGCTGAGAGTTGTAAGTATTGTATGACTCGCCACTTTTGCTTCACTTAAGAAAATGTCTTACCTTTCTTGTTTTGGTTAGCCAGTGCTCACATGATAAGTGTGGTTATCAGGCCATGGCATCACCATAGAAACATGTGAGGAAAGAAATTGCCGAATTGCAGCCGGGGTGGTTTTGGTGGCGGGGAATGGTTTGGCTGAAGGCGGTGATATCATTTTTCCTTTTGTGAAGGGGCTGGTGGGTTATTGCAAAGAGTGCATTCTTCTAATATAGGGATGAGCAAGCTCTGGGCCTCCAGATGTTGTGGGACTACAGAACCCATCCTCCATGAGCAATGGCTATATGAGCTAGGGCTGATGGGAGTTGGAGTCCAATGAGACACAGAAGGCCACAAATTGCTCTACCAAAACTGTTGGACTCCCAACTCCCACAGGTACACCTGGCACATAGGTTGCCAAAGTGTGCAGCATTTTGCCTTTTGAATTTCCTTCCCGTTTTACCTTCCTTACAAAATGCAATTCACTTCTGTCGAAATGAGATGTCAAAGTTGCCTTGTTTCTCCCGGCTAAGATGGAATTTGACCTTGGGTGTGGGCTTATCAGAAGGGGGAAATGTGGCGCTGGGGCTAATAAGCCATCCAAGAGTTTATGTCAGGTGTTGGGTGGGCAGTTCAGGGCTTCCTGCATTGTATTGCTGGAAAAAGATTCACATGCATGCACATAACTGAGGCGAAAGGGGGTCCCTTGAAAGTTCATGCCTGCCCCCAAAGTTCTTGAGAACCGTTTTTAGTAGGTCTGTTGTTGTTGTTTTCTTAAGCTGCAATCCAATATACCAGGGATGAGGAACCTCAAGTAGAGGGGTTGGATGTGGCCTTTCATGCCTCTCTGTTTGGCCCTCAGGCCTCTGCCTAGGCCACAACCCTTCACTGACCCTGCTCTAAGTCTCCAGTGATTTTACCTGACAGGAATGTGTCCTTGAACCTCTTGCTTGCCTGGATGGAGAGTGGTCTGTCTCTGGCGACACTTGGCCACACCTGCTATTGGATGGATGCCCATGATAGAATGTGACCCTCAAGCTGCTTTGCACATTCAACCTGGGAGTACAGTGAGCTTGCTTCTGTGTAGACAGATATAGGCTGCTCTTCTGGAACCACTGGCAGTTCTACCAGCAGCTTTATTTAAAGAGTAAACCTCTTTTCCCCATGACTGATTCTGTGGCCAAAGAGTCACCACTGGTGATTTTCCTCTCTCATTTTATGTGATAAAGAGGTTTTGTGAAAGAACTCCCCGCCGCCCTGTCATTCGCAAATCATAGATACTGAAAATAACATCAAATGTTCCTTTCAGAATATGGTAATGTGGTATTTTGCCATGATCTTGTGTGTGTCTTCCACCTCAAAAACTGGCGTTCTAAAGAGAGAGAGAGAGAGAAAGACCCATCTTCCTTGAAAAAAAGCGACAGAGCTTCAAGAGTGTCCCATAACACAGATCCTTCCCCTCTACACATTTAAACAGCTTTAAAGTATGACTGGATTCTACTCCATTGTTCCCCTTGAGGGTAAATATGACAATTCCAGTCAGCTTGGAATTGTTTTCTCAAATTTGACTTCCTTGGCAACCCTTCCGTATTCCAGCAGACTGTATAACTAATTTTTTGCTTGCTTAAGTAAGTTCTTGGATGGGGGGGGGGGGAAATGTAACCTTTGAAATCAAGTACCTGTTAATTTTAACATTAAGGTGTTGTAGAAGATGACATTAAACAGATACAAGTGAAAGAAACATGTTGTGCTATGTTTAGTGATATGAGTAAAACTGGGAAATAATAGCCTGTGAGCCCCATGTCAAATGGTATCCCCCCCCCCCCCCCCGCATGAAACGAAACCAGCTGTGTTGCCTTGAAATGGAGTTTGGACAAAATAGTTGGAGTTCAAAGACAGTATGTTAAACTTAAGTTTTCAAACCAAGGACTTCCGTCTGCACAATACATTTGGAACAGTATGATGCCACTTTAACAGTCCTGGCTTCCCCTCAGGAATCCTGGAAACTGTTCTTCTCACAGAGCTGCAATTCCCACAGTAGTATAACAGTTAATCCCTCCTTCTAGGGAATAGTAGCTCTGTGAGGGTAATGGGAGTCTCCTAAATACTTTCAGCGCCCTTAGCAAACTACCGTTCCCCAGATTCTTTCGGGGAAGCCATGGCTGCTTGAAGTAGTATCATAGAGCTTTAAGTGACCCATATGTTTTCAATGCCACTTCCATATATTATAATACTGCTTCCTATATTATAATACAAGAGCCCCTTTAAAGGACCAGATGACCCTCAGGGTCCCTGCCAACTCTACAGTTCTATGTGCAAAAAAACCGATAGTGGAGAGCTCAGTTCATATATTTTGAATCTGTTACCCTTTGGGCTCCTTTGGAGGAAATTGTGGGCTGGAAAACTAATCCTACAATATCTTTAAAAATAAAATAGCAGGGGTGTGTGACTTGTGACCCACCCCACTAAATTGGGTGTCTGTACTGAGGTCAAGGGCCATTTCTAGGTATTACCCAAATTCTTTCTCTGGGAGTGCAAAGTTCTGCTGATTGTTTCACTGACTATTGTACAAAATAAATCAATGATTCGTAGAGAAGGGCTATGAACTGTGAATGAGAAACCCTGTCAAATATTGTCAGGGTTTCTTGAGGAAGCACTTCCCCCTCGGACAGAAATGCCCTAATCCAGTTAGAGCCTTTCCGCAGGCATAAGCAGACCTGTGCCCTGCCTAATAATAATAATAATAATAATAATAATAATAATAATGTAGAAATGGATGCTGCATGCATAGTTCTCATATCTGATCCAGTTGTTAGAGCTGTGTCTTTCAATCTGCCATTGGTTTGGTGAGGAATCTGGGGCAGGCAGAGAACTTGAACCCAGCTCTCACTTCCCCTGTTTGGGTTGCATTTTAAATGGCTTGAAAGGAGTTCATATGCATGACTTTGGCTGTCCTGAGCACACACACCTTTTGGATTGGGGCAGGCACCCCCAAACTCGGCCCTTCAGATGTCTTGGGACTAGAACTCCCATCATCCATAGCTAACAAGACCAGTGGTCAGGGATGATGGGAACATCTGGAGGGCCAAGTTTGGGGATGCCTGGATTGGGGCATAGGTGTTTTCTTAAAGTTCTTTGTTAACTGGAACCACCTCAGCTACAATTTACACAATCCTATCAAAAGAGCATTTGTTTGTTTTGTTTTTTCCTTGCTTTCCCTTTCCAAAGGAAAGGTCAGGAAGCTTCCTGGGGAGTTAATCTGGCAAAGGTTGCAGAGTTTCCAACACAGATTTAGCTATGTAAGTTACATCCATGAGCTGTGTAAAATATTGGAGTAAGCAAAGCTGTTGGGTGATTTAAAGAGGTGAACTCGGAATCTCTTAGAGGTACATTATATAGATTTGCTATGTATAGCGCTATAAATGCAGGCATACGGTTTTGATTTTTGCAACAGAGAACTTTGCAGAAGTAACAAAGGTTATGCTCTGCGAGAATTGTGAAGACCACAGAGAAACTGCAAATCTATCTAGAGCGGAAAACAAGAACTATTTGGGGCAGAGGGGGGCAGAGAATGGGGGTGATGCGCTTATACATAGGTGATTCTCATAAATTTCAAAACTGATGGGAGTGGGAAGGTGTGTGTGGGGGGGGGAATCAATGCCAAGCCAGTAGCAGATTCAAACTGGATACAAATCCTTATACAGTGGTACCTCTAGTTATGAATTTAATTCGTTACAGAGGTCCGTTCTTAACCTGAAACTGTTATTAACTAGAGGCGTGTTTTGCTAATGGGACCTCTTGCTGCCGCTGCACCGCCAGCACACGATTTCCATTCTCGTCCTGGGGCAAAGTTCTCAACTTGAGGTAACTCTTCCAGGTTAGCAGAGTTTGTAACCTGAAGCGTTTGTTGCCTGAGGCGTTTGTAACTCGAGGTACCACTGTGGTGCAAAGTGACACAGGCTTGAGCAAATTTCAAGGAAGGAGAGGGCCATTAATGTGTCTTGCACTGTCATACAGGCCAACAAATTTATTATGGCATAAGCTTTAGTGGACTGGAGTCCCCTTCATCCGTTAACGTGTAGTCTTTAGTCCATGAAAGTTTATACCACAATAAATCCGTTAGTCTTTAAGGTGCCACAAATCTCTTTGCAACAGGGTATGCTGGGTACTGCTTTGAAGACCATGAATAGGGTGTCTTCAAGCATGCTTGGGAATATATTTTCTTTTCTGTATATGTGCCCTAACTCCAGATATTTCCATATAGTAAGTTTTGGCATTGTTGTAGGGAGCAAAACAGGGATAGTTGGTACATAAGTAGAATTGGCTGCAGCAACAGGTTGAAAGTTCCTTGAGGCTCCTTTGTGGCTCATGCAATCACCAGGCAGGTGGCTTTGTTAGTTCTTGGGTGCGCCAGATTGCTTGGAAGAGCAGAATCTGGAATAGTGCCTGAGGGCTCATTCACTCATGCACTAGTGTGTTCCACTCAAATATCTTTCTTAATCAACACTCCAGTGCTGAATTGCCTCTCTTAAAGTATTATAATTTGAGATAATGTTGAGTGATGTGAAAACTTTGTTTTCAGGCATTCAATCTGCTACGTTTGTTTCTTACATGCAGGGCATCACTTAATATTACTATGATGGAGTAATTCTTTTTTGTGTGTGAATTTGACTCAAATTAGGTGATATTTAAAAAGAAAGCGGGGGAATAGATTGAGTAGAAGAAGCAAAGGTATTTTCTTCTTTGCAAATGCTGCTGAGGGCCTTTTTAAAAAATAAATAAATAAATGATGTAAAGATGCTCTTATCAACAGCCTTGCAGAATAGTTCCCTTTGAAGTTAGAAAAAAAAATTCCCATCTCATCTCAAGGTTTTTGCTTTCTTGGGAATGTTTCTTAGCAAATACAGCATTGGTGTTGTTAGAAGTGAGAATATGATGGTAGATATGGCAAAAGTAGCTTCTGGCTTTAAAAAAAGAAAAGAGAAAAGTCTTGAATATATTTTTAAGCTGTAGTTGCAAGGAGCATCTGATTAAAGCAATGATGGAACCCTCCCTGTGACCCTCAAGATGTTCTTGGACAGGTTTCCTCAACCTCAGCCCTCCAGATGTTTTGAGACTACAATTCCCATCATCCCTGACCACTGGTCCTGCTAGCTAGGGATCATGGGAGTTGTAGGCCAAAAACATCTTGAGGGCCGAGGTTGAGGAAGCCTGTTCTCAGGGATGATGGGGGTTGTAGCTCAGAGTCATCTGAAAGGCCAGAGATTCCCACCCCTGATCTAAAGCCACCATAAATAATAAACAAATACATTTATATCCCACCCTCCCCAGCTGAAGCCAGGCTCAGAGCGGCTAACAGCAATAAAGTGACACAATTTACATAAAATCACAATCAATTAATTGAAATCAGGCATTTCTCTTGGGGGGGGGGCAAGGATGCTAGTTCCGTCTCGTTTTGCTGGTTTGATCATCGCCTTCCCCGAGTTGGAGGGAAATGACTGGAGAAGCAATGTGGGACAAATCTAGCTTTTTTGTTGCAAATCCCCTCCCCATGAAGAATGCCTAAAGAGAGTTTCTCTGTCCGTTTGTCTCTTAAAAGCAGTCATCAGCCCAAATATTTCAGCAAAATCTGTCTGCCTATTGCACTGAAATAATGTACACTTAAATTTTGCAATATGTCAAGCTCCTCTAGTAGTGTATAATCTCCTGTGCTCATACACCTTGGGATTCTTACTTGGGAATCTTTTGTTTATGCTGGGCTCCTTGCCTGCTGATTCTAGAGCCTTGCAGTTCATTGGCTGTTACTGCTTTGTGTGCTTCGGACGTGTGTACAGATAACCACTACAACATCCTAGGAATGCTGGAAGAGCCCTTCTAAGTCTAAGGAAAGGACTTAAACTAGTCCAGCATGCTGCTGATAATTTCTAAGGGCGCTTCTAGGCAGGTGTTTTCCACTGGGGCTGTTGCTGCATTGACTTGCAGTCACCTCAGGCCGTCGACTATGTTGTCACTCTGAGCTGGAGCCATCTTAGGGAGTTGCAGGTGGCATTTACGCATGACTGGTGTTATACTGCCGTGATCTCATTGCTGCCATCTGCAGAGGACCATAGTAGCACTGGCCTAGGTTCCCCGTGTTGCTACTCTATTCTGTTCTTGAGGTTTTAAGATCTGTAACAGCCTCCTGCACGCTATGTTGAAGCAGTAGTACTTCCTCTTTCTTTTGAGCCTGCTTTTGTGTAAAGACTAACAATTGATGATGATGATGATTTTGCATTTATAGCCCACTTTTTATCCATGGAGCTCAAGGTGGCATATATGGTTTTCTCACTCCCGATTTTATGCCCGTGATGACAAGCCTGTGAGGTAGGTTAGGCTGAGAGATGGTTGCTGCTCAAGGTTACCCAGTGAGTTTCATAGCTGAATGGGGATTTGAAAGGATGTTTTAGGAGTAGGTAGTTCAGTAATGCTTGTTCTGGATCACAGTGGCTCTTCATGGTCTCAGGCAATGGTTTTTCACATCACCCGATGCCTGATCCTTTTTAGAAAAAACTGAATCACTCTGCAATGTTAAAAAACAAAACAAAAATATTATGCATCTTTATCCAGAAGCTATCCAAGTCAGAAATGTTTACTAGCGCTGTGCCAATTCCCCCCCCCCCCGACCATATATTCAAGAACTATAAAAGGCAGGAGAAGATATTGGAGAAATTTTCACAGGTGAGGTGTTGCTGTGCTTAACCTTTCCAGCAGTGATGTAGGTTTTCTGGGACATATTTAATTGGAAAACTTCCCTATGTAAATAATTTGCATTTGAGTATAGTCTGCGTAGGGTAACTTGCATTAGAAAATTCACTGATGCCCAAGAGAGTGCTATAATTTGGCATGTTTATTTCACTTGTATTTAGTAAACAATGCTAGAAAAAATGCCGGATATTTATTTGCAATTGGCATCCATTCATTTTTACTAATGAATTTAGGAAGTAGAAGATTTTCTGCAGGAAAAAACAAAACACTTGAAAAAAATTCTGCCCCATATTTCAAGGGGGCCCAGGGGTGATTGTGAGTGTCCTTTCTTCCCATACCATCTCTCTGGTTTTCTGCAACTGCAGCCACCTTGGGTGCCTGCAATCTATGTCTTCAAACGGGCATTCCTATAAGTAGGGGAAGTTGGGGAGGCTGCCTACTATGCATCTAACAGCTGTTTGCAATTTAAAGAACAAACTTCTCTCATGGGGCCTTTTCAGATTGAAGAAGTTCAGGCAGTTGAGGAAGCTGCAAAAATGGGGAGAAATGTATAATTCTGGGCAGAATGGAAATTGATGCCTTCTTCTATCCATATTTGCAGGGCAAGGGGAGTTTGGAGGGCAGGTTTTGGCCCAGCATTAGCTTTTACAGATGAGAGTAAAGTAGTCTTCCTTGACTACTTCTCCTCTCACTTCAGCAGAGTGAAATAATTTTAATAATATAGTTGACTGCTTTCCTTTGCACCTGACCTCTATGGTTTCATTTTGTGGTTAGCCCCAAGCATTAGTCTGTATTTAGCCATATTCCTCCCTGCCCCCCGCTCTTTATATATAAGGATGGAAGACTTACTTAAATTTGAGGAAGGCTATTCTTCATGAATATAGCAAGAGAGAGAAGGCTTGCCACTGGGCTCCTCCTAGTCAATAATACCTTTAATCTGTGGTTGTAGTAGCAACTTGAAAGCTTTATTTTGGTTTTAATAAGTAGTTCTTGTTTTTCTGCAGACTGTGGAGATTTTTTATTAATATGTAACTCCTAACTCTGAAGGGTACAAAGACCTTGATATATTTAGCCTCAGTATCGATCTGATACACAACTGGCACAATATTACTATAAAATAAATGGCTGCTCACTGCCAATGTATATAGACAGTATTGATGTTTAATCCTTCTGGAAACTTGTTTTTTTTTAATGACCTTGCTGCTATGAGGTGAACAGGCTTTGCTTACTGAAATTGCCCTCTTGCCATTCGTGGAAGTTGGCAGGTCTTGGGCCCTAGTCCTTTGACTTACTTTTTGACATTTAAGGCACATGCGTGAGATTTAATGACCTGTCTTTTCTTTAACCTACTTGGTTTTTTAAAGTGTAAGTATGTTATCATTGTTGAGGGTTTTTTTCCTTCACTTGTCAGGCCAAAGTTTTATTTCACTAAGCTCTGTTGTTCACTCTTTTATTAGGGGTTTACATCTTGGCTTGCATTAAGAAGGTTAAATCGCCTAATCTTAGTTCCATCAGATTCCTTCCACGTGGCCTCAGATACCTCACCACTCCATATAGTTTCTTTTCTTTTCCAAATTGTGACATTTATTTATATTTTCAAATGTTTCCTTCCAAGGGCTATAATCAGGGCAGCTTATCTGAAAACAATACACTGGGAACTTTGTGACATGTTTCTGTCTGTCTTTTGTCCCTGTGATTTCTCGAAACAAGTTCTATGTGCTTAGCTATTGATTTAAGAAAAACTTGCTCACCTGTGTTTGTGCTTGCAAACGCGCATCTTGCCTTCATATTTACTTACCACTGAAAATGCAGGTTTATATGCAGTAAAGTTGGTGCCCATTTAAAAGTGTGAATGGCACTCAGCTTTGATTTCATGTAAATAAGCTTTTTCCTTGATAAACAGCGGTACATATGATTTTGCATACTGTATGTGATGGTTCAGTTCAGACGCTTACAACTGCAAATCAGGGGTTTTTATTTCAGGATTTGAAGTGGTTATGGGGGCCTTGGATATGAAAGGTAATTCAAGCTCTTTCTCTCTTTCTGTCTGATCCCATGCATTTGATTTTTGTCACCCTGTCCAGCATTCAGTCTTGCTCAATGCCATCTTTACATGTTGTGTTGGTGTGCCTTGCCTGGAAAGACACAATAGCTTTTTTCAGAGAGTTCGATACAGTTTTAAGGGGTGGGAGTTTCCTGCTTGTAAGCTCATTCAACTTTCACTTCCAGTAAAGCAGGTTTTGTAGGCATTTGTTCCATAACCTCCAAAGCCCACTTGATCAGAAGAGAGCCCTTCTCTCAACTGGGAGAACAATCATGTACCCCAGGATTTTGTACCTCCATAGAGGGCACCACCCAACAGATGACACCAAACAGTGCAATGTAAGAAAAGCCACGTGAATGGGTGGAAGGAACCAAGAAGAACCTGTCCCTGCATTAAGCATTTGCACTTGCTGGTTATCTCCCGCTTGGATTACTGAAATGCGCTCTACATGGGGCTACCTTTGAAGGTGATCCAGAAACTACAACTAATTCAGAGTGCTGCAGCCAGACTGGTGACTGGGAGTGGCCACCAAGACCATATAACACCGGTCCTGAAAAGCCTACATTGGCTCCCAGTACGTTTCTGAGCACAATTCAAAGTTGGTGCTGACCTTTAAAGCCCTAGGTGGCCTTGGCCGCCCAGTATACCTGAAGGAGCATCTCCACCCCCTTTGTTCTGCCCGGATATGGAGGTCCAGCTCCAAGGGCCTTCTGGTGGTTCCCTCACTGCAAGAAGTGAGGTTACAGGGAACCAGGCAAAGGGCCTTCTTGGTAGTGGCACCCGCCCTGTGAAACGCCCTCCCACCCAATGTCAAAGAAATAAACAACTATCCGATTTTTAGAAGACATCTGAAGGCAGCCCTGTTTAAGGAAGTTTTTAATGTTTGAAGTTTTATTCTGTTTTTAGTGTTCTGTTGGGAGCTGCCCAGGGTGGCTGGGAAAACCCAGCCAGGTAGGTGGGGTATAAATAATAGAATTATTGTTGTTGTTATTATTAATAATAATAATAAAAAAGCAAGTTTATGTTTTTGAAAGGGGCTTAATGAAGGATCTGGTGTGGTAGACTAGACTTTTAAGAAGGATCAGGCAGTGTGCTTCTCTTTGCCTGTAATAAAACAAGAAAAGAAGCCATTGTTCCATGACTACAAGACATTTGTGTCTCCTCCAAAGTTTTAAATTTAGACCCTGAAGTGTGCGTGTAATAGAGAGTGTACACAATAGATGTCCATCTCAATAAAAACCAGCTTTTTAATCTTCTGTCTTGCCTCTTCACAAACTTGATACCTGCCCCATAGTCAACCTGTGCCAGATCATGAGAAGTGATACATAGGGATGAATGGCAGTCCTTAGATCTATCTAATTGGATACCTTGGGAAAGAGATGGATCATGCAATCTTGGCCTTTTAATAGCTCCGTTGTATGCCCTTATGTGAACAGCAGATTGCTTTTCCTTTTTAATAATCTTCATAGTCTTCAGCATCCTTTAATTGGAGCATTTTCCTGTCCCCTATTACAGCTGAGGGAAGTGTACGCAGTTTATCGACATAAGTAATGGCTCTGTCATAACATGAAATAAGCATATGCTGTTCATTAGATTAGACATGGTTACTACTTACATTTGGAAGAGCAGTGTAATTAATTGAGGTTTGACTTCGGGAATCAGGGCTGCTTTTAAATAAAATAATCTACGGTTTGATTGCAAGTCTGCCTAAAGGTGAAGACTGAAATGTTATTTTACATTTGGCAGGTAGAAGTTTGCCTGAGAGAACTGAAGATTGTACATGCGCGCACGCGCGCGCGCACACACACAGAATTTTCCCTTCACTTGATATATATTATACAAAGGATTTGGTATGCAACTGGACAGATAAACGGTGGCTAACTGGAAAAAAAGTTGAAGGAACTAATAATGATCCCCTACGGATCTAATAACGTCCATCCTCAATGGGAAAGCTATGCCTGTTCATTCACACTATGACATGATATTTGTCCTCAGGCCTGGCACTATCAGGTAAAGGCCAGGCCCCAAGAAGGTCCAAATGGGATGCATGCTGTATTTCTCTGGGGTTTTGGCCAGCACTTTGCTGTGTGCCCAATGCTGTGGTAAAAATGTAAAAAAGGGACTCCTGCCACTCACTTCGGCCTTGTAGGATTACTGAGGGGTCCCCTGTGAGGATGGTGCATATGGTTCCCAGAGAGCATTTTGCCCAGGGCCTTCCTAAAGATGACACCAGCCTTGATGCTTCTGAGTTAGGAAAGCGTTGAGCAAATATTCTTACTGTTACCTTTCTGGTCACTGGAATAGCCTCTGGCATTTATCAGACACAGCCAGAGCTTTTTTTCAGCCAGAGCTCAGGTCCGGCACCTCTCAGGTGGGCACCAGTGCTGCTCTTAAGAGAAGAAGGGAGGCGTTCATGGTGAGCTCCAGCACCTCTTTTTTTGAGAAAAATAGCACTACACAGCTAGTTAGTTGTGGTAAGGCTACTAATCTTTCTATTGGTGAAATTGGTGATCTTTTAATGAAAATGTCACTTGGCCCTCCGATCAGTCTCTATTCCTGGGCTACTTTTCTGTCCTCAGGTAATACAATTTTTTTTTAAAAAAAGGCTCTGGGGGGTGGATCTTGGTAACTACTGGCTAGTAAGCGTAACTTCTGTCCTGGAAAACTGTTGGAAAGTATTGTCAAAGATAAAATAACCAAGCATGTAGAAGAATAGGTCTTGCTGAAGCAGAGCCAGCATGGCTTCTGCAAGGGCAAATTCTGTTTCATGAACCTGGTAAGACGTCTTTGAGAGTATCAACAAGCATATAGATAGGCATGATCTGGTTGACGTAGCACTTGACATTCAAAAAGCTTTCGACAAGATTTCTCACCAAAGACTTTTGGGTAAGTTGAGCAGTCATGTAATAAGAGGAGACGTCGTCTTGTGAGTCAGGAATTGATTAACTGGCTGGAAGTGGAGAGTACTAATAAATGTATAGAATTCTATACAATTCTCCAAATGGAGAGATGTAGAAAGGGGAATCCCTCAAGCATCAATATAGTATAGAATGGGGCTTTTTGGTTTTGAATAAATGTGAGCAAGATGTGACATGATAGAAGTTTATAGAAATTATGTACTGTTTATAGAAATTATGTACTGTTGCAAACGTGATCCGTGTGGGAAGCACGTTCGCAACCTGCAGCACTGAGTGTGCGTGGGTTGCGATTCGGCACTTCTGCGCATGCACAAAGTGCGATTTAGTGCTTCTGCACATGCACAAGCACCAAAACCCAGAAGTAACCAGTTCCGGTACTTCTGGGTTTGGCGTGGTGCACAACGCGAAATCGCACAACCCGAAGTGTCTGTAACCCGAGGTATGACTTTATAGCATGAAGAAAGCAGATAGATAAAAGTTTTTCTCCCTCTTCCATAACATTAGAACTTGGGGACATCAATAAATCTGAATGTTGGAACATTCAGGACAGATCAAAGGAAGTATTTCTACACACAGTACACACAGTTAAACAATGGCACTTGCTCCCACCGGAAGCAGTGATGGTCACCAACTTGGATGGCTTTCAAAGGGACAAATTAATGTAGGACAAGGCTGTCTATGGTTACTAGTCATGATGTCAGTGTTCTGTCTCTACTGCCAGAGGCTGTATGCTTCTGAATACCATTTGTTGGGAGTCATAGGTAGGCAGAGTGCTGTTGTGCTCATAGGCTTCCCACATACATCTGGTTGGCCACTGTGCGAACAGGATGCTGGACTGGACGGGCCATCAGTCTGATTCAGCAAACTCTTATGTTCTTAAAGTATTCAGAAACAAACAGGCTTAAATACACATCTTGAAAAACAGGAGTAATTGGCAGGCATGGTTGTAACCAGCACTCAAAGCTATTATGGGCAGATATATGCTCATCTGTTCTCAACACCATAACGGACATCCTCCTTGTGACTTACTAATAGCAGAATTCCTATAGACTCATCTCATCCCATTCATTGAGGGCTTTGGGAAGGGAGTGTGCTTTTCATGGAATGTTGGTGCTCTTTCAATTCTGTCAGCAACTTAGTAGCTTAATTCTGCAAGTTATTCCTCAGTCCCATTTTGCTTGGCGCAGTCAGATTGGAAAGGTTTGTTCCACCACATGCTCCAGACTGATCTGATGAAGGGTAGAGAACAGGAACAGACATTTGTAGTTGGAATGCTGACCTGAGAAATGTGTGGTGGTCACAAATAAGGGCAGCATCATTCCTGGTCGCAACTGTGTGGCCTACAGAGAATTAAACAACTTGCTTGGCAAATCATGCCGTGAATGATTTTGAGAATAACAAATGTTAGATGGGATGAATGGAAAAACTGCTCAGTGGAAGAAGTCTAGTGATCTGCTCTGAATATATACTTTGCAATGTTTACACGTGGACTTTTGGGTTGTGTTGGCACTTTTTAGCAGTGTTGTGGAAGCGTTCCTTTCAACTTTACATTGTCTTTCTCCTTTAATTTTTTAATTACTGGCAAACCAAGGAGCAGCTCTGAAGTTAGGAGACTAGATTTGTAAGCGTTTGAAGTTAGGATATCTGAAGAGGGTAAGGGAAAGAAGAAGCATGAGTGCCCGAGACTCTCCAACCTTCTTTTGTGAGATGCCTGGGGATTGTGGGGCTGGAGATATTCAGATTCTAATTTAATTTTAAAGCTCTCTTCAGGTGTCAGAACCAGGGACAGGCAACATGAATAGAAAAGTCCTACATTTTCGAGCCTGAAACCCTTTATCACGCAGCTTCTTCCGGCTTCCTGTGTTCTAGTGTTACTTCTGTAACCCTACATCTTTTGCTTGCCTGGCAGAGTCTCTATCTTAAGCTTTGCAACTGTGAGGCATTAGAACTTTTAGCAACATCAGCCTTGTATTGCACTTACATCTATTTTCCACCTACAACTTCCTTCGCTACCAGAAAAACCAGGCACTTTAAAGGGGGGGGGAGTGTGCCCAATGCTCTTTAATTGTCCAAAGTGGGTGATGTGCATTCCTTAATGCTGTCTTTGCATGTGAAGGGGTAGGTTTCTGCACAGAGGTAAGATAATGATGGATTTATATGCTATTCACCTGCTTGATGTGAATTGCTTCATTTTGGACTTAAAATTCTGTCTGGTTGGTACGTCCATCATCAGACGTGTAAGGACAGTATCTCAGTTCCTTTTCTTTTTTTAGCAACGTGCTTCTATTTAAGCAGCCTGCGAACTTGTTGGCTTAAGATAAGGAACACGTGCAAGGTCTGATAACAACTTGGCTTACATTTCATGACACTGTCATTGCGAAATTCAAAAGTCTGTGTTCCAAATGGCAGTGCTATCCCAGGGTGTTTGTACTTAGAACATTCTGAATATTCCAAGTATTGATGTACTGGACTGGAGGATCTTGTAGCTTCTCAAGATTTGAGCAACCTTTTGTATACAGAGTCCATGTTAGCAAGTGAGATTTTGCCACAACAGAACGTCATCCACCTGACAAGAGTGCCTAAATTGCAGGACAGTGATGTTTTGTTTGATTCATATCAAAATTTATGGTGGATGTGAAATTCCACATAGTGATGCTGCAAAGGATATTTCAGGGATATCCTTGGTTGCCTTATTCTTGGTATATCTAATCCACTTTTGCTTATTGTGACTGGCAGTGGTGGCAGAGGTCAATCAAGTCTATTGAAAATCCTTTCAAGTAGTGGTGTAGACAATACTTGCATATTTCTTGGCTCAGAAATATGAAATGTGGGGATTGTAATGTTCACTTCAAATATGAGGTGATCATTACATCACCATAATTCTTCTCTGGCTTGGATTTTAACCTCATGAGAAGAATAAAACTCCCTCTCCCCCACTTCCCGGGCAGCAGTAGAGAGGGAGGACAAAAATGTGGGAATGGCGTTTCTCCCTTGTGGTTCCTGGCACTGATGTAACACACCACAGTGTGTATGAATAGACCTGGCAGGTGTAGTTCTCCAAACTTTGGAAAACTACATTTCCCAGGTTTACTTTCATGGTGTTTCTGCACCTGCAGGGGAAAAAACCTCCTTGCAGTTGTAGGTAATCAGAGGGGATGGATGAAGTTACAGGAAGGTGTTGGAGAGAGACTTGCAAGGATGGGAGAATGATTGGATCCCATTGCGTTCCCAACTGGGGACATGATGGGGTCTGAATAAATTCATTATTTGGACATAAACAAACTAAACAATTTCTTGATTTATTTCTTTTTGAGGTGAGGAAAATAGGTCAACTTACTCTAATCCAAATTGAGAGTGGGGGGTGTTTGCTCGTCATTACTTGAATATGTTAGATATTGCACATAGAATATATTGCAGAGGGAGCCTATACTTTCCCATTTTGCTGCGGGCTGTTCCCATATGATATCTGGACCTGTACGATAGCTCAGTCAGTAGAGTATGAGGCTCTTAATCTCAGGGTTGTGGGTTTGATCACTACGTTGGGCAAAATATTCTGAATTTTAGGGGGTTGGATTAGATTACCCTTGGGGGTCTTCTGATTCTATGATTCAGTGAAATAGCAAATGCCTTGTCCCTGTGGTTTCTCTGAACTCTGTCACTATTTTGCCGCAATATGCCTATTAATAAATCAGTATTGTTGAGCATCTTATTGTTCTTTTATTTCTGGTGGGTGTTTGGGGAGAACAGGCACTTGAAGAGAGAGAGAGAGAGAGAGAGAGAGAGAGAGAGAGAGAGAGAGAGAGAGAGTGCACTTGCTTATATAAGAGGCAAAGCAGAACCTGAATGGCAGTCAACAGGCTCCAGTGTTTTGGCAATTATTTTTTTTTAAAAAAGAAACCGCATACCAATTAAATGAGGTATGAAATGTTTCAGGAATTCTCATTCTTGGAAGGACAGTGTATGATTGAGCAAGGTTAAGAGAGTTGAAAACCTAATCTGTGACTCTTTACCATTCCACATAAAACTGTACTTCATGATTTGTGTGCACTGCATCTCCATTGCTTTGAAAACTTTTACAAGCTTGGTTTGCTGATCCATTATACACCTCTACTTCTGTATTAAATTCTTACGGCTGATAGGTGAAAATAATAATAATAATAATATAAGAATAATTAATAATAATAATATGTTTGATTGGATCCAACAGCTCTTAAGGAATAATGTGTAACTAAAGAGAGCAGAGAAATCTTACATGTTTTCTCTTCTGTTGGAATACTTCTAATTGCTCTATTATGGTGGGGATGGACATATAATGGCATCATCCCTAACCATTGACAATGTTGTCTAGGGCTGGTGAAAGTTGGAAGGCCAAGATTCCCCATCCTTGTCTTCCTTTGGTATAAAATGGATCTGCATCGCTTGGTTATTCTTAGCCTATCCTTTTGTCTCTCCCTCCCCCTCAAAACGGTTGGCTAATCTGTAACCTTCCAGATGTTGCTAGACCTACAGCACACCTCATACCTGACCATTGACCATGCTGGCTTTGACTAGTGGGGGGTGGAGTCCAGCAACAGCGGGAGGAATATAGAAAGCTGCCCAGTTCTGACTTGTTCATCTCCAATATTCAAGGAGACAACTCCAGGATACACTGTAACTTTCTGCTAGCATTCACATCTGAATGAGGCTCCAAAATTAGCCTGACGGTTTGTGGCCAGAACGCAGGATGTTTACTCATTCCTGACTCCCTCATAATAAAGTGCAATAGCTAAGAAACAGTTGTGTCGTGTGCAATAGGTATTGTGGCTGTTTTTGTAGTGCTTTTTAGAAACAGAGTAATGCAACCAAAAGAACAGTCCCTATTCTAAGGTGCTTCAAGTTCAGACTTAATCTTGCTGGGTTTATGGATGGAAAAAGAGCAGCAGCACAAACTACAAGTGGAAAGGAGAGAATGTGAAATATACATCTATATATTTAAGATAGCTACTACCCTGAGTACAAATGGATGCAGCCTTCTAAATTACTGCATTCGACAGGTTTTCAAACACCCCTTTGTTTTCTTTAAGATGGAACATTTCCATAAGAGACATGAGGAATTTCCTTTTGGGAGGAATATTCCAGGGCAGGGAAGGAGGTGGATGGGATTCTGACAGTTTTCTATTCATCCCTTTTCGCCCACCATTATTATGCAAGTATCTTCTTCTGATTTTTTTTTGGGGGGGGGGTTGTTGTTTATGTCTCTTTGGTGTTTTATCACCACATCAGTTATTGCTTTGGGATGCTTCTTTTGTCTTACTCTGTTTGCATTTGATGAGGAGACATATAATTAGGGCCATTTCCAGAGGCAAACAGGCAAATGTCTAGAGTGAAATTAAAGCATTACCATACTACAACCAATACAGGGGAAGGCTCAGAGTAGGCTTAAAATAACTGTTTTGAGATTGCATTTCTGCACCAAGTTTCCTTTTGGAACCTAGTGAGACTGTTTGTATTGTAGCATCTGAGCCGGTGTAAAATATTCCAAGGCACTGAGAGAAAGAGGATTTGGAAGCTTTCACCAGCAGTAGAGGATAGGGTGTTCATGAATGAACTTGCAAAATGTGTGCTATAATTTGGTATGTATGTCCTCTCCCCACCCCTGCTTTTTATAATTTCTTTTCCCCCCCACCCTCCTCCTCCTGTTGACAGAATCTTCTCTAGTCATGTGGATTTCCAGCCTATTAACAGCTGAAACAATTTAGGACACTATCAGTCCTTTGGCCTAACAAGGTGTTTACTGGCAGTGTATTGAAAAGTTTTCTTCCGTAATTGCTTTGTCTCTGCTGTTTTGGAAGCAGGTTATATCCTTGGCATTTAGTGGAAGCTTCTCTTTGACTGCAGCAAGCTGACTTTCTTTTTCTCTCTCCCTCTCCCTCTTTCTTTCTTTCTTTGGTGTGTAACAGGAGGGGGCGGGAATATCCCTCATTTGATATTTAGAGCATATTTGCAATTGTTAATCAGTGGGGTGTCTCCCTCCCCCCCTTCAACAAAAAATAAAGAACTAATAATGCATGGTTAGGCTTTAATCATGTCCTCACTGGAATCATCAGCACTCTGCAAATGTAAGTCCAGTTAATTGGCAGACCACCTCATCCATCCCTAATGTCACAACGACTCTGAGTAGTTGTAAATAAGTGCTTCCTTTTTAGGTTTCAGGCAAGTGCAATATGTGGCATGCATGGCTTATTACCCAAAGATGGCTTGGAAATATTTTCCTTACCATAGTTTTTTTTTCTAACTAGAGGAGAGGCACTGGGGATCAGCAGTTTCCAAGACCATCAGATTCCCAACTGGGATTCCCACCAGTGGGCAATGAGTGTCTTACTGGTCATTTTCCGGACTATCTGCAAAGCTTGTTGGGTGCTTGTAGCAGGAATGGTTGGTGGTTCCTATTAGTGGTGAAGACTTATGAATGGGATAAAATTTTGCCTCAGCTACAACAGATTTAACCTGGCACCTTTGCTAAACTTTGTTTTAAACATTTTGCTCTTGTCCTGTAGGTTTTGTTAGCCTCCCTGGCTTTCTCTCTCCAGCTGAAATTTAGCTGTTGACAAATCCTCCAAGGAGATGTGGCTGGTTGTTCCTTTGAATTTCAAAGCACCAGAGTTGTGGAGGCGACATACAGTATCAGTGTCATTAACTCATGGCTACGTTTCCTGATGTTACATTTAAATAGGCCGTGATTCCCACCCCCCTTTGCTTTAAAAATGTTGCTGCAAAACTGTTGTTGTTGTTTAAATTTATATACTGCCCTCCATCATAATATTTCAGGGTGGTTCACAGGAAAACAGAATATTGGAACTTGGGAGTCAAAATTCCTGATTGAAACCAAGGCATACCATTGGGTAGCATCAGGTTTTTCCATGTTTAGTCAAATGAAAAGACGTTAGGAAACCCTTTTCAGTTTGAGGGCCATATTCCTTTCTGGGCAGCCTTCCAAGGGCCGCATTCCAGGGGTGGGCGGAACCAGGGGCAAAAGTAGGCCAAGCAACAGATGTTCATCCTACCTTTGGTATATTAGAATGGTTTCTTCTACACACTCACAAATATTCTCTCTATCCTTCGTCCAGGCAAGCAAGTTCAAGAACATAGTCCAGGTGGCCAAACTCTCCAGGAGGGCGCGAAGCAGGGCCAGTGAGGGGTGTGGCCTAGCAAGAAAGGGTGTGGCTGGGGAGGTGATGGGGTCTGAGGAGAGTCTCAAGAGCCAGATACAGGTGTGGAGGTCCGCATTTGGCCCCTGGACTTGAGGTTCCCACTCCAGTCCTACAGGGAGTGAGCAATGTGAGTGGAAGCGGCTACTCTTCTCCTTGTTTTTCACTCTTTGAGCATTCACAGTGACAGTGACAACAAATAGGAAGAACGGCATGGCCATGGGACTCTGGAGGTTGATTGTGGGCCTTGGCAGGTATGTGATAATGCTGACCCTTGCTTGGCGCAAGCACAAAACCTCACAGGCATTGCAAACACACGTCCCAGTACAGTTGCATCTTTCCTTGGAAATATACCTGTGTCAGGAGGGTTGACGTTCAGTTGTCATATGTTACCAACTGGGATACAGCATCCATGCTTTACATTTGAAACATTTGGGTGATGTCTTGATTGGAAGCCTTCCCCTTTTCAAAGGACTTGAGCTAAAGCAAGGTCAGCAGCACAACTTATTCATAACTCTTGCTGGTGCATGACTTTGGCTTGACTTGTGTAGCCTCTTGTCTATCCTTGCTTCCTCATCTGTGTGATAGCCCTTTGGTGCTAGCATTATGCTTGTTTCAAAGTGGTGAAATATAGTGAAATGAACTGTCTTGTTCTGAATGGTGTAGCATCCATAAGATAGATTTATTTTATGATCTTAATATGTGCTGCTTTTATATTGGAGGTGGAGGGGGAGAATTGTTGGCTGGGTAATGGATTTGGACAGATGATATTCTTAAATTTACTTGTCTACTTTTCTGAGTCCTTACTTTCTAGGAAAGGTAGCAACTTTTTCTTTATAGCTGTACTTCCCTTTTTTCTTTTTTCTTTTGGGTTAGATAAATGTCCCACATGGCTTCATCTCGCCCACATGGTCCATTATTGCCAGTTGGCTCAGTCATCCAGTGCTTGGGCTCATCATACTGAATTAGTTTCCAAAAAAGAGATGCCATGCTGTTTCCATCCACTAATCTAGTGTGGGTTGGAAGGATCTGATCCGAAGCCAAAGCAGAACCAGATAGGATTGGATTACATCTAATATCCTTGCCAAAGTATTGTCAAGTTTTGCAACTTTGCTTTCTGGGAAAAGGCTGCTTTCAGTATTAATGTTTTTGTTCACATAAGTGATTCTGCAAGTAAATTCCATGATGCAAATTGTAATGTGGGAAGGGCTTATGCTATAATTAAGCCATTAAGCAAAGTGTCATATGCATTACTGAAGAGTAATGGCTCCTATACACAGGTATAAATCCTTCATAAATGGTGGTTTGTAGGAGCATAAAGGATAAGCCCACAATGTTGTCCAAATTGACAGCTAGTGCAAATGCATGGGCAAGTTGAGCGAGGTAGGTTGGGGCACTTCGAAAGAATGGCAACCGTTCATAATCTACTGGAATAATGTCCAGGAATAATACATTCACAAATGTTAATGCTTTACTGTAGTTTACTTACCTTCTAACACATATAACTGGCTATCGCAAAAGTGTTGCATGCAATTTGCTTTCTTCCATTTTGCATTTGATATTTCCAATGGATGCGTTCGTGTAATTGTAATTTCACCAACAGAGGAAAGGCCAGCTGTATGGATGCTGTTGAATTTCTCCACAGATGCAGCTCTTGAGGGCTGGATTTTTTGGGCCAGCAACACCATATGCATAGATTGATGCACCACAGCAATTCACACTTAGGGGCCCAGGCTAAAGCCAGGTCATCCCACAGCTGGACCAAGTCGTGCTCAGAGGGTCCAGAAAGAGAAAGGCTTCTGGTGAAGAGGAGAAGGGCGTTTTGAGAAGCGTGTTGGGGATGTAACCAGGGGTTGAAGGGTTACAATGTTTGCCAGGGGCCCTGGAGTCCGCAAACTGTGCCCTGGAGACTTTTTGAGGAGGATGGTCCAAGATCATGTGCACATTTCTGGGTCCTGGAACCAAGGTTTTGGCTGGTGGGAGAGGGTGATCTCCATACCGCCCTTCACTCCAGTCATGCTGCAGTTTTCTCAAAGCCTCCAGGATATGTCAAGGGGCCTGTGCCCTTTCCCTCTGACTTGGCCAAAGCTACAACTCAGTGTCTGTTGCTTCTGTGTCTGATGTGGATTCTTGCATGTTAATGGCAAAAAGGCTGAATACTGGGGAATTTCTGAGAGGGAGGTACTCGAGGAAAGAAGCTCATAGGGTCTAAAATAATACTTGTACTAAAATAATCATTGTGCTGAAATAATACTTGAAAACCGTGTTTTGAAACCTGTTAAGTCTTTGTGGTCTTAGTCGTCCTGTAATCAGGATTTGTACCTGCATAGGTGAAAGGCTAGAGGATTATTTTTGGAGCATGAGGTCATTGTTCCCCTTCCCTTTAGCAGTGTATTTTGGGTGCCATTGATAATGGAGCAGAGCCAGGACCTCACACCCTCAGTTCCTTTTCTTTCTCTTTTGCTACCATGGCTGTAGGAGAGAGGGCTCAACAGGGGGGTTCTAGTACATAGTCTACCCCATCAGTTTCTAAAAAGTTTAACATTGGATTAAATGAAGTTTCACATAAATTATCTGAAGAAGCTAAGGTGGTATCCCTGCAAAAATGCTGGATTCTTTGAAACAAAAGGAAGACAGTGCACCGAAACAATATTGTGTCCAAACAAAGAGGCCAATGGATTCAGAAAGTGGTTTTTTAATATAAATCTTACCTATACTTGGAAAAGTTATCCTAACCTGTCTTGGGCTGATGGAAGTTGCAGTCCATTGTAGGGCACCAGGTTGAGGAAAAGAAAGGGACTATCTGGATCCAAGTCTCATGACATTTGTACAATTCTAAACTAAAGTGCTCCTGGAAAATATATCTAATATCATTCTTCATCTCTGTTTCCAGCACACTTCTGTGGTGGGACTCATGGGGACTCTGTGGTTCCAAGATCAGGCAAGAATTCCACTTCTGTTCCTCATAGATATTAAACCCATAAGCTTCTAGAAAGATGATAGGGCTAATAAAAATTCATAAGAATTAGATCTGGAGTTTGATGTTTATTTAGTGATGCCACTAGATTATGCCTTCTATAAAACAGGTGCACATGTATAAGTGAACAAATCCTGTTAGCAGGGACTATAGCTTTTAATTTTTCAGCATTGTGGGACTCAGTCCTGATTCTTTGGAAGCTTAACTTCAAATTCAATGGGCAGGTATGTCTGTAATTCTTTTCTTCCAGAACCTTTGATAACATGCCCTATGGTCAATGAGCATCCTTATATTTCCAGCTTGGAGAAGACAATTGTGGAATCCTCTCCTGCTGTCCCTTGCAAGAGTTCATGCCCTTCACCCCAGATACTTTAACACACAAACAGAGTGCACCCATCTTTTGGGGATCTTTGCAGTCTCCATTTAAGAGCACTGAAGATCCAGGTTTTTGGGGGGTGGGGGTGGGATTGAGTATGTTCTTTCCATGTCTATAAAAGTGCCACGCGCAGGATGGGCGTAAATGGATTGCTCATGTTCTTTCCCCCAAAGCCCTCTGATCCTTTCCCCTGTGTCTTGTGGTACATTAAAAAAAACAACAACTCTAGAACAGGAGTGATGTAGAAACTCATTTAAAGTTTACTTGGATGCTGTCTCAGCTAATATATCCCAGTTTAAAGGACAGTATCTTCTCTCATCCAAAGAGAAGTGTCTGAAAGGCATATTTCACAAGATTGCTCTAGTCCACACTGCAGCACCACACTTTTAACTGATGTGAAGTTCTCTGAACTGCTTGCTAAATGTTCATTAGATTGTCTTTTCTTCCGCATTGTGCTTTTGTAGCATTTTGGTTACTCTAGGAGAATTGGTAAGCAGGAGCTTAACATGGCAACACTTGGTTTCCAAAAATGGATGCAGATGACTTTTTTTTCACAACCCAGTTTAGAATGTCTCTATTCGATATAAGAATTTAAATAAGATGATAAATTGCTGACAAAATGTTATAACGATGAAAGTGGGAGCGGGGGATGTGAGGAAGTCCAAAGAAAATGTGAAACTATGTTAAGACAAATGTTATATTGTTTATTATGTTTATTCTTATTGTAAAATCCAATAAATTGCTTTAAAAAAAAAAAAAAATAGAATGTCTCTATTCTCCTCTGTCCTGTGTTTTCTGGTAACCAGGACATAGATCTGCTTTTAATTCTGAATCCATCTTGCACTCTTTGTGTTCGCAGAGCTCTTACCTTTTATCTGTACACATGGGACTTCTTATTCCCCAGGCAATACCTAGATGGATTATATCTGCAACTTAACTGCAAAGTCAGCAGATTTGTCCTTTCACTTTGAACGTGGATGTTCACTCAACACAAGCCCAAGCTGCTGCAACAGTACTTTGAAGACTGTTTGGTTGTCCATCCCTACTCAACTTTGTGAAGTGCATGGACCCATTGATATTGATGGCAGAAAATAAGCCATTGTAAGCAGGGCAGTCTTCAGGTGCATTGGTGTGAATGAGCCTCTACGGTTCCCTTCTGGGCAACTTGAGAGCCAAACACCAATAATGGGTGAGGTCACAGGCAAAAGTGGATATAGTAACCCATGTTGGCTGCTTTCTTCACACACCCCTCTAGCTTCCATTTGGAGAAGAAAGAGGCATTATCAGAATCCAGAGATACATTCCAGGCAGCCTGAAAGTGAGGGGGATGGCCTGGGGAGGGTTCTGAGGGCCAGATACAGAAGCATTGAGGGCTGCATTTGGCCCTCAGGCCTGAGGTTTCCCACCCTTGCTTGGCCCTCTTCTCCAGGTCCAACATGAAAAATCTCCCAATTGGGGACTGCACAGAGGCTTTGAAAGACAAAACAGAATCATACTTGGCAATAAGTGTTGCTTTTTCAAAGACACCAGTCAAACAAGGGAGGGTAGGAAGAGTGATTCAGACTCCAAAAGGCCTGGGAGTTTCCATGTAGACCTCAATGGTTAGGCTGCAGAGCCATTTGAAGAGCAACAGATAAATGCAGCTATGTTTTTAATGCTGCTTCTTCAGCATTTTCACCCAAATACGTCAGACTAGAATGCATCTTGAAAGTCTTCAGTTTTGCATCCATCTCTTTGGCAAGTCTATACAACTAGGACTCCATGATGCATAAATGGATTTAAACATTGTGGGTAGGGCAGTATCATTGTTATTGTATTTTAAGCATCTCTTTGCATCAGAAATTCTTGATTCCTCTTGAAAAAAGATAGTATTGATCGGTTCAGTTTGTCAAGAGCACTTATCGGTAGTAGCAGAGTCTATGGAGGCAATTTACATTTTTAAATATTTTTTGGGGGGGGCTTTACATTTCTGAGCGATAACCTTTTTTATTAACTAAAAGATACTTGAGATGATAAGCATATCTTGCCTTGTGTAAAACACCCACCCACAGGAGTCCCTCCATTCCCTGTAAGACCTGCTGTGTGTTTGTGTGTGTGCAGGATCTGTTTGCCCAACTTGGAGCAGGTAAAGAAAACTGCAAAAACAAAATCAGGGCCCCTGTCCTTTAAATGTATTTCAGTTTGCATTTTGATTGCAGTTTAGAAACGTTATCACCCACTTTGTCACAGACATAATTCACATCTTTCTTCAGGCACTGTAAACAAGAGAAATGGTTTAATGGCTCCCTAAAAGGCACTCTGCACTGATAGCTGAGATTAGACCCTTTAGTAATGGATTTTTGCGTGCTGGAGAAAGAGGGGGGAGGGAGGGCTTGGCAGAGGGAAATGTACTGGAAAAGAATCTTTGAGAGGCAGTGATGATGTATCTGAAGTGCCTTCTGCTCTAAGTCTTATGCATGGGCAGGTAGATGGGTTTAACGAGTCTTCGACACTGTGGGTTTTATGAGTACCCTTTTGCCTCTGGAATTTAACTGCATATTAATTGAGGTCATCTCAATCAGTTCATCACCTGGAGACAGAGTGAGATCAGCCGAGATAGAGGAGTATGGCTGGCCCATCTTTTCTGCTCGCTCTCATGAAAAAGCATGTGCCCTGTGCACATTGCTTCGTTATGAGACTCTTCATTCCAGAGCACTTCTAAAAATTCCTTGATTGGGCCGAAAGTGAGTAAAGCTTTCTTGAAGACGCAGCTTTTGCTTTGTGTTAGAACCAACCCACACACCCATTTCTGGTATATGTTTCTGTGGCAAGTCTTGTGTCTTCTTTTGCTTCCTTTTGTGGTCGAGTGCAAAGTTTCTCTGGTGTGCATTTTTGGGATCTGGCATAGATAAGTTGCATGAAGGTTTGCAGAAGCCAATGATTTGTAACTGGCAGTGGTTTGCACCAGTCTCTGCATAGAATGTGTCTGTACTTTGATTGGTTTTTAAATATACAGATACCTTTTGCTCTGGATTCTACATAATGCAGAATCTCAGCGTCTAGGGTGGGAGCTTGTCAAAGATTGAATAGGAAGGGTCTTGTGTGTATATATATGTGTGTGTATGTATGCAAACATGGAAGTCTTACTCCAGGCTTAATCTCTTTCTCATTCTGATCAGGCCAGGCATTTTAGTTGAAAAGACTTTTAAATTTAATGTATTTTCCAGCCTTTTACTGAGAAGTATCCAGCACAGTTTGCCTTTGTTCAAGCTTCTCCCATCATTCATGAGTTGTCCTGTTTGAAAATCATTGTAATTCACATCTAGTACCAGCATTCATATGACTCTTGTACACTTGGCTCCTTGAGATGATGAGGCCTTGTCTGCATGTATGTGTTGCCTTTTTTAAAAAACCGGGTTCTCAGAGATTTGAAAAGTGGTTTGCAGGAATTTTCCTTGGACTTGTTCTTTCTGTGGGTGATTCATTTCTTGTCACCCTGCTTCATACAAGCATCCTAGGTGAACATCAAGATCCAGGAGGTTAGAAAAGGAAGCAAAAATGAAGGGAAAATCTAGGTTTCATGAAATCTGTACAGAGACTTGCATGTAAATGCAAGCTTCTGCCCAGTGTAAGTGCTTGTGTTTGTTAATGTGTGATTTGTGGAAGGGGCATTTCACTAAAACTTCCTGGACTATAGGATTTAAGAAGATGTCCTGAGGGTCATGTCAAAGGATTTGGTGATCAGCAAATTGCGCTCCCCATTGGTGCAATAATCCACTTCTAAATGCAACAGTTCATTCTGATCTTCCAAGGAGTAATACTTTGTGTAATCCAGCTCACAGTGCTCAATCTCATTTTTACTACTTTCCTCCTACGGCTTAGTTTTATACTAGATGATATGTGGTCTTAACGCTGAAATACTTAGTTGTAGAGAACTGAATGACAGAATTATTTATCCAAATCACCAACAACAATCTGTATAACTTGTAGTGTTTTAATCTTTCATAGAGGATATTGGTACAGTATGTTTGAAATCTAGAAATGCTCTCCAGAAGCAATTTGGGGGAGGGAAAGTTCCTCCCCCCCCCCTGTATCCAAGGAATTGAGAACCAGGCAGCTGAATTGCTTAGCTTATTTATAGTTGTGTTAGTCTTTCCATATAGATGCTGATAGAAGGTAACTAATTTATCCAAAGTCCTTCCCTGCATTGAAATACAGTTTTGAAGATTCCAATATAGCATGTAATTGTAGTATGACATCAACAGTGAAAGCGGGTGACAGTGGAAGTTTGGCACTAACAGTCTGGTTCCTAGCACCTGGTTAGTGTGCTAGTATAATTCATTGAAATTTTAAATATGGTCTAACAGCTACCATTGGAAACAAACACAAAAGTCTGCCTCTTGCTTCAGCAAGCCGGGCCGTTTTTAAATGACAGTGCATAAAAGTTTTGCATAGTAAACATACCTGCGGAACACCCGAGGATTTATTCAAATTTTAAAAGCATGCTATCCGCTTTGGCAGCAGTGAAGATCAAAATCCTTGGAACACCATCTGCCAAACACTACTGCTTTGACCTCACTGCCCTCCCTCAATGAAGATTGTACAGAAACAATGCTTGGTGAATTGCCTCTTGGGAGTTTTTGAGGGTCTTGTCCCCTAAAGAGGGGAGGGGGTGACATGAAAGAGTTAACCTCCCTAATCCGAGATGCTGCAGTTAAGAGAACCCAAAATAGCGGGGGTGATCTTAAATTAAAACTCCAGCACGGCAGCCTCCTAGCTCTGCATTGTGGACCTAGCTAGTCCCTCTTCTGTAAAGCAAAATAAAATGTACCTTGCAGCCGAAGCAGAAGGCAGGAGCCGTGTTCAGTGAAAGTAATTTAATTAGTGTTGATCATGACTCCAGATGATGGTGATTTGATAAGGAATAATTTAGTACTTAACAGCCTTTTACATCTACCAACTCCATGTGGGAAGGTAAAGCAAATTGCACAAAATGAATGTGCTGCTTTTGCTTGTCTCAGTGCCAGTGAGCTGGAAAACTGCCTGTTAGCAGCTGCTCAGGTTCTCCATGCTGTGGGTGAAAACACTCCAGCATTTCTCCACACTGGAGTGTGATGTGGGAGTTTCTGTGCTTTCCCCCATTTTGAAATAAAAACGGGAAGCTATTTTTACATACAGTAAAATTGGCTGCGGGGAAGGAAACAAAAAGGCAGAAAGTTCAGAAAGTAAAGTGGTTTTGTGTTGGGGTACAGGATATACCAGTTTCTGGAAGCCACAGGAGGGGAGAGGGCTCTTGGTCTCAGGTGGTGCGCCCAACAAGCATCTGGTGGGCGACTGTGAGAACAGGATGCTAGACTTTGATGGGCCATTGGCCTGATGCAGCAGACTTGTCTTATGTTCTTATGATTTAGAAGGGAAAGGAATGTTCTGAAAATTATTTGTGTCAAAGGTCTGGTTCTCTTACCAGTCCTTTAAAAACATGAAGAATGGAATTCTTTAGGGCCTTTAGATCCTGATAAGAGGCTCGATGACCACAGCACTCATATCTTGGAAGCGCAAGGATGACTGCTTGATATCAGCACATCCAAATACATCATAAGGCGTTGAGGAACAGTCGTGCCATCACTCCTGGGCTTTTCAAATTATTGTTTATTATATTGATATCCCACCTTTCCTTCAAGGAACTCAGTATGATATACTCTGTTCTCCCCGAGGCCATTTTATATTCACAACAACACTGTGATATAGGCTTGAGGGGAGTGGTTAAGCTGAGAAATGGTCACCCACTGAGCATCGTGGCAATCTTGGTCTCCCAATTCTAGCCAAGGGATGAAGAAACCTGTGACCCGTTAAGATGCTACTGGAATACAGCTCCCCTTATTTCTGACCATTTGCTATGGTGACTGGAATTGGTGGGATCTGGAGTCCAAAGCAACTTGAGGGCCACCGGTTCACCTCTCCATTCCCCTCCAGCTACACTATACTTGCTCTTCATTAGACAGCAGACTCGGACCACGATGGTGAATATTAAAACCTAAGAAGAGCTTGAAAACATATATTTCCTTGTCTACTGGGTTCTTTTTCTAGAATAAAGCTATCGAAGACTTCTGGGTAGTTTGAAAGTTGCCAGTAGAGGTTGGTCTAGTGAAAGAGATGCCTTTTCACCTATTTTGCATCTTATTTTCTAGAGCCAATATAACGATTGTCGACGCCGAAACCAAGTTGGTGCCTTATAAACACGGGTGCTGGTGGCCTCTTTCACATGTCGTGCTACATGAAACCACTGGGCTGTGCGTGCAGTTAGGGTGGCAGCAGAGGGTTGATAGAAGTATTTTAAAAGTTTCACCACTATATTAATCTTAAGTAAAATATCAAAACTGAAGTGGTGGTCTACTTTCCCATTCTTCTTCTAGAAGTTTAAGAAGTGAACCTGTAAGAGTGAATGTCTTTTGGCCCCCTGGCAATGGGCAGCTTCTGCCCACTGGGGCAAACAGGGCAAAGGACAGGGAAGAGAGGGCAGGGAAGCTTAAAGCAGGTGGTGCTGGCCTAGGCAAAGCCAGAGTTCTCAGTACACTGACACATGCAGAGAGATATGCACACAGAGTTTAACTGAGGGAAGGACAGAGGGAGAAGGGAAGAACCAGAGGCTTTCAGGGATAGCCAACATGGAGCCCTCCAGATGTTGTGGGATTGCTGTTTCCAACATCCATGTCGTTGGCCATGCTGACTTGGCAAAGAGTGAGTAATTACAATGTGGAGAAAGGAAGTGGGAGAGGGAACTCTGGTGTTAAGAGCTGTAATGCTGTAGGTCGATTTCTGTCCCTTTTGCCATTATGGTCCACAGCCCAAGTCTCTCAGGCCATAACGTGTTTTGCGCAGGTACATTTGCTCTAAGTCTAGAGCAGCTGTCCCCAACATTGTGTCTTCCGCATGTTTTGAACTACAACTCCCATCAGTCCTGTGGAGAAGGGCCAATGATCACAGAAGACGGGTGCTGTAGTCCAACAACACAGAGTTAGGGAAGACTGCTCTTTACCATTTCGTGGGCCATTTGTGTGGCTTAGAATGATTTAAATTATTTTTTTTAAGCAGCTGTAAATATAAGTCATAATGAACAAATTTTTAGTGCATTTATTTATAAGACCTTTGTTTCCTAGTTTATATGGCAGATTGAAGGGACACACCCTACCCCAGGGATTAAAAAAAAAACAACTGCAGAAAATATTCTGCGGTAGAATTGGCCACATAATGGATTGCATCCAGCCTAATTTTGGCTGTGTACACACTACACATTACACAGGTCCTCCTTTTTCTCAATTTGGATTGAAGCTGGATTGGGAAAACACATAAAAAGAATGGCAGGATGGATATGGATTGTGGCTGTCATGTGAATGCTGCTTCCCAAAGCAGTGGTGGGAGAGCCTCGGATGCAAAGTAAGCAGGAGTGTGTACACAGGTAGGTCTCATTGGCATAAATGTGAATAGTGAGTCATATTTTTGTCCCACTTTATTTCAGTGTGACTCAATGCTTAGGCTGCAGTCCTAGTATACACATTTATTTGTTGAGCATTGTAGGACTTACATTTGCGTAAACATGCAGCAGGTTGTTCTGGATCCAGCTGCACATGTTCTTGAACATGTGAACAAGTGCAAAGAATGCTGAAGAGCACATGGTTTGTAACAACCCTATATTGTTTGTTATATAGTGGTAGTTATGCAGTATGATGTCCCTGCATGTGATTTTGATAACTGGTGAACTGTGTTAGAAACTGAGATATGAAAGCTAGGAGCTAAATGGCACATTGAACCTAGATTATGGCTGCAACAACGGAATGTCTAGGTGCATTTTTTAAAATAAGAAGCATACAAAGCTCAATATGAGTAAACTGTAGCTAAAATAGTATGTTAATTTTTTACATGGGATAGTCGTTCCCATGCCCACCCCCCTACTATTCTTAGGAGGGTCTCTTCTCCAGTTTTCAGAGAGTAGCTGGAAGTGGGGAGGCAGAAAAAGGTCCTCCCTTCCTTCCACTCTGCAGTTTTAATCTGAAGTCTTAGGCACAGGACTGCGCCCAGAGCTCAGAAAGGGCTCGCGCTAATGAAATTCCCTGTTGCAAAATGCGCCTAGAACAATGGGAGTTTCGAACACTGCTGGTGAAGGCCTTCTGCTGTTAGGCTCTGAATTCATTGAATCAGCGTTGCATTCTGCAACCAAAAGTTACTCTTCTCCTCTGCTCCCCAGCCCAATGATATTTTGAAGCTCTTTCTCCTAGTAAGTACAATACCTCTGATATAAATTATAGTAGCTGAAAACAAATGCAAATGGGTCATTGTTTGTTTGCTTGCTAATGAGCAGGAATCTTGGCCATGCTTCAGTTTTAAAGGCTAAAAGCACTAATAACACAAAGGATCCCTGGTGTCTATTGACACCCAAAGATGTTCCTGATAATTCTCTCTCCCCCCCTCTCTCTCTGCATTTTTACTCCAGTGATTTAATTAATCATTCATTTTGTTAGCTGCACTAAACCAAGGGTAGGGGGGTGGTTTCCTTGTCCCACATTGAAGGCAAAATTGGAAATACAATGAGCTACTGGGCTGCAGCTCATTTGCTTACTTTAGATATGTTGAGTTAATATAAGCACTGGATTTGCATATCATTTGCATGAATCCTGGAAGGTGCCAAACTGGAGTTGATGGACATGTGGTGTTGATGCACCTGTTCTTTCCTTTGAATGTTTTATGCTTCTAATAGGCATTCACCATTTGCGTATACAGTGTAGCCTTTGTAGAGGAGAACAGGAAGCACTTGTATACATGGTTGGGGTGCTAGATTGTGTCGGTTATCATCGAACGTGGAACAAAAAATTGGCATCCCAGAGTGGGAAACTTACCGTAATAGGTTGCTTGGAGCATTGTGAGGATTGCAGGTTGTGTGTGTGGGAATACATTTTAATGTGTGTCTTTCATTTTGCTACAATCCTGATCCTTAAGCATTTTTTATCATATTTTCATGAGGGCTAGAAATGTGTTTTACGTCTTTAAATTCTGAAATCCAGTTTTACATATTTGAGGATCTGCAGACGACAACAAAATGCTTTTTGATGCCCGTTTTTAATGTGAGACTGTGCAGGCTGAAATATGCGTGTTTGTGAACCAAGCCACATGGCCAGGTTCATGCTGAAAGTCAGGCAGCACATGATGCACTTGTGCAGTGCTGAACAAATCAGGATGGTGCTGACTGAGGCTACAGTATCATAGGCTGAGCCGTACAGTTTTGAAGTTTGATAGGTGGGAGAAAGTATAGTCAATATGGTGCACTTCAGATGTGCAGCTCTCATCATCCCTGAATGGTGGGGGCTGATGGGAGTTGTAGTCCAGCCACATCTAGAAAGCATCACGCTTGTTACCCCTAATCCAGAGTCTTCTCCGAAAAGCAGGTACCTGTTGTCCCGATGACACACGTACATCAGTAGAAACCTGATTTTAGACAGCAGGCGAGAACAGTATAGGGGAGCAGTTTCATTCCGCCCAGTGCCAGGTTTAAAATGGAGCCGAACCCTCTTGATTCTCTCATCTGATTGTTATTGCTTGAAATGGCTTAGTTTCTGTTCTCTGTCTTCTTTCTTTCCAGTGGCTTTCCATGGTCTCCCAGTGAAAATCAAGAAAGAACCGCACAGTCCGTGTTCTGAACTCAGTTCGTCTTGTAGTCAAGAGCAACCATTCAAATTCAGTTATGGGGAAAAGTGCCTGTACAGTGTCAGGTAAAGTAGCAGGTGTATTTTTGTAGTAAAATAGCACAAAACCACTGATAGGAGTGGGGGGAGGGGGACAGAACTGTATCTGCCTGGAGAAAGTTATTTTTTCAGACCTGTGACGTTTTAGAATAATCCTTCTTCTTTTAGGAACTTTTTGTTGTCAGTAACAATTCTCCTCCAGTGCATCAAATTGTATAGTAAATGAGAAAGGGTATTCCGAAATACATTCAGCCTAAAATAAAACAGTCTTCAAGCATCTGGGGTTCATTCCTAACTCCCTCCCCTCCCCCCTCCACTGTATTTTGTGGTAGCATTTTCAGTGACAAGCTGTAGTATTAAAGCTATGATGGTAATTGAGCTGTAAAAGTTCCCCTTCCCTTGCAGCTGCAGCCTGGTCTAAATACACAGCAGAATAAAGTTGAAAAATCCTGAGGCGTTAGAATGGACTATACTACTCCAGATTGAAAGGGGAGGTAAACAAATATTTTAACAATCTCCTCTGCAGGAGAATGGGCTAGGTTAGAACCAATCTCTGAAATACTTTTTTGGGGGGGGAGTGTTGCTGTTTCTTACTTTCATTTTAAAGTGGTACAGTCCCCTGTACTGCCTCAGGATTTTTCGCACATCAAGCATTCTCTTCCTTATTTTTTCTGTTTTTTTGTCTATTAGAAAATGAAAATGAAAATTATAAAAACAAACAAACCAATATTACGAAGCTTTAGACCACGCACCCCTAAACTCGGCCCTCCAGATGTTTTGGGACTACAATTCCCATGATCCCTAGCTAACAGGACCAGCGGTCAGGGATGATGGGAACTGTAGTCCCAATACATCTGAAGGGCCGAGTTTGGGGATGCCTGCTTTAGACTGATGAGAAGAAATTTACTGAAGAGCGATGGATATATTTACATCCTTACCCGACACATTCTAAATGTGGGTGTCCGCTGGAATTTTCCCGGTGTGGTTGGGGGAATCAAAACAGTGAAAAGCGGGGTGGGAAGCAAGCTAGTTTCGCTTACACAGAAAGAGAAGAAGAGTGCCTGTACACTTTGCCTCATAGCTCAAATTCTACAAATACAAAAAACTTTAAAAAAAAAAAAAAAGCTAGGGAGTTGGAGTTTATGGTTAATTGGAGGGGAGGCAGCCCGTGATTCTAAACTCATTTTAAAGTAATAATATTGTTACATATAGCCACCAAGCATTTGCCTTCCCTTACAATTTGAATTCCAAAAGGGAGGTTTTTGGTTGCCCCAAGGTTGGTAGGTAAGGGTGTGTGTGTGTGTGTGTGTGTGTGTGTAAGTACTTTTTAAAAAATGCATTACATGCATTAGGTTGAAAGAGTCCTTCCTGCATAGACAACAAGCCTGGGCAAAATGCATTAGGTGTTCTGTTAACTTTTGCAGATGATATGTGTGTTCATTCATGGATGATTACTAAAAATCACATTTCATTCGGCTTTACAGATACTATTATCTCTTCAGAAACAGGTTTCTTCCCTTTGGGGAACGAAGGGTGGAGAGCAAGACTTTTTTAATGGCTTGTAGAATAATTTTTAATTGGTGTGATAGCATTATGCTCTTTAATAGCTTTCGCTTTTGGAAGCTTTAGTTTGCCGGCACAAAGTTTCTCCATGCATTGCTTCTCCAAAATCTCAGAAGAAGGATTATAAGTTGACTGCATAGACAGACTTATTTCTCCGTAGGAACTTTCTACAAAATGGTCAACAAACTTTTGCACCACCAAAGGACGACGGTCCTCTTATAACCAGCAGTAAGAACACAGACCCAATTCTTGCCCATTATATTTCACCCCAAAATGTTGAAGACAAAACCTCAGTTAACAAAACATATATTTGGCATACGAATATGCTGTCCCACTTGAGCTAGTTCCTTGTTGAAGACCTTTTTTTTTTAGTTAGAGGTTGGCTCTAGCATTTTGAAATGTCACCAGTGTCTACATTGTATATACTATTCCTACCACTTGGTAGGAGAGTTTCCTTTTGGCAGTATTTGGGCTTTTTCAAGAGCTTGGCTTTGGAATGGCATTTGGATTTCTCATGTTTATAAATTAAAAAAGAACCTAGTTTGCACGTCACATTAAACCATAGTTAAACACAAATAAGAGTCTGCAGGTGCACGCGGCTTAAAATTCTTCACTTTGCTCCTTGTAGTGCTGGTAGCAACAAACCATAAGCCTTAAAATGCTTTGTTTGAACCTGGACTTGTGACTTGTGTCTCTCCAAACAAACCATATGCAATAACAGAGACTTGTTTGGGCTTACCACTCAGGGAAACAAACCACAAGCCTGAGTTCAGATGACACACCAAGCCGAGGTTTGTGGGGGGGACTTTTGAACAGTGTGCACCGTCACACTCCTTGTTCTTGTTAAACCATACTTAAACATTGACTGTGGCTTAATTGGGCCAAAGGTCCATGCTGCTTGCAAGACACCTTGGTCATTTCTCGAAGAGAATGAAAAGCTTCTGGAGGAGCCTCCTCTAAAAACATAGCTATTGGTTTGAAAAAGCTGGGCATGGATTGAGCAAAGTGCTTTTGCACAATGTTTTAATACGTAGAAGTGTAGGTCTATTGGTAGACTGGTTCATTCATAACGGTCCTGGTCTAATAAAGTCATCATAAGACTGTGAATGAGTATTGTGCTTGCTAACTCATCTCTCCCTTTGCTCACATTCTTCAATAAGAGACTACTTGACTTCATTAAAGCATAATTCTTTGTTGCATCTGAACCAGAATCTGTGGATCAGATCCTGGTTTCATACACTGAACTGCAGAATGTTTTGTATACTAGTTTGTAGCCCCAAGATTAATCCACAGTTTATTAGTTCAGTTGCACTCTGCAAGAACAGACAGATAGGTGATCCTTGGGTCTTGCACAGTCTGTTGCAAAGTGTTCCACGAGACTCTTCTGTTGCACAGCCAGTTCACAATGGGCTTCTTAAGACAACCAGCTGATTGTTGGCTCTTGCAAAAAACTCATTGTTGGGGTCCTGTGGGATACTTTGCAGCTGACATTTCTAGTCAACATTTACTTGTTAGGTATATTACACCCCCAACTGTTCTTTTCCTAACTTTCAAATGGACGCAGGAAATGATGGATAGAGAATGTTTTGTCCATTAATGAGGTGTTAGTAAAACCCAGGTTTCCCATGTCTATGATGACCAATGCCAGTCATTGGATCATATAGGACCGCTTTATACTACGTCACACTACTAGCCTATCTAGTTCAATATTATCTGCACTGACTGTCAGCAGCAGTCTAGAGATGTTGGTGTTTGAACTGAGGACCTTTTTGCATGCAAATCCATGTGTTCTGCCACTGAGTTTGTGACAGTACTGGCTATATGGCACTGTGTATATGGGGCTAATGTGTCAATTATTTGCAACCCTTTATTTAACTGGCAGTGCCTATGATCAGAAGCCACAAGTGGGAATGAGGCCCTCCAATCCACCAACTCCATCCAGCACTCCAGTCTCGCCACTGCACCATGCATCCCCAAACTCAGCTCAGAATCCTAAACCTGACCGGGTTTTTTCTGCTCACCTGCCTCCGTCCCAGCCCATCCCAGACAACAGCTTCCCCATGGACCACAGGTAAGAGATTGCTTTTCATTACTGCTTCCACAACAGGTGCTGTTTTCAGTGAGCATATTGTTTGTTTGTATCAGTGTTCCTCGCAAATTTGGCCATCGCCATTCGCCATGTTTTTAGTTTTGGAAAGAAAACGATGAAGCTAAGTGTCCTTGGGCAGTCTTGCTACATTTCACCCAATTGCCAGGAAGATTATGTATGTGAAGATATCATACAAGGGAAAGTAAAGGGTAAGGCTGGAGCTGTGTATTCCATTGATTATTATTGTTGTTGTTGTTGTTTATTAGTATTTATTAAATTTATATACCACCCTTCATCCAAAGATTTCAGGGAGGTTCACAAGATAGAAATATAGGATAAAAACACAGAACAAATAGTCAAAATGAAACAATAACACCCCCCCCCCAAAGGCCATAGAATATTAATCGGCCAAAGGCCTGGTTGAAGACTGCCTTTCAACAATTGTGCTGTCTTCCATACTTGAAGCTTTTATAGAGGAACTTGTGATTCTCCATATTCTCTGGAACTACATGTCCCATCAGCCTCAGTCAGCATGGTCAATGGTAATGGATGATGGCTGTTGTAGTTAACAACAGGAGGGCCACAAGTTCTCCATTCTTGCTCTAGTGCCTGCTTGTGTCTCTGGGTGTCAGTGAGCAAAAGGCAAACAGGAAGGTCTTTAAGGAATGTGAAAGGTAGGCGTTATTCAGAAGTAGTGGATGTTGTAAACTGACAGCTCTAGGCCCATATTGGTACTAACTCTGAAGTTCCACTGCAGCAAATATGATCAAATGTAGCATAATATTTCTATAGATCATACCCACTGTATGGGAGTAGGACAGACAGCATAAAGTATATGTACATCTATGCATTTGTTTTTGTGGAGCCAGATTGATGGGTAATGCTGTGTATCAGGGTTTCCCAAACTTGGGTCTCCAGCTGTTGTTGGACACCAACTCCTTTCATCCTTAACTAGCAGGATCAGGGATGATGGGAATTATAGTCCAAAAACATCTGGAAACCCAGGTCTGGGAAACACTGTTGTAAATCATTCAGTTCAGGAGAATGTGGCTTTTCAATACAGCAGGTTACTATTCTGAATTAAGTTCTTTATAGCCCAGGTCTATAGGCATTGCTGCTTGTTGTAACAATTTGCATAGTATCCATTGAAAGGGTGTGGGTTTTTCCCCCTTTGAGCTTTTTGAAATGCAACAGCTTAGGAAAAGGAAGTTAAGCTGCCAAAACAAACTACGTTCAAATAACTCTAGGCTGAGCAAAACCACAAAAGCTAAAAAACTGAATTGAAGCTTCATCTCTACGTCCCTAAATCACCCTGCTTAGTCTTTGTGTTTGAAGCTCCTAAGGCAAAGCATTCATTGACTGAGCTAAATCTATTTTGCTTAGATTTTGCTGTGGCTATGTTTGAATTGTGATTGTAATTGTTTATGCAAGTCTGATCAAACATTTACTTATTTGGTTATGTTCTAACCTGCTCAGAACATACTCAAGGAGCCAGCTCTGATGTCATGTGTCTTTACTTCCCCAGCCCCTGTGAAGTAATGTAAAGACCCACAAATGGCATCATATTTAATGGATTTTTCCCATTGTGGCACAATTTTGCCATGATGGCCCATGTAATTTGATGGTGGCTCCCTGCGTCGTTTTGACATGTATCCTGGTAGCATGATCATTCCAACACCATATAACTGTAGCTTTAGGCTATAGGAGTCACCCATGGGTTCAATATTGGTGCCTGTGCCCTGCTTATGTAATACTTGATAACTGAACGAGCCTCTTGCCTTCTAAATGGCCTCTGTTAAATCACACGTTTCAAGAGCACGGCCCAATCTCATGTACGCTTGCTTGGAAGTAGACGCATTGAGCTCAGTGGGGTCTTACTTCCAAGTACCTGTTCAGAAGATTACATAGCCATGCTGCTCTATAGATGGTGTTATTGCAGCAGCCTTCTTGGCAAATTCCTTTTTTACCCGTGATGATGATGATCTCGCTTGGCATCCTGGCTCTCCTGTAATTGTATGGTGGCAGGGCAGAGCAAGGTTTGGGGTGGGTGGGAAACAGTGCTGTATGGAAGAAAGAAAACTCCCAAGAAGTTTGCGGAATTGAGTGAACCTCTGGCTTAGCATACCTGCTGCTTCAATAACACAGTTCGTAAAAAGGAACAAGTATGTGGAATATAAATGGTCCTAACAAGCACCAACAGGAATCGAAGCCACTTGTATAAACACATGGCTTGATTCCATACAAAACTTCCAGTGCAAGTATTATTAACATCCTTTGAGGCTTCATAAGTGAGACTGTTTCTTATTTTAAGTTCACTCCTTGGCAGTTTTTAATGATGATTTCTGCTTCTTTTCTTTACTAAAGGGGAAAGGGGTGGGGGCAGAACATGAGCATAGTGCCAGTCAACTTAGCTATTTTCTTGTGCTTTGAGGTTAATACTTTATTTTCTGAATACGTGGGCAGACTGCAAAGGCACCACTCCTTTCACCATGGCACAGAATATTTTTAGCGGTGTGAAATAGACTTGCTTCCACACCATGTCTTTTTTATCTTTCTTTGGAATGAATGAGTTCAGCATTACTTTGAATGAATCTGTAAATTTAAATTAATCCAAGCGCAGGTTTTATTTCTGATCATACTTTTAGCCCGATCCTGTTGTTGCTGTAGGCAACGCTGATCTAGCTTGAACATGGCACAAGGACAAGATGCACTATATAATATAAATAATAATACTCTTCAGTCTTGGGGATGCTCTGCCTACTGTAACTGCTCCAACTTCATTTAATTCTGCTTGTCTGAGTCAATACAATTGCCCAAATAAATTAATATTTCCTGTTTCACTTTTAAAAATAACTTTCATTAATTGCTTTGAATCTCTGGAGTTAAAATAATAAGAGAGCTTACATGTAACACATGTTAATTTGTGGTTTACATGTAATGGTCAAACTATGGCTTTCCCATTGGGACTGTGTTTCAGGCTTGCTGAAACAAGAAAACATTCAGTGGGTTCCATGGAGTGTCTAGTGCAGAGGTTTTCAACCTTTTTGGGTCCACAGCTCCCTTGACCAACTGCATTCTTTCTTCTGCACCTCTGTGGGGCTCAGAAGCCCAGTTACGCCACCTCTTGCCTGCAGAGCTGGCAGCCCCTTAGCCCTCCCTTGTGGAGGGTTCCCTCAGCCTCCTCTCTTTTCCTCTCTCCTTGGGAGTCCTCTGGACAGCTGCAGCTACCGCCCCTGATCTCTGAGCTGTCTGACCTGCCCCACAGAGAGCTGCCTCCTCACACTGCCCCACAGGTGCCTGGGAAACACCCTGTGGCCAGCCCCAGAGGAACAATTCACCTGGGGAGCTTGTAGCCAGGGCTTCTGCAACAAACAGCTGTGCAAGCCTTTGGGAGGCAGAGATGCGAGAGGGCCTCAGAGGAGGGAAGGAAAGAGGAACAGAGGCCAGTGTTTCCTGCAGCACCCCTGGTCATCATTCAAGGTGCCCCAGGGTGCCACGGCACACTGGTTGAAAACCACTGGTCTAGTGAATCATCACCTTTGTCTTCTAGGTCTTACACTTTTGCTTTTACTTATATGCTTCAATTCTCTCCCTCTATTCCTGATTCCATAGTTTACCAAAACTTATCCATGTAAACTGTGGTTTGCACAAACAGTAGTTTGCTTCAATAAACCATAGTTAATATTAACCATACTTAGGGGTTTTGACATTACAATAGAATTAGTTGACAAAAATCAAGCAAAAACTGCCAATCTCCTTATGGCCACGTTGGAGTTGGTTGTGGTGGGGGGAATGTGTGAGCCTTGAGGACGCTGCTTCTTATTCCCACTATTGTTGAGCATGTTTTCTGAACCAACTCATAGTTTGCTGCTTGACATCAAGTAAAATATGGTTTATTAGGGACTCCCTGGCCTATCAAGGTGAACAACAAAGTGGCTGAGGGTCATCTAGTCCAACCCCCTGCAATGCAGGAATCTCAACTAGATCATATATGGCAGATGGCCATCCAACCTCTGCTTAAAAACCTCCAATGAAAGAGAGTCTACCACCTTCCGAGAGAGTCCATTCCACTGTCAAACAGCTCTTACCATCAGGAAGTTCATCTTGATGTTTAGTTGGAATCTCCTTTCTTGTAAGTTGAATCCATTGTTTTAGCTCCTACCCTCTGGAGCAGGAGAAAACAAGCTTGCTCCAACTTCCGTGTGACAGCTCTTTAGATAGTTGAAGGTGGTCATCATATCTCCTATTAGTCTCCTCTTTACCAGGCTAATTGTACCCAACTCGCAAAACGATTCCACATAAGGCTTTCTTTCCACACCCTTGATCATCTCTGTCATTCTCCTCTGCACACGTTCTAGCTTGTCAATATCTTTCGTGATTTGTGGTGCCCCGAACTGGACACGGTACTCCAGGTGTAGTCTGACCATATCTCTGCTCCAACAAAAACTACATAACTGAGTGTTTTTCTTTCTTTTTTGCTAGAGTGGGAACATGTGCAGAAGAGTATGCACTCTATTACAGCTGACTGTGCCCGCAAATACCCCAGTAATAAGTTCATTAAGTTTGCAGATGATACAATGATGGTTGGTTTAATCGCGGCTGGAGAGAGGGTGGCGGCCTATAGGAAGGAAGTTGAGCAGTTGGGGAAGTGGTGCAGGAAAAACAATTTACTCCTTAACTTAAAGAAAACAAAAGAGATTATTGTGGACTTTAGGAAATGTAAATTGAAAATTCATCCACTTATTATTGAGGGGAAGTGTGTGGAGCAGGTCTCGGTGTTTCAATTTCTGGGAATGGAGTTGAGAGATGACCTAACCTGGGGAGAAAACAGGAAAGGCCTGATGAAGAGAGCACAGCAGAGGTTATATTTTCTGAGAATCCTTCGGAAAAATCTCTCAAAGGACCTGTTGATGGCATTTTACCATTGTACTGTTGAGAGTGTATTAACTTATGGTCTGTGTGTGTGGTTTGGGAGCTGCATGGTCAGGGGAAAAACAATTCTGTCCAGGGTTGTAAAGACTGCAGAGAGAATAATTGGGTGCACTCTTCCCATCTTGGATCAAATCTATGCTTCCAAGTGCCATAAGAAAACTGCAGAGATAGTGCAGGATAGTGCGCACCCCGGAAATGATCTCTTTCAGCTTCTGCCTTCTGGAAGAAGGTACAGGGTTATAAAGACTAGGACTAGCCGCCTGAGAAACAGTTTCTATCCAAATGCAATTTTGGTTTTAAACGCAGTGTAAGGTAGTCTCTATGGGAGTATATTGTATTTAATTATGGGGTATCAGAGTTTTTAGGGGGCTAAACAGGCTGGGATAGCAGGTTTGCTGGTTTTTGAATGTCTGATGTAGATTTTTTCAATTTCGTTGTTCTGTATGAGACAATGACAATAAAGATTATCGTATCGTACAAAGTACATTATCATATGTAAGAGATGGGAATATGTAAGAGATGGTTTAGCAGAAACTAGTGTTTAAACCATGATCTTCTGAGCATTTGGAAGTGGAATTGGAGAAAGTAAAAACTTGAATGATATGTGTGTTTTATTCCCCCCCCCCCATCTCAAGTGACCAAAAATATTCAATATTGTGGTTTCTAATAGTTGTTTTTTTTTAAAAAACCACCTATTTTTTATCACTTATGAGTGGTGGTGCTAGGAAAATAATTTTATTATGAAACCCTTCTCGGGGGCAACTCTCCTTATCTAATTCTTGCAGATAGATGCCTCTTGCACTGTCTCATAGACAGGCCAGTCAAGGCATTACTCTGCAAAAAAATTATATAAGCAGTGTTTACCTTGTAGAAGGATTTCCGTCCCAGAAAGCATACCACCACAAATTGTTTCTCACCTGTTGTGAGAGTTTTTCCCATTTCTCGAATTTTTCATGCTGACTCCCCATCCCACCTTTCCCCCATTCCTGGATTAATAGTAGTAACATTGCTCTGTATCTCGGAACTGAACTCTCTCTGTGTTTGTATCCTAGATTTCGCCGCCAGCTCTCAGAACCTTGCAATTCATTCCCTCCTTTGCCTACCATGCCAAGGGAAGGACGCCCGATGTACCAACGGCAGATGTCTGAGCCAAACATCCCTTTCCCACCTCAAGGGTTTAAGCAGGAGTACCATGATCCAGTATATGAACACAATGCCATGGTTGGCAATTCAGTCAATCAAAACTTCCCCCCTCCTCTGATGATTAAACAAGAACCTAGAGATTTTGCGTATGATTCAGGTAGGTAGAAGGTTATTCTCTTTCTTCTTTTGTTTGGTAGGCTTTTCTTTATTCAACGATTTGCCTCCTCGGTAAGTCTCGTAGGAGAGGATAACTTTCCTGATAAATAAGAATACTGTACTCCTTTGAGTTTCCATGTTGAGATTGTTGTGGTAGAAAAGGCTTTATTGTACTAGACACCAGACTAGCAGCCCTATCTCATCAGAACAGATAAAGCTGCGTTCAAATTGCCTTGCCATACTTTCTCTCTCTTGAATACTTTCCTGTTAAATTGCAATGGAAATAAATCATTTCAGCTGTTGAGGTAGAGAACTAGTTGCTGAACTTGATGCTGTAGCTCGTAATACAGTTATACATCTGTCTGTGTAGTGATGTCTGAGCTTCTCCTCCAGTATTTTAGGAACAGAATTTAAACCTTTACATTCACGTAGCCATATTAGAGACTTGATTCTTCATCTTGAGTGCATTGGGAATTCAACAGGCCAATCGAAACAGGAATTGGGTGTCTATGGCCCTCCATCTCCCATCAGCTCCAACCAGCATGGTCAGTAGTCACCGGTGATGAAAAGGTGCCGTCCTCCAGCAACATCTGGAGAACCACATGCTCCCCACCCCCCTCCTCTGGCCATATCTATATCATTGAATCTCTCCATAAACACCACTTCTATTGATCTTAAGAATTCTCCAGAGATTTTCATACTGAATATTCAATTCAGATGAATTGCATTTGGATTGTATCCTGGCTTTCAGTTGATACTGTTCTTTTCTTTTTTAAGTAATTAGTAATTATGAGTACAATACATTTTGCCTCTTCGGGAGACACATGTGCTCGCTTTTTTGATGCAAGCAGTAGGCAGCCTATTTCAGGTTAAAGTTCCCATGGTGTGTTATTGCCTTGTATGGTTATAAGATAATTTTCCATGTCTGGGAAGCCAGGTCAACAGCACCAGAGCCTGCTGTTCAGAGAACCCTTGTCCTTTGCTTAGCAAAAGGCCGATGCTATCGGCCACCTATTAAGTTGCTCAGGAGGGGCTAGTTAAGGTTCCAATCGATAAAGCTTGAGCACTTTCCTCTTAGAATTGATTCCACCCCCCACCCCCACACACCTTACAGTAGGATTAAATCTGGAAAGATTTGTCCATGATTTAAGAGTTCCTCAAAACCTTGGAACTGCTTCCTTTTAGCATAGCATAACAGATGTCGCTCCTGACACTGAAATAAAAGGGCCTACAGTCCTAGTCACCGTGTTATGATCTTTACAAGTGCACTTGTTCAGCCTACTAAATTTCAAGGGCAACAAGGCTCTATTGTCAATGTGCTTTTTATGTTTAGGCAAGTACTTTGTGCAATTTCCCCCACCCTTTGTTTCCACGGGAGCTCCTACTCATTCTTTCTCATTTATCCATCAAATGATTTCTCCCCCTAACCTCCTTACCATTCACAAAGATGATCATCTGGTGCAGTAGTCTGCAAACTTCTGTTTTCCATTGCTGGTAGGGAAAACTCCGCCCCCCCATACAGTTTTGGGCAAATAGGGAGGCCACCTTAATGCTGTCAGTATTTTGCAAGAGGGGTTCTGGAAATGTTAGATTGCCCAAGTAAAGTAAAGTAAAGTAAAGTAAAGTAAAGTAAAGCACTCTGTTACTGTGGTACAACAAATCCACCACCCTGCCTGAACTCTTTGCAGTTAGGAAAGTAACAGAGAAACATGTGGGATGAACGATGCATAGCTACCACACAAGCATATGAGCATATGATTTCATGATGAATGATCGTTGTCATATAACTTCCCCACAAGCAAACTGGAACGAATGACCAATTATGCTTGCAGGGCAGCAGCTGAAGAAGGAGCAAAAAGGGTTTTCTTGTGTGTGCGTTTATTTGTGGCTGATTACCTGCTCTCCCTGTGCAAAGGTCAGAGGGGGCAGGGTTTCTGTTGAGGCAGGTGATTAGCTGTGGGAGGAGCTTATCAGAGCTTGCAGGGCAGCGGTGCAGTTTGATCCATCTTTTAGATTTAGGGGAGCTAGTCTCAAACGTTTGTTGGGGGAGACCTAGGTTTTTTTGGGGGGGAGTTATTTGTCCTGTCTTCATGCTTTTTATGATGGAGGATCGCTGTAGCCACCCCCAACGACACGTTCTCAAGATGGAGGGTGAGGGAACAGCTGCAGTCGCCTGCAGTTCCTGCACAATGTTTGCCATCTTGCCAAAGGTTGCAGGCAGCTTTACCTGGAGCAATTGCATGTTGATTGCCCTCTTAGAAGACAAAGTCCAGCAACTGGAGGAACGTGTAGCTGCGCTCCAAAGAATTAGAGAGCTGGAGCTCTTCTTGGAAGCAACAGAGCACACCGTCTCCACCAAGGAGGAGACAGGGGACTCCCCTGAGAAGGAGGCTAGTTCACCAACACAGGAGCCAGATATATGGAGAAACGTGACTCAAAGAAGTAGGAGGCCCAGGGTTCGCTCTGATTGTTTAGAAATACACAATCGCTTTGAGGTCCTCTCCCCTAGCATGGAAGACGAAGAGCAGACTCCATTTGAGGATCTCTCCCTCATTACAGTCAATCAGGTATATGAAGACGAGCAGCAAAGTCAGTCCTCAGGGAATGTGCAGGCGACCTTGGAACAGACAGCTCACAGAAGAACCCCGACCAGACCTAAGAGGAGGTGTGTAGTGGTGATAGGGGATTCCCTACTGAGGGGAACAGAAGCAGTGATCTGTGGGCCTGACAAGATGTCTCGGGAAGTGTGCTGTCTCCCCGGGGCTAAGATCCAAGATGTAACTGAACGACTGCAAGGAATCATAAAACCCACTGACAAATACCCCTTCCTCTTGGTTCATGTGGGAACCAATGACACTGCAAACAATAGCCTCCAGAAGATCAAAAGAGACTACGAGGCACTGGGCAGGAAATTGAAGCAATTAAATGCACAAATTGTCATCTCATCTGTCCTCCCAGTTGAACGACATGGCCCAGGGAGAGAGGGAAAAATAGTGGAAGTGAACAGCTGGCTTCGCAAATGGTGTAAACAGGAACGGTTTGGATTCTTAGATCACGGACTGCAGTTTCTTGAAGATGGACTTCTGGCAAGCAATGGGCTGCACCTCACAATGGTTGGGAGGAATGTTTTTGCCAAAAATCTCAGAAACCTCATCAGGAGGGCTTTAAACTGACTAATGTGGGGGAGGGAGACAGTGCTCCTGAAGGTAGGAGTCTATCAATTGATGAAGATGATCATCCAAATGTCATAGACCAAATGGAGCAAACAGCACGCAGACCTAGTGGTGGGAGGAAAAAATCCTTAAATAAGAGACACGGGGGAATGATTAATGGACTTCAGTGTCTGTACACTAATGCGCAAAGCATGGGAAATAAACAAGATGAGCTTGAGCTCTTGGTACAGCAAACTAAATATGACATAATAGGCATCACTGAAACCTGGTGGGATAAGTCCCACAATAGGAATGTAATAATGGAGGGATACAATCTATTTCAGAGAAACAGACCAGACAAGAAAGGAGGAGGAGTGGCGTTATATGTCAGGGATGTGTATACCTGTGAAGAGATCCAAGATTTAGAACCTCAAAGCCAAAGTGAGAGCATTTGGGTCAAAATTAAGGGAGAGAAGAATAACAGTGACCTCCCCAAGCCAAACGGAGGACATAGATGATGCCTTCCTGGAACAGATGGCCAAGCATGCAAAAGGAAGGGAGATAGTAGTAATGGGGGACTTCAATTACCCGGATATTTGTTGGATGTCAAACTCAGCCAAGAGCATAAGGTCAAACAGATTCCTCACTGGCCTTGCAGACAACTTCATTGTCCAGAAAGTGGGAGAAACAACAAGAGGAACAGCCATTTTAGATCTGGTCCTAACCAATGTTGATGACCTGGTTAGTGGGGTAGAAGTGGAAGGATCATTAGGCGCGAGTGATCATGCTCTTCTGAAGTTTACTATACAGCGGAAAGGAGCAGCCAAGCATACTAGGACTCAATTTCTTGACTTTAAGAAAGCCGACTTCATAAAACTTAAGGAAGTGCTGGGTGAGATCCCATGGACAGTAATACTAAAAGGAAAGGGAGTTCATGATGGCTGGGAGTTTGTTAAGAGGGAGATAGTAAAAGCACAACTTCAGGCAATACCAATGAGACAGAAACATGGAAGGTGCCTAAAGAAGCCAGGGTGGCTATCTAAAGAACTTTTAACTGAGTTAAGATTAAAAAGGATGTGTACAAAAATGGAAAAGGGGAAACCACCAAAGAGGAATTCAAACAAATAGCCAGCACATGTAGACACAAAGTCAGAAAAGCTAAAGCACAGAATGAACTCAGGCTTGCTAGAGAGGTTAAAAGCAACAAAAAAGGCTTTTATGGGTATGTTCGTAGCAAAAGGAAGAACAAAGAAACAGTGGGGTCACTCAGAGGAGAAGATGGTGAAATGCAAACAGGGGACACAGAAAGGGCTGAACTCCTCAATGCCTTCTTTGCCTCAGTCTTCTCCGATAAAGAAAACAATGCCCGACCTGAAGAATTTGGAGCAAATGATTCAGCAGAGGAAACACAGCCCAGAATAACTAAGGAGATAGTACAAGAATACTTGACTAGTTTAGATGTATTCAAGTCTCCAGGGCCAGATGAACTGCATCCAAGAGTATTAAAAGAACTGGCAGATGTGATCTCAGAACCACTGGCAGACATCTTTGAGAATTCCTGGAGAACAGGCGAAGTCCCAGCAGACTGGAGGAGGGCAAATGTTGTCCCTATTTTCAAAAAGGAGGAAAGAGAGGACCCAAATAATTACCGCCCAGTCAGTCTGACATCAATACCAGGGAAGATTCTGGAGCAGATCATTAAGCAAACAGTCTGTGAGCACCTAGAAAGGAATGCTGTGATCACCAATAGTCAGCATGGATTTCTGAAAAATCAGTCATGTCAGACTAACCTGATCTCGTTTTTTGACAGAATTACAAGCCTGGTAGATGAAGGGAACGCAGTGGATGTAGCCTACCTTGATTTCAGCAAGGCATTTGACAAGGTGCCCCATGATATTCTTGTAAAGAAGCTGGTAAAATGCGGTCTTGACTATGCTACCACTCAGTGGATTTGTAACTGGCTGACTGACCGAACCCAAAGGGTGCTTATCAATGGTTCCTCTTCATCCTGGAGAAGAGTGACTAGTGGGGTGCCACAGGGTTCTGTCTTGGGCCCGGTCTTATTCAACATCTTTATCAACGACTTGGATGATGGACTCAAGGGCATCCTGATCAAATTTGCAGATGACACCAAACTGGGAGGGGTGGCTAACACCCCAGAGGACAGGATCACACTTCAAAATGACCTTGACAGATTAGAGAACTGGGCCAAAACAAACAAGATTAATTTTAAGAGGGAGAAATGTAAAGTATTGCACTTGGGCAAAAAAAATGAGAGGCACAAATACAAGATGGGTGACACCTGGCTTGAGAGCAGTACATGTGAAAAGGATCTAGGTAGGAGTCTTGGTTGACCACAAACTTGACATGAGCCAACAGTGTGACGCGGCAGCTAAAAAAGCCAATGCAATTCTGGGCTGCATCAATAGGAGTATAGCATCTAGATCAAGGGAAGTAATAGTGCCACTGTATTCTGCTCTGGTCAGACCTCACCTGGAGTACTGTGTCCAGTTCTGGGCACCACCGTTCAAGAAGGACACTGACAAACTGGAACGTGTCCAGAGGAGGGCAACCAAAATGGTCAAAGGCCTGGAAACGATGCCTTATGAGGAACGGCTAAGGGAGCTGGGCATGTTTAGCCTGGAGAAGAGGAGGTTAAGGGGTGATATGATACCATGTTCAAATATATAAAAGGATGTCACATAGAGGAGGGAGAAAGGTTGTTTTCTGCTGCTCCAGAGAAGTGGACACGGAGCAATGGATCCAAACTACAAGAAAGAAGATTCCACCTAAACATTAGGAAGAACTTCCTGACAGTAAGAGCTGTTTGACAGTGGAATTTGCTGCCAAGGAGTGTGGTGGAGTCTCCTTCTTTGGAGGTCTTTAAGCAGAGGCTTGACAACCATATGTCAGGAGTGCTCTGATGGTGTTTCCTGCTTGGCAGGGGGTTGGACTCGATGGCCCTTGTGGTCTCTTCCAACTCTATGATTCTATAACCTCTGTGCTATTTGACGGTGAATGCTCAATGTACAGGTTGGTTGGAGGAGCCTGAAATATCCCTGATAGTCAGAAATAGCCTAGCTGAACAGGGGTTTAATGTCTTAAGTGGTTCTTTCCCTTGCCATCTCCTTTATATTCGAAAATTAAAGTCCTTGATTATCACTTTATGAAGATGGGAATATGTATGCTTATCTCACCCTTCCTTCAAGAAAGTCAGGGTGGTGTACAAGGTTCTCTGTCCCCTGTTTTATCCTTACATCAGCCCTATGACGTAGGTTAGGCTGAGAGAGTACGATGGGCCCATGGTTACCCAGTGAACTTCATAGCTGAGTGGAGATTTGGAAGTGGGTCTTCCCAGTGCTAGTCCGACACTCTAAGTCAGGCATGGTCAGACTTGGCCCTCCAGCTGTTTTGGGACTACAATTCCCATCATCTCTGACCGCTGGTCCTGTGAACTAGGGATGATGGGAGTTGTAGCCCCAAAACAGCTGAAGGGCCAAGTTTGGCCATGCCTGCTCTAAGTGCTCCACCACACACACTCTATGTGCTTGTGTCTATTAGATGCCTTCCACACAACGTTCTTCCCAAAGTCGTCATCATTGCAATTTGACAAAAATGCATTGGGCAATCCCTCCATCCACTTGCGCACTTACAGTTCACAACCGGGCCCAATAAAACCTCCTCTCCTTGTACCACATTGTACTAGCCATTAATCTAGTCCTCCATCACTCTCATTTGTTTATTTAAAGTACTGTTTTCCCATTCTTCAGCCAGAAAAAAAGCTCTTGGAGTGGCTTAGAAATGTCAGTGATAAAGACTATCCCTATTCTCAGGCTTATAATATAAACACATGATATGAAAATATAAGGGAGGAGGAAAACGGAACACGCAGGTTACTATTTCTCACCCACCTATGGTGTGACTCGGAATTTGCATAGAGTGTTGAATTTGAGTATATTCTTTGGTTGCCTGAAACATTGACTGTGCTGTCCTCCCATTCTAGGTAATGGATAGTTTGGACACACAATGGGGAATGTGATGGCTGGCTCTGGTGGAGCATTATTCTGGCTCCTTGATGCACTTTTATTTTTAGTACTCAGTATGGAGCGCACCCCCCCCTTATTCCAATATGTTTGTTTCTGATTCCCCTTCATTTCTGCCCATCGCTATAAACTTCAGAAGTTGGTCTCTTTGCTCTTGCAGGAGAAGAATTAGTTCTAAAAATGAACCAACAGTGCAACTAGTGGCCATTAAAAATTGATTTGTGGCCTCAGAGTACTTCTTATTGACTCCAAAAACCCCACATTTAAGTTGACACATCTGTACACAACATAAATTGCAGTCAACAACTAGGGTCTGATGATATTTTGTCGTGTTGCCATCTGTTCTCCAGAAACCATAATTTCCCCTTTCCTTGCTCTAAGGGTACATTAAATAACCCTTTTGGAGACATAATGCATTTGCCATTGAATCATTGATTTTATTATGCTTATGGATGTTTGGGTATAAGTCGCTCTGACAAAGAGCTTGCATAATATTACTTTGCTGTCCAGATAAAAATTCAAAAATCTGTTTTGCAAGATTATTATACTAAGATGTTCCTTCTGGGATATTTTGAAAGAGCCTCATAACTGCTGATTGCTTTTGAGCACTGTATTCTTACCCGTTTTGGAAATCTGGTGAATGAAAACCATTATTATGGAATGATTATAACTCTATTAAAACATGACATTAATTATGACATCGGAAATGGCAGATCAATTAGTTGTAATTGTAATTGCAGGTATGCAATTTCTATTGCAGAATGTTGAGATAATGGAACATGGAAAAAAAGAGAAATGTCAACAGAATAGAAGCTGTTTTATTTTTCCACCCATCCTAGGAGCCATGCTGAGGGGAAAATCAAGTAACATAAAATAAGGCAGTGCCTTTGATTTGACTAATTTCTATTAGAGAAAGAATACGCAAGCTTTTCAGTTACACAGAATTCTGCACAGTAAAGTATTCTAGGTAATTCAATAGCTTGTATACTCGAATAGCCAAATGAAGTTGGTCGATTTAAAATGGGAATTTGCTTCTATTGTGATGTGTTGTTTTTAACAACCATGAGTACAGAACATATCCCCAGTCAGCTATCACCCTACCCCAATTTTCCATTCTGGGGAACTGTTTCAAGTGTGCCTGGATACCTGCCAGGTTTTTTTAAAAAAGCTCTTTTAGCCTGAATATAGCACCAGGACTGCTCTTGTGGCTTAGATTATCTGTGCTTAGACAACATTAGGATAAATTGTACCCTATTGATATGATTAGGCTTGATAATACTGGAAGTGCAGATTTCCCTGGGACTTACCTCAAGCTGATCTGTTCATTTTTCTGAGGGGAGGCATCCCAAAGTTTGGTGTTGAGCAACAGCTTATCCAACCCCTCACTTATCTGTAGGGCTCTGCAGGGTTTATACTTGCTTCCCATCATCTTCAGAATATGGGTGCAATCCTATAAATTGCATAGCGTACCATCTGGTGTGGTAATGCCACACAGCTGTACATACAGCTCATTTTCATTCAGCCCACTTCCTGCCAAATTATCATTTTTCTTATTGACAAAATGGACTATTAAGTATCTTCTGCTTTAAAGTGGTTTTGCATATTACAAACCAGCAGTGATAGCAAAAGTTGCAAGACACTTGCGTATGTCCCCCCCCCCCCCAGTCCGGGTTAAATATGTCAAGTGGATGGTGCTGCAAATAATATCTGGTTTTCAACATCGCGATATATCACCAGCTAAACATCATGACATATTGATATATCACGATGTCTGAAATAAGGATGGAACTATGTAGAGACATTGGCTGCCTTCACAGTTTTTCCCACATTGTGATTTTTGCATAGTGCGCGCGCACACACACACACAGACACAGATTCACAATATATTGCCAGGTCAAAAACTGAAACCGGTATCACAATATGGACTTCAAACTGGTTTTGGGCGATATATCGCCCAGCTCTACTGTACACACACGAACTTAGCAGTCCTAAAAGACCCACATTGGTTCCCAGTACATTTCCGAGCACAATTCAAAGTGTCGCTGCTGACCTTTAAAGCCCTAAATGGCCTCAGCCTAGTATACCTGATGGAGCGTCTCCACCCCCATTGTTCTTCCTGGACACTGAGGTCCAGCTTCGATGGCCTTCTGGCAGTTCCCTCACTGTGAACCAGGCAGAAGGCATTCTTGATGGTGGCGCCCGCCTGTGGAATGCCCTCTCATCAGATGTCAAGGAAATAAACAACTATCTGACTTTTAGAAGACACCTGAAGGCAGCCCTGCTTAGGGAAGTTTTTAATGTTTAATGTTTTATTCTGTTTTTAATCTGTTGGGAGCCGCCCAGAGTGGCTGGGGAAACCCAGCCGGATGGGCAGGGTGTGTGTGTCTGTGTGTGTGTGCGTGTGTGTGTAATACCCCACATTGTGCTCTATAGACACTTTGGGTTTCCTCCATTGACATCATATCTGTAACATCAGATGTAATCTAATATCCCAGTGTTGTGTTGGGAGGCTGAATGTGGGTGAGCTCGTTGAGGCTAGACCATAGTGAAAAAAACACGTCTTTCACTTTTACTTTATTTGAGAGTGTGGGGAGGACTGAGAGAGTAGTAGAGGGTGTCCCATATTTAATGGGTTCAGCTTGTAATAGTGAATAAGTTTCACAGCCTTGAACAGTTCTGAATCCATTACTTCACCTGGTTCTTAATTAGTTGTTGTGACACAAAGTATATCTCCCCCGCCCCCCGCATTTACCACCAGCTTTTCAGACACATTTAAAATTTATTAACTTTGTTGCCTCATAACATTCATTCTTTAAAAATACTTGACTGTCCTTTGACAATATTCAACAGGTCATTTGCCCGTGCCTAAGCTTATGCAGCCTGTTGCTAAACTGTTGAGTGTCACAAAGAAAAGGCAGCCTACAATGGCAGTGCCTTGCTGAAACTTGCTCTATGTCTGGAACAGAAATTTCTCTGTCAAAATATTCCCTCTTCACACTTTGGGAATGCTGTTTATTTTCTTCTGTTTGAAATATTCAGAGAAAACAAGGCACAAGCATGACAGCAGTCTGTCACTTGTAAACTTAGTGCTCAGTAGAGAATTGGCATGGGAGTTGAAGGAAGGATAACCAGAGCAGCAAAACTCTTTTAAAGATAAATGATTCAAACTCCATGGTATTGTCACCATACAACGCAAGATTACCATAACATACAAATATTTTTTTAAATATTTTTTTGGTCATTGCAAAGGTGAGTAAAAATCTGGTGTTTATGCTGTTTACTCCTATATGTTATAGGAGTCAGAATGAAAATATTTTTTAAAATGGGGCAAGAAGAGTGCCACTGGCGGTGAGGGCAGGGCAGGGAGAGTGACATAATCAAAGCAATACACTATCTTGCCACAAGAATATTAATTGTCACAAACTGGAGAGGAGAGAAAATCCCAACAAAGCTGGAGTGGCAAACTAAGTTATTAGAGTTCTCTGAGTTGGCAAAATTACAGACAAACTGAGAAGTAATACTGACCAAGCATTTATTAGGAAATGGGACGTGTATAAAAATATCTTATTGAATACTGCAATAATATGACGTCAGTGGCAGGATTTGAATTACTTCTGTGTAGGATGAACAACCATGAGACACAAAAACATTGATGAAAATTAACAAAAAGAAAATCAAAGTTAACAGTGTGCTAGATAGATTAAGTGGTAAATACACGATGAGGTAACGGGAAGTCGTTAGAAACTCAAGAAGAATGTATAGTGATAGGATGTAACAAATTGTATCATTTTCTTTCCCTTTTTTATTAGCCCTTATGTTTGTTACTTCTTTTTAATCTCAAAGAAGCATTTAAAAACAAACACACAAATCAATACACTATCTCTGTGCAAGGACCATAGCTCAGGGATAATCACATGCTTTTGTGCAGAACATCAAAGGCAACTCAAGGGGGAAAGAACATTTAGTAGGCAACGTGAAAGATATTTGCTGTAGAGCAGGGATTGGGTGTGTGGGTGTTTTCCATCCTGAGGGCCACATTCTTTTGTGGATAGCCTCCAGGATGTGGGGCACGGGCCAGTGATGGGGAAGGCCATTGTCAAAAGTGAGTGTGCAAGCAAGAGGAGTATGTGGAGCAGGTTCATTGAGGGTTGTTGCTTGCTGAGGGGGTCAGGCAAGTTCTGAGGGCCAGGTGGATCTGAGCCACTGCCATTAGGAAGATTGACAAATAAACTGTGTTGGAAGGTTGGGAGGCTGCATGGCTTGTCCATCTCATCCAGTATTATCTACTCTGACCAGCAGAGGTTATCCAGAGTCTGAGGAATAGGTCCATCACATCCTAACCTCTGCTACTTGGTACTATACAAAAACCCCTGAAACCTGGAGGTGCCTGGGATTGAACTTCTCTGTGCAAAGCATATATATCCTCTACTACTGAGCTACAGCCCCTGCCTGGGATACACAAAGTCTGTACTGGCATTGTGCATATCTGCACCAGAGTGAAACTCAAGGCTGCTTAAGACTGGTTAAAAGACTTCAAAAACAAAGCTTTGAAAAACTTTTATGGTGATTTGGCTGGTTGTGCCCCGGTTTGTTTCTTCAGTGTAATATTTTAAGTGAACAGAGTTTCTGTATCTTACCAGATGGATGTCTCTGTAGCAAGAGCAAATAAGGCCAAGGTGAAATGTTCTTCTTAATTTGTAGATTTGAAGACCTGACCTTCTAATATTTATGCCTTTAGATTGCCTATCTCCCCCACCCCTGCCCCGTTTCTTATGTTTCAAATCTTTTATAAATGCCTTTTTATCTTTGATATTCCATTCCACTCTGTAAAAGAACCCTTAGACTGTGATATACATTTTTTAGGAAGTAAAACTCATTGAACATAGTAGAGACTTCTGAGTAAAATACATATGTTAGCACTGTTAATGATGAGATATACCTTAATATAACACAGTAATTTTCCATTTGCTTAGTAGGTTAACATTAGAGACAAGTGCTGTTCAAATTCATGTAACTATCCTCTGCTCTACTACTGCTTATATATATTTTTTCCTGGAGTTTTCTAAGGTTTTGTTTTGTTTTTAAGTTCACACTAGTTTTGAAGTTCCCATCAGTACAAAAGAAGTCGTTTTCAGTGAATTCCTAAATGCCTTATAATGTGGAAACAACTCTTCTGTTAGTTTATATGGCAGGTGGCAGCTACAATTTATTGTCCTGTTTTATCCAATACAAAGAGTCGTAGGGTCAAATATTCAGTGCATTTTGCTTCACAACATTCAAGATTGTTGTGTATAGTTGCTTCTGCCAGACAAAAAATGGTAACCACTTGCCATACGTATATAGTAATGGCAGCGATTGTCCTTGATACATCCTTGGAAGCAAGTTTATCTTGATGGCCCTAATAGTTTTTGTTTTTGAGCCCCTTCAAATAGCATAGCTATATTGCAGTAGGCTGCTACACTTGTTAATTGTTCCACAGCCTCTATAAAGCTGAATGTGTTGAATCAAGCTGTTCAGAAAGTTTATTTTTCTGATCAGCAATTGTTCCTGTGTGCAACACAGATTGGTTAATTTTGCCCTTATGAGTCGCTAGGACAGCCTGATCTGGCAGGGAAACATCTCTTGAACCACAATCCTGTGCTGTACAAACAGATAAAGCCACTGAACTCTGGCCTGCCTTGCACTGAAAAGGCTTAATCTCCTCTCATTGCTAATTCTTTTGCTGCAATAACACAACCACACAAGGACTGCTCAATTAGGTCCTAGAATGGGGATGAGTTGTGTTCCATTTTAAGAATTTATATGTCAGGCTGTTGCCTCAATATGAATGAATGAAAGAAATGATAGATTAGCTGACTGTTACTACTTTCTTATTTCTCATTGGTAAAGAAAAAAGAAGAATGGAGGGAGGGAGAGAGAGAGAGAGAGAGGCCCACAGGTGTTTGTAATGGAGATAGGGACAGACATCCTGTTGGCTTTCAGCCCACACAGCTGTTGTGTTGTTAACATATTTGCAACCCCGCCGTTCATCTGCACAGATGCTAGGAGAGAATGCAAGACACAAAAACTTTATTTATTTATTTATTTATTTATAGCAAGCTTTATGTACTGCTTAATCAGAAAAAAAATCAAAGCAGTTTAAATAGTGTAAACTGTTAACTAAAGATAGAAAAAAAGCAAACTTTAAAAACAAAAGACACAATAGAATTATCAAAATATAAATAAAAACAGTTTACAAAACCAAATGTACATAGTAAAACTGTGTGGGTAGGCTATCTTAAGCAAAGTTTTTAGCAGGCATCAAAAACATTACAACAGCATCTGCCTAATATTAGTAGTACATAAATAAATTATATGTGCACAGTTCCTAATATCACATTCATACCCAATGATAAAACCATAAAATACCTCCCAGCCAATGGGGAAGCTAAAACCACAGAGCAGGATTAATCCAATTCCAATCAGCTAAACTACTAAAAGTGCCTGTGAAAACAGATGGATCTTAACTTGGTGCCAGAATGATGTGGTGTCACCATCAACACTAAGGGGAGGCTATTCTGCATAACACACTTTACTTGACAGTGGAATGTGGAGAAGCTTTTCATCTGAATTTCATTGAAATGGACAGGATGGGGAGAGGAGATCCATCAGGTATTAGGGTCCCAAGTCATTTAGGGCTTTATAGTTAAACGCTGGCACTTTTGCAAATCAGCACAAAATGGAGTTGGAAGAGAGCTCATACCCAGGAACTTGTGGCTTGCATAGGAACTGCTTGCACCCATCTAGAAAGGCTTGCCACATGCTTTGAAGACCAGCATCATGTAGTCTCAGTACATCACTAACGAAATCATGTGACTATGGAATCCAGCAATTTCAATTATTAGTCTGTTGGCTGGGTGATCTTGCCTGTTGGCCATTGGCACTCCTCTCACACCAAGCATTTTGATAGAGGTTCACTCTGACCGCTGTCAGAAGAAAATGGCATAAACAGACAGTTTTCATCATGGCTGTCACAACAAACATGGAAATGGTGCATATTATGGGGAGAACATTGTGCAGCTTGAAACTGTTTGTTCACATTCAAAAGTGCCTGCCTTAGCTGGTATTCTTCCTTCACTTCCCCCATGTCCGTTTTCCATGTGTACACAATGTTTAAAAAGTTAATTGCCAAGATTATTTTCTTATTTAGAGGTATAACCCCATAAAATCCATAGCTCTCTTGCAGTGAGTGCTGCATCAGTTTGAACAGGCAATATCTATAAAGTTTTGTCTCCCTCCTCCCTCCCTTTTCAAAGAAACGGATAAAATATCCTCTGAATCTACGGTTACAGTAAGTGGCACTGGCTAATGATTTGATTTGAGAATTGAGAATACAGTCTGGATTTACTCTCTATGCATTAACGCAGGTCAAATGGACACGGGCTGCATTTTAAATCAGTAATGGAAGGCTGAAGCTTTTCTTAAACCAATCACATCGGCCTTTCCAAGACTGACTGATCCCTAGAGGCCGAGCCTAGTAAGCAAAGCTTTTATATGAATGGACTCTGTGCAGCCTGGAGTTTCATTCATAAAATGGATGCTGAAGGGGGGAAAGGGGGAGGGAGGCGGCGGGAGGAGTGCACACATTGGAATGTCCATTTATAGAGAGCTGAAGGGTGTAGTGTTCCATCAGCTGCTTCCCTTGCCCGTTGACTTAAAGTAATGATTAATGCTTGCTGGCCTCCTCTGCTTGTAACTTGACACCATTTATGGCCTTGGTGCGTTCCTAATGTATGGTGAATGAGAAGGCTACATAATCCAATCAGAAACATAAACAGGAACTGGTTGGTCTGAATTCCATTCAAATATGTCACTTCAGCCAGGCAGTGTTTGTAGAACTTGAATTTTATAGACTGAGAATGGGATGGAGGAGGAGCCATGCAGATGTGTGTCTTTTGCAGCCAAGGCTCACAAAAGAGAGGGGGGTCTTTTTCTCTGTGTGTTTTCTCTGTGTTTTTTTCTTCTTGTAAATAGCAACTTAACGTACACATAGTTTGAAAGTGACCCTGTATGACTGAAATAAATATAGAGCGTAAAAATGGAGAGCCACCAGCTGGGACAGGATTGTACATTTTTTTAAAAAATATGACGTCCTTTTAATGTTTTGGTTCTGCTGTCAATAACAAGTAGCCTTTTGTTGAAGGAGGCTGCTGTTGCCTAATGTGTTTTCTGAAAACCGGATGTCGTGATGATGCCAGAGTAAATCAGCAGTTAGCTATAGAAAGCAATCTGGTGTATTTCAGGGAGGAAAACTGTGGATTTTATTTTGCATGTGTTTTGGTTTCTTTTGGAATTGCTTTAGCTAAATTAGATTACAACTTGTAGGTTGTTTGCCAGATGAGAGGTAGGGATTACGTTCCCTCTCTGTGAAGCCTGGCTTTTGAATTTATTGGCATCTTGTCGTAATGCGATGTTTCTGTTACTCCGAATTAATTTTAATTTTTAACTTGATTTTTCAGAGACATCTTTTTTGCATCCTCCTTTAGGATAACCCTGATGTCCTTACCCCAAGTATTGGGAATGTTGCTGACGGTACTTGTGTGCATAAATAGAATACTTTAAACTAAATATTACCTTTATCCAGCAATTCTTGGTAGAGTGTGTTGGTACCCTTATCTGCATGGACTCTGCTCAGCTAAGCGAGGTAGGAAGTCCTCAATTCAAATTCACTAGGTATTAGTAAACAGTTCTCTTTCTCATTCACACACATGCAGCGCTGGATTACGAAATAGGCAGAGTAGGCACCGACCTATGAGCCCCACACCTTTTAGAGGATCAAAATAATATTCACAATTTTTTTAGGGATATGTGCCCCCCCCCCCAGAAAAAAGCACTGGTATCAGGAGATATTTTGCGATGGACCCCCCGAGATTTCAACTGCCTGGGGCCTCCACAGGGTTTAATCCAGCACTGCACACATCCCAGTATGCAATATGGGAATAATAATACTGGCTTAATTCACAAAGATTACTGAGTGAAGGTTACTATATGGAGTGCTTTGAACCTTAAAAGAACTACAGTGGGTTAAGTACTTAATTCGTTCCGGAGGTCCGTTCTTAACCTGAAACTGTTCTTAACCTGAAGCACCACTTTAGCTAATGGGGCCTCCTGCTGCTGCTGCGCCGCTGGCGCGCGATTTCTGTTCTCATCCTGAAGCAAAGTTCTTAACCTATTTCTGGGTTAGTGGAGTCTGTAACCTGAAGCGTATGTAACCTTAAGCGTATGTAACCCGAGGTACCACTGTATGTGGATGTATTGATACTTCATAGTGGATCCGAGCGCTCTCTCTCTCTCTCTCTCTCTCTCTCTCTCTCTCACACACACACACACACACACAAAATCAAATCAATCAATCAATCAATCTCTCTACTATATATTTTGGAAAGTGGTTTATTTGTCTGGCTGTTCTATATGGGTTTGAGCACCAATTGAGAGATCGCCACCCTGCAAGAAGGGTTCAACTTGCCTGCTCTCTGCAATGCAGTTGGGAGAAGAGGCAAAGAAAGTGTGCCGACTCCTTCCCCACCCCCTCTCTTGACGATATACAGTTTTAAAATCCTAATTGCGAACGGGTCCAAAACTAACAAATGACACTGTCCGTTTAAAAACTCCAGTATTTGTGGGTTTCTTAGATTTCATGGACAATGCTTTAATTTAGCAGCCTATAAAAGAAAGGTGTCCATTGTCTTCATCTGAATCCCAAATGAAAATTAAGATTGTCTTGTTTTACTTTCCGTTTCCTTTCAAGAGTCATAGCTCAGTTATGTCATCCATTGTCTTTGATTCTTAAATCCTGGAAATGTTTCGCGTGAGAACATAGGGAAATGCCTTATATCTTTCGCAGGGTGGATTTGATTTAAATCAGATTGATTTAAATCACAATTTAAATCACTAGTCAGTAAGACTTGATTTATATCATTTTTTTTTAACAGAAAGACTCATTCTTGCTTGTATCATCTTAATATTGACAACCAGAGGAAGGTTTCATTTTTGGAATAATAAATTTTCAGAGTTGTTTTTACAGTTATATTAAAAATTACTGATTTGGTTATACTATTAAAAATACATAGACAGATAATTATTAAATTATTGTGAGATTTAATATGTTAACAGTTTATTTTCAGACAACTTTTCTGCTGTACTTTATTGGAAGGAGAAAAATAATCATTTCCTTAATAACAATTTAAACAATTTATTTAACTAAAACAATAACATTATAGCATATGTATCCATGTTTGTTAACTGATGTGGTTAAACATTTTTTAAAAAACAAAACAAAACACCATAGACTGAGTTTTAGCACACATGAAAAACTTAAAACAAATCCTTATTTCCTGATTAATAGCTTTTGGACTATAATGTAACTTAAATAGAAAACTATCTTTAGAAAGATTTTTCCTCCAAAAGCATTTTATTTTAAAAATCTGATTTAATTTTTTTAAAAAATTGTTATTTCCCTCCCGTTTTTTTTTTTTAATCATTGTTTTTTTTATCCACCCTGATCTTTGGACCATGGAGCTCATTATTACTTGCATTCGCAGGCACTGTCTCTCCAGGATTTTGAGCAGACATCTTTTTCAGATTTCCTTGGTAGGGGGTTCTACCCAGGGCCGTCTTAAGCATATGCGGCGCTGGGATGCAAAGATCCACTGGGCGAGAGAACCACCAAAGTTGTTGACCTTTTTTAAGGAAATAGTTGTTTACACAGGGGTGTACAAAGGTGGGTGCGGGGTTCACGGGGGGGGGGGAATGTTGGGCGGCATAGTCGCAGCACTGTACACCCGCTGCTCCCCCCCCCACACACACTGCATGGCGGCTAACTGTTTTGGCTGCACGCAGTACCCAGTCATGTAATGTTGTGGGTGCTGCGTGGCGCATCCTGTTGCATGCGCCAAGCTGAGGGTTCCTTTACTGGCTTTTCCGCTGTTAGAGCACACTCCCAGCGCCACTCACCGTGGGGTGCCAGCACAGAACGATGGGGGATGCAAGCGGGAGCAGAGGAAAGATCTCTGGGGGGGATCTGCGCGCTCCTATTTGTCGGGTTTTGTCATTGTCCAGAGATGTTTCCTCCGTGCACCCCTAGTGTCAACGGTTAAGATGGCCCTAGTTCTACCTGGTGTTCAACCTACGTGCAAAACAGGTGGTCCTGGAGAAGAAGGAATATTTTCCCCATCTGAAAGCTAGGGTTGCCCCCCTAGTGCACTAGTGTCATCCTTCTGAAACTATATCTCATTGCTATTTATCACATCTGTGTCCCTATTAGACGAACATGTGTTGTGTAGCAGAAACCATCAATTACGTTGCGACTATAATAGAACAAGCTGGCGGGATTTGCAAGGGGAGCCATCAGTGCAAAAGGCAACGGTATCTGTGGAACAATTGCCAAACTAGCTTTCCAGTTAATAGATTTAACAACTTGGAGTCAATAAGCTGTATCCCTAATAAATACATCCTATGGATTTTCCTCCTGTTTTCAATATTCAAAGGCTGTTGCTGATGTCAAGATATGGTCGCTGGTTTTAAATTGCATTGTACTGTACCAGTCAGGTAATGTAAAATTGAAGGTCTTTATCATAATTATGCAGGCTGAAAATAGAACAAGTCTGTGTTTTTAGGCAAATTTCTTGAGACAGGGAGAAAAATTGGCGCAAAATTTCCACATCCATCTCGCCTTATGCTTGGGATTAACAGTAAATACATATTGCTGCCATCACACCATCCTTGTTTACCTCCCTAAAATAGTTATCTGGCCCCTGCAGGGAAAAAGGGTTGTGATCTTAAACGGACCCCCCTGCTCTGATTCAGATGTGATTCTTGAATTACGAACATAAGATGAGCCCAATTCCAGCTCCTCTTCTCATGGTTGCCAACCAGATTCCTGTGGAAAGCCTACAAGCAGGCCTTGGGTACAGTAGGGCTCTCCCTACCCTTCAAGTTGTGATTCCTGGCAGCTGGCTTTCAGAAGCATTCTGCCTCCCATCTGTGGCTAGAAGCCATTGGCACACTGATTCTCCATTCATTTGTCTAATGCTTTGCACAGTCAAAGCACATATCCCCTCCTCAAACGATTCTGGGTACTGTAGTTTACCCCCAACAGAATGAAAATTCCCAGCAACTGAATTAAAATTCCCAGGGTGGGTGGCCCTGTGGTCTAAACCACTGAGCCTCTTGGGCTTACTGATCAGAAGGTTGGTGGTTCGAATCCCCACAACGGGGTGAGCGCCCATTGCTCTGTCCCAGCTCCTGCCAACCTAGCACTTTGAAAGCGCACCAGTGCAAGTAAATAAATAGGTACCACCATGGCGGGAGGGTAAACGGCATTTCCGTGCACCCTGGTTTCCGTCAAGGTGTTCCGTTGTACCAGAAGCAGTTTAGTCATGCTGGCCACATGACCCAGAAAGCTGTCTGTGGACAAACACTGGCTCCCTCAGCCTGAAAGTGAGATGAGCGCCACAACCCCAGAGTCGCCTTTGGACGTAACCATCCATGGACCCTTTACCTTTACAAACCAAAGTGGCCAGAGTTCTTTGAGAAGGGGGAAAAGTGCTTTAAATGGTATATTGTGTTCACCGCTTTATCCTCTTTTAAAGCATCTGAGTTCTAATCCTCTACAGTGGTACCTCAGGTTAAGAACTTAATTCGTTCTGGAGGTCCGTTCTTAACCTGAGGTACCACTTTAGCTAATGGGGCCTCCTGCTGCCGCCGCATGATTCCTGTTCTCATCCTGAAGCAAAGTTCTTAACCCGAGGTACTATTTCTGGGTTAGAAGAGTCTGTAACCTGAAGCGTCTGTAACCCGAGGTACCACTGTATGCTGTGGTGATAGGAGACATTCAGCATTCTCTCTCTCTCTCTCTCTCTCTCTCTCTCTCTTTAAGACAATGTGAGTTGGTTCCATCACCCTGTTTACTTGTTGCATCTTGCTGCTGCTACATGATTCAGTTTACTTCCTCCAACTTTGTGAGGAATACGGTTGTGAGTGATTTGTCGCGTCTCCATTTATATTATGCTCTCCCTTTACGCAAGATTGCTTCTTACACTCCTGCAAGTTTATGGGCTGGAAGGGCTGCTATGGTTCAGCTCTACTTCACACGAGCCATATATTTGATGTCGCCGTGTCAATTTCTGCATCTAACTTAACAATTTGTGGCTCAAGTAAAGCAACGGAGCACAATTGCTAAACTGAAAACGTCGTAGGCATGGATGTTGTCTAGAGTTCTGCTGCCTGATAAGTCGTCCTCCTCTCTTCTCTGTTTCTTTCCACTTATGACTACAAGGATAGCCCCTATTAGGATGGCAGGCACCCAGTATGTGAAAATGCTCCAAACACTCAAACAAGAAGGAGAGGGCCAGAGCATCTTGCATTTAGGGGGGAATCCCACAACTAGCCTTCAGTGTATGCCACTGAAAAGGTGGAATATAAATGATATGAATAAATAAATAAGCCCTGGCCAGGGATGGGAGGATTTAATTGTGCTGGCCAAACCACAGTCAACTGGCACAGTTTTGCTCTGAGACAGAACACATTTTACCATGCTGGTCTCAGAGCTCAAAATTACAAAAGAACTCAGGAAACTGCCTTACACAGATTCAGAATATTTGTCCATTCAGCTCAGGGCAGCAGATCTCTACAGTTTCAGACTAAACATTTGAAGGCCTACCTGGAGGTGCCATGGATTGAACCTGGGGCCTGCCACAAACAAGGCAGATGAAACAGTTGTTTCAGAGCCAAAAGTGGCCATAAAATATGGCTTACAGATAAACTATATACTGCGTCCCATAGGGAGATATCAGGGGTAGGCGGGGAAACAGGTTTAGAGACAGTGTGATCTTAGGCACAGTGTCACTGAGCTCACATCTTTCTGCCCAGTGCTTCAGGGCCAAAGTTGAACTATTGGTTTCAAAACAGTCACTGGGGGAAGGGATTTCCCCTGTGAATGTTGTCGGGCGGACACATTTGTATTTCCTTCTTATGGACCAGCTGATTCTCTTAAATCGGCTGACTTCTTTCCTCTTTATTTTCTAGGCAACAAACTTCCTTTAACACAACACTTTCCTCTTTAGACGTCTCAAGTTACCAGATGACTAATGCTTCATCTTCTCTTGTCTCGGGCAAGGGGTGTTAAAACTGCCAGGGCCATGAAGGAACAGAGGTTTTGATTGACCACATCCCCTCGTCGATGCCAATGTTCTCTGTTACCCACGTGGCAATGGGATAGGAGTGGCAGCTTCCGGCATAGAAACTGGCCTCAGGATTTAGGCTCATTGAATAAAACATGTCCTTTGGGAAGTCTTGGGTTAAAAAATTATAATGTAAAAATACTGTTCTGTTCATAGACCATGCATATGGCTCAAAACGGCAACTTGCTTTGCAGTCTGAATACTACTGATGCAGATTCCTCCCCACCCAGCACTCGTTGCTCTGATTCCTGCTCACTGCTTAAACTCATATGTTTATGAGTTTACCATGTACAGTCTACCTAGGTCAGCATTACCAACACTTACCGGCCATAGCTCTGCAAGGTTTTGAACAGGAGCATTTCCTTGCACTAGCCGGAGATGATGGGGACTGAATCCAGGACCTCTGCACACAAACAAAGTGGATTGGCAGCCAATGTGGTGTAGTGGTTAAGAGTGGTGGACTAGTAATCCAGTGAACCGGGTTTGCGTCCCCGCTCTTCCACATGCAGCTGCTGGGTGACCTTGGGCCAGTCACACTTCTCTGAAGTCTCTCAACCCCACTCACCTCACAGAGTGTTTGTTGTGGGGGAGGAAGGGAAAGGAGAATGTTGGCCGCTTAGAGACTCTTTCGGGTAGTGATAAAGCGGGATATCAAATCCAAACCCTTCTTCTTCAAACTCTTCTTCCATAGTGGATTTTAATCTGACATAGGGTAGTAGGTCTTGTGCACAACAAATTATAGCAAAATATAGAAGGTGAACTGGTGAATTATGCTGGGGGGGGGGCATGTGCAATTAAAAAAAAAATCTAAAAAGTTAATGGCTCTGTTCTGCCCAACAGATTCATTCCATTGTGAAGCCAGTGCCTAAACTTTGCTGCATGGCATCTTTCCTTTCCTCCTTTTTCTCTTTTAAAGGCCATATTGGAAACAAGAAGTAAACATACAGTTTCTGTTCTTCATTTGCTGCTCTCTAATGTAACCCCAGTTAGGTAGTTAAACCTATTCCTGGGTCTTAGTCAAGCATTTAGCACAATTTAAAACTGCAATGTTAAATTTCATTGGTTGGCCTTTTTATTAGATAAAGTAGAAATGAAAGCAGAAGGCAATTTAATTGGCAGTAATTTTTCTGGGCAAGTCATTACTTTGATGAACTTAAGAGCAATGTTTATGGCTCCTAATTAACCATGTTAGTCATTTGATTGAATAATCACTTTGGAAATGTTTCTACAATTTGATTAGAGTTTGACCCATTCTGATAGTCATAAATTAACCAATAGCACTTTAGAATAATAAGACTTTAGGTACTTTGCAAGGAACAAAGTCTTCTCAGACATATCCCTCCCCGCCCCCGCCCCAGTTCTCTGTGGATTGTTTAATCATATGCTTATGCTGTAGTTAGCGTTGCTAAATACAAGTTCCCTCTTCACAATTGTTAGTTTTATCCCAGACCTGGGGATCCTGTGACTCTTCATGTATTGCTGGACCACAGCTCCCATAATTCCTGACCATTGACTATCCAGGCAGGGCCTGATGGGAGTTGGAGTCCAGCTACATTTTGAGGCTGCAGGTTCCCAAACCCTGTCCTAACCAGACATACACAACATACAGTCTAATGCAGTGGTTTTCAACCAGTGTGCCATGGCACCCTAGGGTGCCTTGAATGAAAGTCAGAGGTGCCGCAGGCAACACTGGCCTCTGTCCCTCTTTCCTTCCCTCCCTCCTCTGAGGCCCCCTCGCATCTCTGCCTCCCCAAGGCTTGCACAGCTGTTTGTTGCAGCAGCCCTGGCTCCCCTCTCCCTGAGTTTAGTGCTTCCCCACTATAGGGAATTCCAGAGTCACCTGGTGGAATTCAGGCAGAATGATTTTGGTTGAGTAAGCCATGGCTTGTCAGACCCAAGACTCTGAGCATTTTTGTGTGCCTTCGTTCCTCCTTTCCTAATGTCAACATGCAGTCCTGTTACATCCCTACCAGGAAACTGGGGCTACAAGCCACAACCGTAAATCAAGATCTGTTAGATAAAACTTTGACTCTCTTATCCTAGAAACACACATGCCTATCAAACGTACCTAGCTTATTATGCAGCTCATTTCGTACAGGTGTTTTTGCCTTTTTTCCACCAAAGCCGCATATCTCTGAGAGAACTAGAGGTGATACTTTACAAGTTCACCGCACACTTCTGCTAATGTTCAGGTGGACTTAAGAGTGTGATTTCTCTGCAAGAGGTAACCTTGGTGTTGATGTGGGGCAAATGCAAAACATGAGGTTGCAATACAAGTAAGTCAGCCTAAACATTTACAGGAAGAATTTAGCCCAAGGCCCTCATTTTTGGTGGTAGCCTCCTGTCAATCATTGCATCTGGTTCTGTCTTGAGTTTTGTGACTGCTTTTTAGATAGGGATTCTGAATCACTGGAGGTCCCAAGCGATAGACACACTTCATAGTGAAAAAGAGTAATGAAAATTTGTGGAATGAGACTATGGGTAGATGAACTTCCATTGTAATAAGCACTTGCTTAGTGAATTCAGTGTAAAATCTCATTTTCTTCTCCTTCCAAGTCCTTGATACTCATCCCTAGTCAGTGAACAGTGAAATTCAGGATTGCGTTTTGGAAAAGGCTTGCACACAACACTGGACAAATTATGTTTGGTCCTGTTGCAGGTTTTACGTGAGTGCTTCTCCAGTGGCTGATTGAAGAACAGAATGCAATGGTGTACTGAACAATATTTTAGCTTTCAAATAGTTAAGGTTCAAATGCTGGCTACATGGGAATAAGCCTCGTTGAATTCCACAGGACTTTATTCCAAGTAAACTTGCATAGGCTTGTGCTATATGTGCAATGGATGTTTTGAACATAAATACTTTTATTAGCAATGCAGGTGTACTCAGAGTTAAGTCTCATTTCCCAGGTTTACTGCTGGCCTACGAGTGCAGAGAATTGCAGTGTAAGAGAACAAAAGGTTTTCATGTATGTGTAGATACTTACATTGTAGCAAGAGTGTGAGATTTAACAGAGTTACCGTATTTTTTGCTCTATAAGACTCACATTTTCCCTCCTAAAAAGTAAGGGGAAATGTGTGTGCGTCTTATGGAGCGAATGCAGGCTGCGCAGCTATCACAGAAGCCAGAACAGCAAGAGGGATTGCTGCTTTCGCTGCGCAGCGATCCCTATTGCTGTTCTGGCGTCTGAGATTCAGAATTTTTTTTTCTTGTTTTCCTCCTCCCAAAACTAGGTGCGTCTCATGGTCTGGTGCGTCTTATAGAGCGAAAAATACGGTAATACAGTTTTAAACAGTTCATTTAATATTTTAACTGAAGAGTTAAATTCCTTTTTTAAAAAAACAACAACCAACAATGTAAGTTCAGTACACACACGGTACATCGTGTCCCCATTTGTATGTAATGTTAAAATGTTGTTTATTTTAAATCATGGTTTAATTTGAACAAGCCATTGCAAACTACTCAGAAGCTCCCACTTCACTCCTCCGCTGCTCGTATATGTGCCATACCAGGAGGAAAACAAACCAGAAGCTGGCTTAATGTTAAATCTGAACCAGCACTCGTGGTTTGTTTCTCTCCAAACAAACCGTGAGCAGAAGCCAATGTTTGTTCTTGGCTTACCATGTGTGGTTTCTTTAGAGGAAATAAACCACGAGTGCTGGTCTCCATGTTATGCTAAGTCAATCTCTGACTTGCTTCCCTTTTGTCCCACCCGCATAATCAATCACAGGACACGACGCGCACATCCCATTTGAATGGCAACTTGGGGGGGGGCTCAAATATTTTATTAAGAGGGCTGAGGGGACCTCGGCCCCTAGGAGTTGGCTCCTATGGTCAGTACCCAACAAGACTTGAGCCTCCAAGTGTTCAGGTTTTAGGATCTGCAAAGTAGGGTTAATGGTTGAAGAAGAACAGGCATGCTTTGAGTGGCCAGGTGGCAAATAATGTACAGTGGTACCTTGGTTCTCAGACTTAATCCGTCCCAGAAGTCCATTCCAAACCCAAGGCGTGCTTTCCCATACAAAGTAATGCAAAATGGATTAATCCGTTCCAGACGTTTAAAAACAACCCCTAAAACAGCAATTTAACATGAATTTTACTATCTAACAAGACCATTGGTCCCTAAAATGAAAGCAATAATCAATGTACTGTACTGGAAAATAAATTAGACCGTATTGTAGATGATAAAAATTTAAATTAATTTTTTTCCTGATGATCGCAATTGTTTGGATGGGGTTTCTTTATCCCTTTCCGCAGTCACACAATCAATCAATCAATTAGTCAGTCAGTAGCTGAACTGGGTTCCACACAGTCACAAAAACAACTTAACCGAAAAAGCCTCAAAAACAAAAACGCAAAATAAATAGCAAAAACAAAAGCGCCAAACTTAATCCATTCCGGAAGTCCATTTGACTTCCGAAATGTTTGAAAACCAAGGCGAAGCTTCTGATTGGTGCAGGCGCCCCGGAAACAATAGCTGTTTGGCTTCCGAAAAACGTTCAAAAACCGGAACACTTCCGAGTTTTTGGTGTTTGGGAACCAAGGTCCAAGATAAGGAAAAAAGCCAAATTCAGCAGGTTGTAACAGGCAGGGACTGGGCTCCAAAAGTGAAGTTGGCAAGGTCCTCTCTAATAGTTGAGCTGCTCCTATTGCACAGCCCAGTACTGAAGCCACTGCTTTATCGGGCCATCTGGACAGCCTCTGCAGAGAGCTGAAACAATACTGCAATAGCGGACAGGATCTGAACCTCGGCAAATATGGTAGCATTCTGAAGGTTCAGAGCTAAGTCTGCCAGACTGGGCTGTGGTGGCACAGGAAGTTAAGGTGCCAGACTCTTGTCTACTGGAATCCTGGGTTGCAGCAGTTGCATGGCACCCTAATGTGGATGAATTGATCTCTTGCTACAGGTGGAAGTTCTGTGGGTGAATGCCTTCCCCTTCCCCTGCTTAGCCAGCACATGGCAGAACAAGGCTATCACCTAGGTGGAGCTGCATTAGTAAATTGCAGCCTGGGTACGGCAGCTGTGTATTGATTTTGGTAGAACCTACTCCCACTTAAGGTTGTTTTTGGAATCCAGTGCTATTGCTGATCACTTCCCTTTTGTATATGCTGAATCATTAGACTATCACATGTTTATATGTTCTGGGTATACAGGTTCAACTTGGTTAGCATGGAAACTGACCATGTGTAACATGTAGCCTTTTTCACTGGGTATGTCAGACGTTTTATTGAAACTTGACTCTGAGGCTGATTGTGACAATCAGTTTGCTAATGAATTTGAACAACTGTTCTTTGTGGAAATATCTAATCTTTCAAAACTCATTGTTTTGCTTTAGGTTTCTGTTCCATCTAGCCACAGTCCTTCATAAGCATGCTATGTCAGTTGCCTGTTCAATAAGGAGGATTCTGAATTATTATTCCATATTATACCAAATTTGACAAACAACGACTTTATTAGTTTTTCTTTTTTTCCTGCTAATTGTAATGAACTTCACCATAAGCTCCAGTGACGATTTAAATACTTTGTTTAATGATCTATGTTGGGTATGATTTATATTAATTACATTATAGTTTTCCTTTCCCCCCCTTTATTTTGCCTTCCACATGCTACTCTAAACTCCTAAATGTTGACAGGTTGCCATTCCCTGTAGCTTCAAGTGTGCTCTTTTTCTCTCTACAGCTTCCCTTATTTGTTGACTTGTGCCATTCCAAACAATATTCTAACTAACTTTTGTGATACCAAATTGTGGCAGTCCTCCTCACGCAAGCAGCATTCCACTAGTGGGAGCTGCATTCTTAGTGCAAATCCAATAGGCGCCTTGCAATTATTCCAGATCTCTTACTACAACAGCTGTTATTATTATATATTGTTATTCTCAGTAACAATTAAGGTTATGCATTGCTGCTTACAGAATGTCGCTCTCAGACTGTACGCTGAAATCTCACCCATTGCCTTCCTCTTTCCAGAAGTGCCTAGCTGCCATTCCATTTACATGAGGCAAGAAGGCTTCCTGGCTCACCAAAACAGAACAGAAGGTATGTATGTAAGAGTGTGTGTGTGTGTGTGTGTGTGTGTGTGTGTGTAGTTCTGTTTTGTCCTGAAGCAAAATTTAGGTATCCACATAATAAAAAAGAGGAACCTTTGAGACCCTATTCTCATAAAGGTTGTAAATAAGGCTGGTTATAATCATGCATTTATTTATTTATTTCCTTTTGCAGATTAGGCACCTGAAAGCTCTAGGAGAAATTCTGGAGCTTGCATGTCTTTTCTAACATAGGAAAAATATGTTTAAATTGCAGCACACTTTCCTTTATGTTCAGCCATGTTGTGATTACCTGAAGGCACACATCTGAACTGGCAATTTAAGCCCATCCCTTAAGATATAGCCTCGAGACAGCAAAAGACTAGTGCCTCTTTGAAGCTATAAACCCATCAGCAAGGGGTACTGATTTTTATTTTTATTTTGAAGTGAGAACACGTGAAGACTAGTCTTTCCTTGACCACTTCTCTGTATGGAGAAGCACCGTGCACTCTGTAGAGTACATGCAAATTCTCACCCATGGTGATTTCCTCAAGGATCAGCCTTCTTGGCAAAGCAAACGTGTGACCGTGGGTTTTCTTGTTTTCAAGACCATGAGCAGCTATACTGTGTCTCTCCTCCCACACACACTCTCTTGTATGCTTCTTCGTCTGTGCCTCTTCTGGTAACTTCTTATGGCAAGGCCATATGAGGTGATGACAGTACTGGACAGAGTGATGGGGCTCTGCTGCTCACCTGACCCTCCTGCAACTGTGATTTTGCTGCATACCAGGATGGGTCAGTGGGGTCTGGTGCTCCTGCCAGTACATTTGCATAGTTGCAGCCTTGCCTCTGCTACTGTTCCTCCTGGTATGCAACAGCAACACAATCAGAGGGTGGTGTGGCGAGCAGCTAGGCTTGTGGACGATTGCTTGGAAAATTCAGTTGATGCATGAAGCTTCCCATTTCTGCCTTTTTGACCGGGCAAAACCACCACTTTAAAAATATGCAGCAGTGGGGATTCTCTAATGGTGAAGGCTGGTATTTTGCACAGGACTTCCCATTACTAATGCATTCTCTTGTTTGGAACAACAACAACAAAAAGACTAACACAACATACGCACGTACCTTTACTGTTTAGTTTTAATGGGGATGCCTGCTTTAAATTGGTAACCCTTTCCCCCCCATTCTGCTTGGTAAATACGTTTCTCTTTCTCCTAAAAAAATCCAGGTTGTATGTATGAAAAGGGGCCGAGACAGTTTTACGATGACACCTGTGTTGTTCCAGAGAAATTTGACGGTATGTTAGATGCCTGTGTGTTTGTGTTTCTTCGCGCGGAGAGCTGGAACCGTAAACGAGTCGTTTCTTTTTCCTTGATAGATAGTAAAAATGAAATGAAATGAAAGGTTAGCAGCATTCTGACTCCAGGCCATTTAATAGACCATTTGTCGCATGTCCAACCAAAGACTGACCTTTCCCTCCAGAAACCAAAGACTGCTTTTCAATAAGATGTCATTCTATTTTTGCTAGCAAGAGATTCTGTACGCAGAGACAAGATAAAGCACTGTCGTTCTGGCTGTTCTGAGAAGTAATAGGAGGATTTCCATTGCACTGATGATCACATACAGCTTGTTATTAGAGATTTATTGAAAGCTGATCCTTTAATTAACGAAGCAGAACAGAAAGCAGCTACTCTGGATTTACTGATGACTAATGCAAACTCTTGTCTTTTTTTATCCATGAAGAGATGAATTATGGAACACAAGTGCCACCGAGCTATTCAGGGGTTTCTGTGTGTTTAAAGAGAAAGCTGTGCTTTGTTGAACGTTGCATTAGTTTGCTTAATGAAGCTGATGCCTAAAGAGCAGAATGTATAATATCCGTTTATTTTTCTGAAAACGTTCTTGGGGATGGCTAACTAGTATCAAATGGCTTATGAAACAAAACATAGCCTCCTCATTATTAGCTATAAATCCAGCGTGTATTCTGTGGGGAGAAGCGCTAATGAGGTTAATGTTGCTTTTGTAGCCAAAGGAATTTGGACCGGTGTTCCTTCTCACAGTAATTGCGCCGCTCTCCAGCTTTTGGGGGAGTTTGGTTTGCAAAACAAACAGCTAATTGATTTAGTTGCAGGTATGGTGTCATCTCCATACTGGTACAGAGCTAAAAATAATTTAGGCAATGTTAGTTATTGCTGCCAAAGAATGAAGACAGGCATAAAACGAAAACGGGGCTTGCAGCTGGAAAGACGTGTGTGGATGCCATTTCAGAACTGAGCTCAGCTGTCAGGCTTGCTCCCACCTGCCCGTCCACTGCTACCATCTTCAGCTGAGGACAGTGGAAAAAGCACTCTGCAGCCAGGTGCCTGAGATGCGAAAAGGTCATTCCACTCCCTCCTTCCCCTCCCTCCCTCCCTCCCTCCCTCCCTCCCTTCCTTTCCTTTGCACAGGGGTCACCTTTCACCTTTCCGCCCATTCTGCTGGGGAGTGAATTTCCACCAAGCTCTGAAGGAAAGGGAGGAAGTGATGTAACATTCCCTCATCCTAGCCACCCAGTTGCAGGGTGCTCAGTTAATTCCCTAATAGAATAGGTAGGTGGAAGAGGTGGTTAGCAGCAGGAGGAGGCAAGACCAATGGCTGAATTCATGTGTTATTTATTTCACTGGTATGCACCACCTGTCTTTTACATATGGGCCTGGGCTTATGGTATTTGTTTTGTTTTGTTTCTTTTTTATTTATTTTATTTACCATATTTTTTGCTCTATAAGACTCACTTTTCCCCTCCTAAAAAGTAAGGGGAAATGTGTGTGCATCTTATGGAGCAAATGCAGGCTGCGCAGCTATCCCAGAAGCCAGAACAGCAAGAGGGATTGCTGCTTTCACTGCGCAGTGATCCCTCTTGCTGTTCTGGCTTCTGAGATTCAGAATGTTTTTTTTCTTGTTTTCCTCCTCCAAAAACTAGGTGCGTCTTGTGGTCTGGTGCGTCTTATAGAGTGAAAAATACAGTATAAACTGCCCTTCATCTGAAGGTCACAGGGCAGTTTGCAGCACGAAAATACAAAATGAAAACGCAAAACACATAACATAATGATACAGACAAACAAAAACCCAATAACCCTTTCCCCAAAAAACAAAATTAAAAGACCATAGATTGTTTAATCGGCCAATGGCCTGGTTATATTTATTTATTTAATAAATTTATATGGTGCAGCTATAGAGTGCACTATGGGGGAGAGTCTTCTTTTTCTGCTATTGTAAGTATTGTTATAATAAGCTTGACATAAGCGCTTTTGTGCCAGGGGGGCAAATTGAGCCTTCCTCTGTGGGCTGGAGATTATTCCACATCTTCATGGTGCCCAGAGTTGGAAAATTTACTTATTTTATTTTCATACAATTTTGTTACCTATTAGTGGCAGGATTTGAATGCCAGCGTTCAACATGTACCCTTTTTTTGATACTGAACTGCTGTATCTAAAAGACCATATTCCCTCATAAGAACCTGCTCGGGTTTCCCCCCCTTGAATGCTCACAGTTCAAACAAGAAAATATAGAATATCTATCTATCTCTATATCTATCTATCTATCTAAATTTATTATGGCTCTGTCTTTTCCCTGACAACGGCTCAAAGTGGCTTGCAGATGAAATAAGAACAGCTAAAAACATAAGGGTGGGGGGAACAGGGACCTGTTAGCATTTGTCTTTGATTCACTAATGTTAATGAATAGAGTTTACTCACAGCTTGGAAGGGTTCCGACATGAAATGTTAGTTGGGATGGGGCACGCCTGCTTCTGAATCATATTATGGATTCTCTTCACCCAGTGGAGGTGGCACTTCTCTGCACAATTTAAAAATTAGTTTTCTTATCCATTTTAGAACTGATTTTGCTAACATAAGGCTGACACATCTATACGCAGATGACTTTCCTGAAAGTCAGCCTGGTACTCTGGGAATTCAACATATGCTAACTATGGTGTTTTTTTTAGCAGCTCATATTGCCTGTTTTTTTTCCCCTGGAGTGCCAGACCCTGGAGTCCTAGTTTTTTTGTTTTCTTTTGGCTTCTACTGCAAATTTCCCATTTAGCAATGAGGACATGTCTGGCATATATGGTTAAATATCACCAGATATCATGTAAAGTAAGGGTAGGGAACTGGATCGAACTAGCTGTCTGGGTCATTCTTTCCTCTCCCCGCACCGTAAACTGAGGGAAAAGTTTGACAGTTGCACTGGGCTGCCCATCAGCCAATCACAATAGTCTTGGGCGACCCATTTTTGCATAGTGCTGTTCACAGGTTCATGAGCCACAGATAAGCTGATTGCTGCCTGCAAGCCCCCTTTTGGCCCAAACACATATTTACCTGCCCCACAAAGGTGTAGGGCAGGTGGACATGGCTTGGTCAAAACAGCAACAGAGGCCTATCTGGGCTGCAAGCTGTTTTAAAATAATGTAAGTTGGCAAGACAGAAGAATTAATTTAGCTTTCAGAAATATTCATTCACTCCACCTGTACTCTATTCTGCATGTGCAGGAGCTATATATCTGTGTCCCTCTCAAGACATTTCACAACACTTTGTGGAATGCTTAGACGTGAAGACATAAAGTATTGGTCATAAAGTATAGTTTACCATCAACCCTTTGTGCTACCCCAAGAACAGTAGACGGTAGCAAAGGATTGGCTTGATAACAATTGGAACATTGAATTCTATTCCTCTATTTAAGAATCAGGTTTTCAGTCACTTTTTATCTGTTTACAGATTCCTCAGATGTAAACAGCAGTAAGGATCTAATTGAAAGAAGGGTGCTTAAATAGCAATATTTCTATTTGGTTCGAAACGATAGGGGTGCTAGCATGTTTGTAAGCGTATAGTTGTGAATAGCCTTCTTTTGCCTATACTGTATGAACAGGATTACTGTAAAGTTGTTATGTACCATAGCACAGGGCTTCAGGATGCTTTTTATATAGATTCTGTACTTTGCATCAAAGTGGGAAATAATGCATTTTTGCTCGAAGATCAGGCATTGCAGTCATCGTTAGTGGGGGGGGAATTGTAATCTTACTTCTGAGCTTTTCAGCTGACAATTCTGTGAGCTTCTCAGTGAGATTATATTAAAAACTGTCCTCTGTTGAGCATTTGAGTTTTGTTGGCTTTTTTCCCCGCTGGGGACAACTTATGATAAATTTTCAGATTGCTCTTGTTTTGCCTTTGCAATTGATACAGTGTTTTTCAGAAGAATTGCTAATGCACAGCTAAACCATGCTAAATATGAACCCATTTTGCATGCAAGTCCAATATGCCAAAGAGGAACTTGTCTATCCGCAGGATTTGCATACCCATACCCATACGTACATAAAGCTCACGCTGTTTAAGTCCTAGTCAAATACTCTGTCAAATTTTTCTTAGAAGAATTTGCATGCTAAAGGCACTTCAGTCATAGGGTTTTGCAGATATATAAATCATACATTGCGTTTCCAAATGAGGGATTGTGCAAAGTACTGTATACAAATGGAGTCCCTCAAATACTCAAGTTGTTATAAAAGCGGGTCACGGTCTTTCAAAGCTAAGTCTTGCGTGATGTTTGCAAGTTGGTTTTGCATGGATCGGGAATGGGACAAACAAGTGAGACAGCAATTAATTTTGCCACTTTTGGAAGACTCGTATTTGGCTAAGTTGATAGTGATTTATTAATTGCTTTGTGTACCCTGTACCCATATCTTGTGTGCTGGACCCTTGCCAAAAAGATACTCAGTACTGTAGGCTAGAGGAACATGGATTCTTTTCCTGCAGGTGTTGGCTTGTGGTGATACTTGATGTGACAAACTGAGTCTCATTAAGCTGCTTTGTTTTGTGTAGGTGATATCAAGCAGGAGCCAGGAATGTACCGCGAGGGGCCCACATACCAGCGACGGGGTTCCCTTCAGCTGTGGCAGTTTTTGGTCGCCCTCCTTGATGATCCATCGAACTCGCACTTCATTGCTTGGACTGGCCGAGGGATGGAATTCAAGCTGATTGAACCGGAAGAGGTGAGCAGCGTCTCTCTTGGAATGCGTGTGAAGGTTTTGGCTGAAGAGCATTGATGCCTTGTTCTGTCGAAGTATACTTTTCCTTCCATAATGGTTTCTGCAAAATGGAAGCTAGTACGTTTATGCCACAGTGGACTTCGAAGATAGGTTTCCAAGGGACACTCAAACCCTGGAAGGGAGAGCTGGAAAAAGGGCAGCCAAAATGATGAAGGGGCTGGAGCAATTTCCCTATGAGGAAAGGTTACAGCACCTCTTTACCTGGGCCCTTGACACCTGAGATATGTGTTTTCAGGACCCAACCTGTTCTTTTGAATGTAACATTTAACTGTTTTAATTCTGAATTTTACATTGTTGTACCGCATTGTTGTACCTGCTGGTGAAGGGCAGGTAATAAATTGATGGTGGTGGTGAAGGGGCTTTTTAGTTTAGAAGAAAGGTGACAGGCGTAATTTATGATGCATCCTGGGAGGAAAAATGGTCTCCGTGAGATTCAAGGCCAACATTAAACTCTGGAACTCACTGCAGTAAGACATCACAATGGCCACCAACTTGGATAACTTTAAATTTCTTCTAGTTTCAAAAGCAGCATGCACCTGATGACCATTTTCTGAGGATCATGAGTGGGAGATGGCTTTAGTCCTCCTGCTTTCTTGCAAGCTCCCCATAAGCCTTATCTGGTTGGCCACTGGAAACAAGACACTGGACTAGATGGGCCTTTGGTTTGATTCAACAGGGCTCTTAATATATTCCTACATTCTTACAATCTGATTTGTTGACAAATGCTTCCCTGCCATTAGAGTAGAGCCTTGCAATCTGGTGGGGCCTTGTCCTAGGGAGCATGCATGCCTGGCCCCACCCAGATTAGTGAATTGGAATATGCCATCTATCTTGAGATGCATTTTCCTTCCCCCTCGCCAGAAAGGCAGACCAGACCGATCATGTGAAGATCAAATATCTCATTATGCATATTTGTAGGCTCAGCTACATTGCTGGATCTGGCCAAAGACCCACCTAGTCCAGCGTTAAATAATCAAATTTATTATTTGTACCCCGCCCATCTGGCTCTCCACTTGTGAATCTCAGCAGCTGTTATACAGAAGTAAACTGCCTCCAACACTAGATAAAGATTTCAAAAATCTAAACTAAAGTTAGAGAGATTCATATTATATATAGAAACAGCAAACTGTCTTTATGGAATGAAAATGTCCCCATTCACACAGAAGGGGCAAAGTATCAAGGTTTGCCAAAAGTGTGTGTGTGCGCGCGTGTGCGCGTGCAGTATATAACTAGAGGAAAAAAGACCTCTGTGAGGGCTGAGAATGGCATCTGGACTGACTACTGGAAAGCAGGGAAATAGAATGGAGTATCCTGGGATAAGGCAGAGCTGGAACCTTGTTGCCAGTTCCACTTGTGTTCTGGAATAAATTGCATACTTGAACCCTGAGACTTCTGTATTACAAAACCTTTGGTTTGTATTTTTGGCCTCTAGGTTGCCTTTTCTTTTGTAGAATGCAGCTGCAGGTAAGGCCTGCTTGTTAAATACATTTTAACAAATCGGTGCTAATCTCTTTCTGTGACAGGTGGCACGTCGCTGGGGGATTCAGAAAAACAGGCCAGCCATGAACTACGATAAACTTAGCCGTTCTCTTCGTTATTATTATGAGAAGGGAATCATGCAAAAGGTGAGCGGTTAATGTGGTGTTAAATATTTCATTGGAATGTTGCATCTATAAACTGCGTTTATAAGGGCAAAGCTGTTGTAAATTGCCTTGTTCTGAAATGGTTTGTTACCAATATTAGGGAAGTGCTGCAAACCTTTAAAGATTTTTATCTGCTTATGAAATGGAGGTTTTTCTTTCTCTTAATGCAGAATCCATGGGCCCACATTTAGAATTTCGCCACCACACTGGTGAAAATCCAAAAATTGCACATTCTGTATTGGATTTCAAATTTACCCGTTTGTATCTTCTTAAACACCCTGACAGATTACCCACATTATTTATTTATAGTATTCCTTTATTATTAATATTTTCATCCTATTCTTCCTTCAAGGAGCTCAGGGTTACATGTTGCCCCTTACCCACCAAAGATCCTGTTTTATCCTCATAACAACCTTGTGGGATAGGCTAGGCTTAGGGAAACAAGAAGCAGGACAAGAAAAAGCCACCTTTGTTCAACACATTTATTCGCATTTCTTAATTTAAAAACATTTGAACTGCTTTTCTTCAAACCAGTCCCAGCTCAAAACCTGTTTAACAATAATCAGTATAGAGAACAAGACTTTGCCTACATGTTGTTGTTGTTGTTATTTCCATTCCTATGATGCTTTATATTTTTAAGAAAAAAACCTCAGTTTACATTAAAACATCAAATAAAACATTCCAAAATAAAACACTACAGAAAGGAAATCAAATATAAAATTTACATTTGAAGCAACATAATTAACAGGAAACCAAAATATCTTAAAGATTTCAAAACAAGACCTTACAAAGGAGGGTCAAGTACAGAATACACATTTCACGCAGGAAAAATAACAGCAACAAAAAATACCTTAAGCTTGTCAAAATAAAACATTACTAAAGGAGGTCAGTTATAGAATGCACAATTAAAACAGCATAATTAGCAGGAGAAAACATTGCATTTCTGCAGCTGTTGCTGACAGTGGTGGTTTATGGCAGGTGGCGGCTATGAAAGCTCAGGCTCAATTACCTGGGCCTGCACTAAGAGACCTGCAGGGGGGAGTGCGGGGGGTGCAGGACACCCTGGGTGTCAGCACTGAGGGGGGTGACCAAATGCTGGGCAGCACTCACCGCGGGGCCTGCAGCGCACCCGAGCCATGTGTCTCTCCTGCCCAAACGGTCTACCCGCTGCCTCTTGCCCCCCCCCCAGCTGTAGGGCGGCTGAGTGGGAGGAGGCAGGCAGACTCTGAAGGCCCCGCAGTGCACCCTGCCCCTATGAGGCCCAGGCCCCCGAGCTGCTTCCTCTGCCCCTGGAGACCTGGTGCTTGGCAGAGAAGCAGGGGACTCTGTGACTCTGAGGTGCTGCCCCTGGCAACTCTTCATTTCTGTATAGCTGATGGAAAAGCAGATTGAGGGCTGTTTGCCTGGAGCAGAGTGCATCCATGCCTCCTTTCCAATCGTTCCACACACCCTCATGAACGGTACTTGTATGCAAGGCAGAAAGTTAGCTGCTGCATAAGCCCTTGGGCAGAGGACACCTTCCCCTCCCACAAGGCTATGGCTGGATTGTTCAAGCGGCATTGCGTATAAAATATCCGAGGCATCTCCAGAAAGATTCCTGGCTGTGTTTCACCCCTGAATTTGGTCTCTGTCATCCTTATACCAGATCAGACAACTGGGCCATCCAGCACGGTTCTGTCTACGGACAGCAGCTCTCCAGGGTTTCAGCCAGGAATCTTTCTGGAGATGGAAGAGCACTCAAGGAGGGATCAGGGCTGTTGAAGGGTGTGGTCTGGGAAGGAGTGTGGTCTGGGAAGAGTCCCAAGAGAGGCCTAGACCTGTGGTTACTTATTCCAGTTTGATCATGCCATTGCTGCCCGAATAAGGACTGGAATGTGTCCTTCAACTCCAGTAATGTTTCTTGCTTGCTGGATGGACAATAGAGAGAGGTGCATGAGTGTAAACAGAGGCCTGTGACTTTTCTATACAAAAGTAAGAATCACACCTGCTGCCTCGTTCGCTCCTGCCTCTGGCCTTGACCGCCAGAAGGCTGCCCATGTGGGAATGTGGTCCTTGGATTGAGAAAGGCAATAAAGTGATCATTGGAAAGCGTTGCATTTCAACAGTGCAATCGGTCGATCTCTCATTCCTCTTAACCGGGGTCTTCTGCTTCTCTTGTACGTGAGGATGAAACAGTGCATGATCTTGCTGCTGGAAGGAGATTCCACGTCTTCCTCTCACAACCTTTTCCCACCCCCTTCTCTGACCTTGCCCCTAAGGTTGCTGGAGAAAGATACGTCTACAAATTTGTGTGCGACCCCGAAGCCCTCTTCTCTATGGCCTTCCCGGACAACCAGCGCCCGTTGCTGAAGACCGACATGGAGCGCCATATTAACGAAGAGGACACCGTGCCGCTGTCCCACTTTGACGAGAGCATGGTCTACATGCAGGAAGGAGGCTGCTGCAACACCCACCCTTACAATGAAGGCTATGTATATTAACTGCAGTGACACTGAAGAATCCCACCCCACCCCAAGCTTCTCCTCTTTCATGAGACCAGAAGGAAACCCGAATCCCCTTAAGTTGGTTTTGTAAAAAAAAAATAAAACACAAACAAACACAAAAAAAGAATTAAAAAGAATAAAATAGTACTATAAAGGGGCTTTTCCTGTTGCATCACTCCTATGGTCTCCCATGGACAGTGCACTTTATTTGAAAGGGGGAGATTGGGATCTATTGATTTTATTCTGTGGAACAAGAAGAGAAGGGTGGGTTTGTGTCCCCCCCACCTTAAGGTTGGGAATAGAACATACAGGTTTTAAGTACAACGAAGCTGTATCATGTCTGTTTTCTGTTTCATATTGGCTTCAAGATATTGTACAAGTTCTCTGGGTATCCATAGTACAGTTAATTCTAGATGTGATGAATAACCGTTTTTGTACATGACTTGGGAAATTCTATTAGCCACAAACATGGCCCTGACCAGCCACACCCTTTGTGCCACACCCTAGTCTATTTTCTACACCTGAATTTTAAAAAAACAAAACCCCTGAACCAGACCATTTGCTCCAGCTTAGTTCAGTACTGCATGCGCACTGACTTGGCAGATCTCCACGGTTTCAGGCCGGAGTCCTTCCCAGTCCTACAAGAAAGTGCTTAGGGATTGGGCCTGGAACATAGTGCATGCAAAGTGTGGGCTCTGCTGCTGAGCTGTGGACCAGTTTTGGAAGCTGCAGAATTAGCTAGGAGCTAGGAGTGCTAGTGCACCTTTCTGGTTTTGTTTTTCAAAAGGCATGTTTGTTTGTTTGTTTTTTGTTTTTCCCCTCTGTTGATTTTTTTTTTAAAAAAATGTTTCTACATATCGTTTCTGTTGCCTTGTGCTCGTTAATGGCTCATTAAGGAAGGCATTGAGGGTGGAATGGAGAGCACTATTCCTGGCTTGAAGCAGATTGTGGTTTCGCTCCTTGTATCTGGTGCCATCTTGCTATGCAAGTACAGCGAATGTAAAGCCTTTTAGCCTTTTCCAGAGCCACCTGAGTACAGTAATGCCATGTGCTGAACCATTCTGGATATTATTTCAAGACTGAAAACAGAATTGTGATCACAGAGGAAGAAGTCACATTGTGTCCTTCCATTTACTTTTATTCATAAATAAGTTATTTAATCGATAGGAATTAACTGTACTAGGTCACATATCTCATGCTGTTTAGACCACAGCAAGCACTCCTTGAGCAAAATATCCAATACACGAAAATAGGTACTCTAGTAATGTTTTTTTTTTAGACATGGTACCCATTAATATGCATTTAAACCTTTTACTGCTGTGTTACGTTGATAACCTATATACATACTAGATAATGCTAATGCTTCTGCTGCTGTCTTTTTTTCTGTAATATTCTCTTTGCTGAATTTACTATGCCCATTTATAAGCAATGCTGTAACTACAGGTAGCATTTCAGGACAAAATAGATGACTTGAACCATTTATTGCTTAGGAAAAAAAATAGCTTATGCCACAGCTGTTCTATAAGCAGCTTTTACGCGCGTTGAGAAATGAATAGTAAGCTTCAGCTTGCTAAGAGGAGCTCTGCAGAACATTTTATACCTTTCAGTGGAGCCGAGACTTATACAAAGCGTCAAAGAATACAATGACTTTGCTGTATGATGTTGTAGTGCTGGCACTGATGCTATCAATCAAACTTTTGTTTTTTGGACACTAAATGTAAATGTGATCAGATACGTTTGGGAGACGATTTAAAGGTTTTTCTGATTTTTTTTTACAATGTTTTTAATTTTTTAATTTTGAGAAGGGTAATAGTGAAAGCAAGAAACACCTTATTCTACATATAAAAAGAGAGAGAGAAAGTTTTAAATATTTATGAACACCTTTTCTGAAACGTTGAGTTTCCTAGTTTGAAAAGGATAGAAATGAGATTTGAGCTGTCCAGTGAGTATTTTAGGCAGTGACTCTTCCAAGTATCTTCCCCCCCCCCCACATGCCCATCTTTCCCAGATACTAACAACTTTGGAGCAAAAGGAGATTGAGAATAGGACTCCATAATCATTAGCCTCAGAAATAATGTTTCATTGTAAATGACATGATATCAAAGATGCCTTGAGGTAGAGATTTACTTTGCACTGTGTGTCGGTCAGGAAACCAGTGCAGTTATACATGATTTATTATGCAATTCATTTCAAAGTAACAAGTGTTAGCCACTATAAACCACAGTTACAGAAAAGCACACTGGATATGTGTCTTAATACACCTAGAAGCATAAGATATCTTAATAGGTGCATGTGTACAAATCCAGGGCATGCAACCCCCTAGAGAAACCTCAATAGGAAGCCTTTTATCTTATTCCCACTAATAATCAATAGCCCTAATGCTCCAATTGACGAATAAGAGAACAGACAAAAAGCACCCATTGGTGCAGACTAGAACCTTTAAACCAGGGGTATCGAGCCCTGTAGCTCTTCAGATGATGCTGGAGTCCGAGTCCCATCAGCTCCAGCCACTTTGGCCAAGAGTCAACTTGTCTATAGGCCAAACCTAGCTGTAATACAGGAGGGGCCAATTTTTAAGGTGGGGAACCTTTACGCATGCATAGGTTGGATTACAACTCCTAGCACCCCTGATATTTGGGCATACTGGCTGGGGCTCACGGAGACTGAAGAAGTATAGTGTGGGGTAGGGAACTCCTAAGGTAGACGTTATTTTCAATGAAATAGAACCCCTTTGAATGAAAAGTTATTTGAATGCTTTCGATTCCATCAATATTGGCATGCAGCGTTTATTGTCAGGAAGAGATGTATATTTGGTGAATGGGGCGGGTGGTTTAAAAGAAAAAGAAGCCTAACATTAATTCAAATGTCTAATACTATTTTTTACAAAATTATATATACTGTATAAGGTAGTGATTCACTGAAGAAAATAGGCACTTCACCCACCATTGAATGAATTTGTGGGGTGGATGGGTGGGGGAAATGGTACAAAAAGATGTTATATGGAATTGATTAACCCTTTTGAAACTGTACCTTTTAAAAGAGTTTATTTTAAGTTCTGTTTTTATTCCACATTTTCCAGGTAGATTAATAAATCTGGCAGCTGATTTCTGAAAGGTGGTGGTTTGGATTTTTCATGGTGTTTATGTATGTTCATTCACTCTTTCATCGATTCAAGACAACTAAACCATTTTCTGGAGCAGCAGCAGAAGAAAAATATTCCATTGTTGCATCTGGAACAGCAACACCACTTACTGACTCAGGAACAATGGGAGCCAATTGATCATGTGCACTTAAATGTCAAAAATGCACCCCATAGCACACCCTGGCACAACTAGCCATGCATAAATACCATTTCAAGCACAACTAGAGTTGGACCAGGGCAAGAAAATAAGAAAGAGTGAATTCGCTGACCATCAGAAATGGTCTAATCATGGTGCTTAAATGATCTGAACAGTGCCTTTCCTTTAGATGGGTGAAATAGTGTTTAGATGGGTGAAATAGTGTAGGGTTGCCATATTTCAAAAAGTGAAAATCCAGAGACAAAAAACAACCCTAAAATAGAGTTCTCCAGTAAGACCATTAGACCTGGAAGAAAAGCATTTTACAGAGGTACGGCCTGTCTTAAAAAGAAAGCAGGTTAAATATTTAAAAACGTATTATGTAAAACGTATAATATCAAATTGCATAAAACATGTTCAAAAGAGGCAATTTAAGAGTAGTATACTCTGAAGTCAATAGGACAAAGTAATTGCACTCTTATCTGGAGTACAACTTTGGGCCTATGGATGACATATCGGCAACCCCATCAGTTCTCACTTTGTCACATCGACATCCTTTCTTTGCTCGCTAAGAAGTACTACTTTGTAGTACCTTGGGACAATCAGTTTAGAAAAGTGCTTGGTTTCTTTAAACATCTATGCATACTTTTGGGTGGAAGATGTTCAAATAATTAAAGTAATGTGGTAATTAGGAAGAAATACTACAATGAAAAATGAAGAATAGAGAAATCATGTGATGGGTAAACAGCTATATGGTGAATAAGGAGAGGTCAAGGCTTGTAGTGGGCAGACTGAGAGAAATGAGGGCTGGGCTGTAATGCAGGGAAGATTAAAAAAAAAAATCAGGTCAGGGCACAAGTTGAATGTATAAATAACATAGAGGACTTAGCCACTGAAAGATAGTTTGCTTCCCTGTGGCATGGAAAGCTAATGACTCTAGAGTCAAGCCCAGAGGGGAAGAAGGAAGTTGGATAGCACTGGTTTATCATCTGAAACTGTTGCCTGTCAGAGTCAAATAGGGATATAATTTTATAGTCTCATTCTAAGAGCTCCTGATAACTGAAGATCAACCCTCAGGTGGTCAGTGTTCATTACCTGGAATAGGAAAAGGCTTTTGAGCAAGATCTGATAGAAGATAATTCCACATTGATGTATAAGGCTAACTGCAAGAAACAAGATCTGATCTATGATATTTATCCTTCCATCCAATTATTTCAGTTCCATTGCATTTTGTGCTTTGGATCCTGCAGGACCTCACTTATCCACCATGGTTTTCAACATCTACATAAACTGCTGTGGGAGGTCATCTTGGGATTTTGGGGGTGAGGCTAAGGTGTCATCACTATAAAGTAAAGGTAAAGGGATCCCTGACCGTTAGGTCCAGTCGTGACTGACTCTGGGGTTGCGGCGCTCATCTCGCTTTATTGGCCGAGGAAGCCAGCATACAGCTTCTGGGTCATGTGGCCAGCATGACTAAGCTGCATCTGGCGAACCAGAGCAGTGCACAGAAACACCGTTTACCTTCCCGCCGGAGCAGTACCTATTTATCTACTTGAACTTTGACATGCTTTCGAACTGCCAGGTTGGCAGGAGCAGGGACCGAGCAACGGGAGCTCACCCAGTCGCGGGGATGTGAACCACCGACCTTCTGATCGGCAAGCCCTAGGCTCTGTGGTTTAGACCACAGCGCCACCCATGCTAATTCTAATTCTCTTTTTATCAGGTGAGGAAGTAGGAAGCCTGAATTGGTGCCTGGAATGGGCTGGATGAGGGCCAAAAAAACAAACTCAGCCTTGACAAGACAAGACAAGGGTTTCGTGGGCAGACAGTGTCTGCAACCTGTGGGGTGGGAGTGGGGGAGAGCTATTAGAGCCAGCTTTAGAATTTGAGTTCCATGTGAACTAAGTTGCATGGAGTGCCTTTTGCCAGGTCAGGTTGGCACACCTGAGCCAACGTCTCATAGAAGGAGATAGTCTAGTTACAGTTATCTATGCTTATGCAGCACTCATGAAGGAAGGCTTGCTTTGATCCTCTCAGGCCTTTTGCATTCTTTCCTTACCACTTTTAATGCCATTTTATTTGCCATGTTACCATTGCCTTGTGATGGGGTTTCATTTTTGTTACCCCACCACCACATGCATTTGTGACACTGTGATTCCATGAAGGTACTGGCACCGCAGTCCTTCTCCATTCACAATAATAGCAAATTCTTCCTCTGGAAACAATGGCTGGCATTCCTGAGCGGGAGACAGAAAAGAAAGCCCAATTGCTCTTCTGGAATGTAAAACTCAGCCTGTCCAAACAGGATCTTGAAATGTGACACTTGATTGCATGGTAGTAAAAGGGCACCTCGGAAGGAGTCAGGAATCGGGATGGAGTGGAAGACAACAATTATTTTAATTGCAGCGCAGATGAAATAAATATTTTAAGGGAAAATTTAAAAAAAAATCTTAGATTAAAAATGCACAACATCCTTCCACACGTTCCCCACTTACACACACACTGGGGCGGGGGGGGTGGAGTGAGAGAGAGAGAATTAAGGACAAAGTAAAACAGAAAATCTGAGCAGTTGAGAAAGAGAACACAAAATAATAGAGTTGGAAAGAACCGCCAGCCATCTGTTCTGGCTCCTTACGAATTGGTTCATGAGTAAAGAGCAGGTACACTTTGGAATGAGTGAGAGCAAGGATGTCCCAGCAGCTTAGGACTGATTCATTCGTAGATGACATAAAGGAGGTCTGGCTTAGCACACTGGGAGATTGCCAAGGGCCTCGTTGTAAATGATACGTATGGGAAGGAGGAGCAATAGCACAAGCTCTTCCAACTTGGCCTTTCCCAAATGGCACGGGAAAGAGTCACGACACACTGATATCCATGCTCAAACATAACGCAAGAAGAGTGTGCCAAATCTTCTCCAGAAGCAGAGGACTTCTGGGTGGCTGTGGCTTGCTATAGACTTTGGCTTGTTGTCACAGGAGGATCAAGAAGTAAATATCCTAAGGGAGAAGAAGGACCATAAAGCAAACGTGACAGGGGCCAAATAACACTTCCTTAACCCTAAATTTGGTTGCTGAGCTGAATACAAATCAGGTTAAATAACACTTAGAGGCAGGTGTGTTTTTCTAACCATCATGGAATGTGTGATTAGAATTTGCACAAAAAATATGTGTCACACTGGTGCATTCCCCTTGCGTGTGCATAGGTGCTTTCTTGCTTAGGCCCCATTTGCACTATGCATTTAAAGCACTATGATACCACTTAATACAGCCATGTCTCTCCCCAAGAAATATTGAGAACTGCACTTTGTTCAAGATGCTGAGAGATAATGGGAATACCTTGTACCCCTCTCAGATGTGCAATCCCCAGAGTTCCCTGGGAAAGGGGATTGATTATTAAACCATTTTGGGAATTGTAGATCTCTCCCCCAACCCACCCCATTACTGCCAATTTTGAGTCTGTCTGGCTGCCCATTTTTAGTAGGATTTTTTGTGGATTTTTGTGGGAGACGATTTATGGGGTTGGTTCAGATCACAGCATACTGGGAATCCTGGGAACAGTAGTTTACCCCTCCAAGAGCTACAGTTCCCAGCACCTTTAACAAAATGCAATTTCCATGATTTTTCTGCGGGCAGGGAAGCCTTGTGCATTAGTAAAAGGTAAAGGGACCCCTGACCATTAGGTCCAGTTGTGACCGACTCTGGGGTTGCGGCGCTCATCTCGCTTTATTGGCCGAGGGAGCTGGCGTACAGCTTCCAGGTCATGTGGCCAGCATGACTAAGCTGCATCTGGCGAACCAGAGCAGCGCACGGAAACACCGTTTACCTTCCTGCCAGAGTGGTACCTATTTATTTACTTCCACTTTGATGTGCTTTCGAACTGCTAGGTTGGCAGGAGCAGGGACCGAGCAACGGGAGCTCACCCCGTCACAGGGATTTGAACTGCCAACCTTCTGATCGGCAAGTCCTAGGCTCTGTGGTTTAACCCACAGCACCACCCTCGTCACCCTCGTCCCTTGTGCATTAAATGTGACTTAAATAGAGAGTTTGGGTATGACCACAGACTTGAAGATGTCTCTGGTGTTCCCTCTCCCATCCTTAGGTACACTTAGCTGTAGAGCTCTGTAGCTGTGGTTATAAAACCCTGGGGGAAATGCCTGCGGGAGTGTGGCTCTGTCAACAGATTTCCCTGTACCTCTTGTCAGAAGGCAGAATGGTGCCAATTAGAGGTCACCCATCTTGGAGAAGATTAGCGTGAACAAGACCAGGGGCTCCATTTCTACTCCAGGAACCTTCACTCTTCTGGTTGCAGGATCCTATTTTCTATGGCTTCAGCAGTCAGGCCAAGACTTCCCCTTCCACCAAATTACACTTCATTCAGAATAATGCAAAATACCCACCAAAACCTGCATTCATAAGTTAAAACTCACAATGCTGCTATTCCTTGTAATGCCTTCTGTTATTGACAATATTGAGACCTTACCCCTTATGTGATATTATGTTCATTTCAATAAATAAGCTATAAATGGCTGCCAGCTGTGCTGCCTCCATATATCCACATTTCCTCTTTTCAACTATACTGTTGCTTAGTCATTAGCATTCTGTACCAATCCTTCCTCTACCATTCCCATAGCTGCTATCTTTTTATCGTACCATATGTATTTATTTTAATTCTTCTTTCTATATCCCCTTTTTCTTCTATCATGGTGTACAACTTGGTAAACCGCCGATAATACTTTCCTCTGAAAATGTCTTGAAGAACCTTAAAAATCCCACAGGAGCGATACAGCTGCTAGCACAGTATATAAAAAATTAAAAATAACAATGGACTTGCCTGTG